GCTCTACAATGAAAAAGAAAAAAGTACACATTCTTTGATACAGTAATTCTTTTTTAATTTATTTTATATGGTAGCTGGAAATGTAATAGAATGAGCTTTATTTTATTTCTCGTGATAATAAAACATTGGAAATATCCTAAATGTTCCTCAGTTGGGTAATGATTTTAAAGCAGCTTAGCATCTGATGAACCTATTGTTTTATATGCTCTTATTTTATACTGATCAAATGAAGTTACATTGTTCAAGATACATTGTTTTGTGAGAAAAGTTAGAGAACAGTATACATAATCTACTTTTGTAAAAACATTTATATGAATTATATCTATGTTTGTATATGATGTACATTTAAAAAAACCCAGGAGATTAAGTTTGTTTTATGGGGTAATATAATATAGCACAGGGAGTTTTCACTTTTAGCTATGTGAAATATCTATATTAGTCATTTATTTTACCATCAGCATGTTTATTTTTGTAATTAGAATGGAAATAATACATTTTAAAATTAGAAAAATTAATTTTTCTGATTAATTCTAGAATGTGACCTCTTCCCTCCTAGAAAGGAAGGAAGCAATCACAGTGACATCCGTGGAAAAAAGGGTGCGGGGAGATATGTGTTTATCTTAGTTATGTTTGTATTGTTTTCTGGACTATTTACCCTTTTCTTTTTTCCCCTTCCCTCCCCTTCCCTCCTCTCTCATCACATCCCCTCTTCTTTTGGGGGGTGGGGTGGGCAGTTTCTGGGATTTTGAACTCTGGGACTCCCACTACCTACTTGAGCCAGTCCGCCAGTCCTTATTTGTGTTGGTATATTTAATTACAATCCTCCTGATCTCTGCCTCCAAAGTAGTGAGGATTATAGGCGTGAGCCATCACTGCCCTGCAGTTCAGCTTTTTCTTGCTTTGTTTTCTGCAAGATTTCTTTGGGCAGAGAAAGTTACAAGAAGATAATGCTCTTGCAGATGATTTACTTATCAGTGCATTTTATGTGATTATGTTCTGTGTCTAGGTTGATGTGTACTTGCCTTAGATGTGAATTAGTGTTTTTACTTGTAGCAAAACTGAGATTTGTGCGTACAGTATTTTGAGAAAAAAGTTAACTCCTTAAGAAATAGGTTCTTCTTGACTTGAATTTTGTAAGTTCCACGTTAATTGTTACGCTTTTTGTGTGCTAAATCTCATGCAGAGCATTGGGGATACAGCTGTGAGTAAGAGGTAAGGTCGGTGTCCCCTGTTCTTGGTGAAGATATGGGTTGAAGACTGAGTGGGGAAGACCATATGATTGGAGACAGTAAGTTTGTATTGCTTTGTCCTAGAGGTTTGGCTGTGACTGGGAGGAAAGAAATAGGCAAAAATAGTGTGAAGGAGAACAAGGATGAAAGACACTTTTAATTCTTTTCTACCTCTCCCCTAGATTGTTGCAAGTTTTTTTTCTTTTCTTTTTTTTTTTTTAGTACTAGGGGTTGAACTCATGACATCATGCTTGCTAGGCAGGCACTGTTATTATTTGAGCCAACCCTTTTTGTGTTAGTTATTTTTGAGATAGGGTCTTGCTTTATGCCGTGGCTGGCCCGGCCTGGACCCTCATTCTCCTATTTGTGCTTCCAGGTAGCTGGGATGATAGGTGGGTGCCACCATACCTAGCCATGGGATGAAGTGGGGTCTTGGGAACTTTTTGCCAGGGCAGTCCTGGAACCTTGATCCTCCCCATCTCTCCTTCCTGAATAGCTAGGATTACAGGCTGGAGCCACCCTTTGTCCTGTCTTAACTTTCACCAAGCCCGGCCTTGTTGCAAGCTTTTAAGCATAGTTGAATGCCATAGTTGAAAGTACTGGTTCTCGTTTGTTACTCTATATACTTTGCCAAGTTATTTAATCCATCTTGCAATTGCGGTTTCCTTATGTAAAAAAAGGATCTGTAAAACCCTCATCTCCAAAAATGTCTCCATAACAAACATTGCTCTAAGTACTAAATTACCTCTGTATATCTCATAGCACACTAAGTGACTCATATAAGAACTCAAAAAATGATTTGCAAATGAAGATGCAAAAAACTTAATATAGAATTATGCATATGTTAATCTTAATGACTTTCCCAGAGGTTTGACTGTGAACGGAAGAAAAAAATAAGGTGAGGGTAGAAGGCGGTGTAAAGTAGTCAAGGTAACTATTTCTAGGTTAGGTTCTTATTCCACCAAAACACAGCACATCAGAAAGATGAGGAGGGCAGCAGAAACGCTAGGAAATTAAGCATCTTAAAGTTTCATATCCATGATCTAAGGATGTATAATGGTAACAGTACAGTGGAGTATAGTATAGAAATAGACCTTGCCATCATGGAAAAGAGAATTTGTTGAGTAATAGCAGATCATATGAAACTGTCTGAGAATGTTTGCAATTCTGATTTTTTTTCCTGGTACTTTTTTCACTCCAGAATTAGAAGGTTCTGGGTTATAGCATAGTCTTCCAGCATTCTGTTGAGTTCATTTCTCACTCATAGTTACTTAATGTCATGCTTGCTAGGCTCGTGCTCTACTTCTTGTGCCATATCTCCATCCAGCCCAGGCTTAGTTTACTATAAGGAATACAAAATCCTTCAAGTAATTACTGGACATAGTTTTTTTGTTAAAGTCATTTGGTAATAGAGTTATTTCTTATAGTGTGATTTAAAGGTATTTTGGATTGTTTTAATGTCTGAAAAAAAGGTTCTCAGCCTGGACTTTGAACATCCCTGCTGATAAAATTCATTATGATTCATCTTCCGTTTTACATCTTTTCACTCATTCTGTCAAACATTTAAATCTCTCTGATCATAGTACAAAAGTGCCCTTTCCTTACAGCTATGAGTAGCATGACAATATGTGTTCTTGATAAAACAGTAAAAATTATCATTATTAAACCTAGACTTTGAGTTTTAATATCTTATGTGATGAAATAGAAAGTCTGTGTAAGGTATTTGTACCATTGGTTGAATTGCCAGCTTAATTAGCAGCTATTTCATGGAACACCATATTTAATTGAAACAGTGAGTGACTTATGTTATATAGCAGATACTTTCTTAATGTGGCAGGCTTCATTTTATATTCATTCTTTTATTTGCCATTTTTGGCTTTCATTTGTTCCTGCGGGTTTTTTTGGGGGGCGGTACTGGGTTTTAACTCAGTGCTTCACACTTTCAAGGCAGGTGCTCTGCCACTTAAGCCACTCCCCAGCCCCCATGTGCGCACGTGCGTGTGTGTGTGTGTGTGTGTGTGTGTGTGTGTGTGTGTGTTTTGTATTTGAATTTGAATTTGAATTTCTTTTGTGTTTTCTTACTATCCATCTTACTTCTTCAGTGCCTGGAGGTGTGTGGCTCAAGTGGCAGAGTGCCTGCTTTGTAAGCTGAAAACCCTGAGTTCAAACCTCAGTCCCACAAAAAAAAAAAAAAAGTATATTTTTGTAAAAGTGGCTCTGCTGATAACAAGTACAGTTTTTGATTTTGTGTAAGTGACAATTTCATTTTTTAAAAGATAGTTTTGGTAGCTTTTTAAGATTTGCTTGACAACTTTTTTTTCTTTCAGTGCTTTGGATGTCACCACACTGCCTTCATTGTTTCTGATAAGAAGCCATCTATTAATTTTATTGGGATTTACTTGTGCATGATGAATTGTTTCCTTGGTGCTTTCAAGACTTTTTTTTTTTTGTCTTCTTTCAGTATATCTCTTTGTACTTACTGTACTTGGAGGTTTTTGTTTTTTTTTTTTCCCTTGAAAGTTCTTGGGTATATAGATTAATGTTTATTTTACAGCAACTTAAGGGAGATACTGGTTGTTATTTCCTTGGATGTCTTTTTTTTTTTGGCTGTATGGGGGTTTGAACTCAAGGCCTCAAAAGCTTGTTAGGCAGGTGTGTTTACTACTTGAGCCACCCCACCAGATCTTTGGATATCTTTAAAATACTAAAACCCTGTATCCAATAAACTCGAACCACTCTCCCCTGGCCCTTGGCTGGCACCATTCTACTTTCTGTCCCATGAATTTGACTGCTTTAGTTATTACTTATTGCCAGAAAAATACTTGCCATTTTGGTCTGGCTTGTTTCACTTAGCATAATGTTTTCAAGGTTCTGTTGTAGCATGTGGCAGGATTTCCAAGAATTTGTGCATTTTTAGGAATTGAGTTTTCCCTTTTTCTCATTTTATTTTTACTAGACTTTTTATGCTACTTTAGGATTATTGCTTATGTAGCTTTACTTGTATTGCTTAAAATTAGTGAAACATCAAATCAGAAATAGTGAAACTGGACACTGCTTTGTTACCTTCAAGAGAAAAATTGATGGTGGTATGTTATGCTGTTTACAGAATCACATAAATTATACTTTTGCAATGTGTCATTTTGAGGTCTTTTGCTTAAAAAGAAATGCTGTTATAGAACACTTGCCATTTAAATGTGATTTTGTGAAATTTGTGGTTTTTCATTAAAAAAAAGAAACTCCCAATCTGCATATTTGAAAGATTGTGATACACCCCTTTAATAAAAGACTAAATTCAATAGTGATTCCCTATAGAGGAGTCGTGACTACCCTTCCAGTGAGTGTGAGTATACCTCTATCCTCCAAAGTTAAAGTGTCTTAATTACATGTGGCATAATCAAGCAGTAAGGCTTAATTCACAATTTTTGTTTTTTTTTTTTTTTCTTTAAACCCAGTCATGAGATTCAAGGCATCCTTTCCTCATGACTGTGGTCTGTCCACCTCAATTTATAGGTATTATTTTTATAACTGCCCAAATATGTAATGGTGGCGTGGTTGCTGAGTCATGGGCTCATTTTAGGGTAGGCAGTGAATATTGAGAATTGGTATGATTTTGTTTTAAACTTATTTGGAGAGAATTTGTAATTTGAGGTACTTGTTCTATTTCCCTCAAGCTAAGGTTGGTTTTTTTTTTTTTTTTTTTTTTTGATTAGCATGTGAAATGTGTTATTGGTAAAACTTTGTCTTATATTTGGTCTTTTATTCCCCAAATAGAGACTCTACAGGAGCAGGTAATTCACTGGTCCACAAGCGGTCTCCTTTACGTCGAAACCAAAAGACCCCAACATCCTTGACCAAGCTGTCTTTACAGGATGGACATAAAGCCAAAAAGCCAGCATGTAAATTTGAAGAGGGTCAGGATGTCCTAGCTAGATGGTCAGATGGCTTGTTTTATCTTGGAACTATCAAAAAGGCAAGTTACCTTAATACAAGTTATTTTTGCAGTAAACTCTTAAATAATTTAAAATTTAAGTTCATTTTATAATTTTAAGAGATCATTCAATTCTCTGTATTGCAGATAAATATATTGAAACAGAGCTGCTTCATCATATTTGAAGACAGTTCTAAATCCTGGGTTCTCTGGAAGGACATTCAAACAGGCAGGTGCTACTATTTCCCTTGAATATGATTTATCTTGAAATTTGATTTTCTTTACCTTAGTGTTTTCTAGTGTTGTCTGTTGAATACATGGTATTGTGATAACTCAGTGTCACATTTGGTTCTGAGTAAACAATTTTGCATTCAGATTTATTAATTCCTTTTCCTTATTTTATAAAGATGGGTCTCCATATAATAGAACTGAATGCTGTGTTGCTTCCTGTTCCTTTTCTGGTTGCTGTGTGTTCCTTTCAGCTTTTCTGTCTTTTGGAAGTTCTTGCAAACTTAATGTAGGTCTGTCTGTCCTTTTGTTCTGTCATTCTTCCTCTCTGTTTCTTCTTTCCTTTTAACAAAAGTGGCAGAAAAGAAGAAAATTAATGGTATACAGAGATAGCAGGTTGTTGTCAGTGAGGCATCCTGTCCAACGTGTGCCCCACCAAGTATGTCAGATGAGTGAGTCTTTCTTCACTGGTTTCTTATGCTATTCCCAGAATTGTGAAGGATTGTTTGCTGGCCACTTAAGTCTTTGTAGCACTCAGAGAGTAGCATGCTAAATTTATAGCTGTAAAAGCAAACAAGTGAATTGGAAAAGCATTATGGCAGATCAGTGGGGAATAGTTTTAGTTTTCTCCTCTGTAAGAAACCTGCAAATTATATTTGTGTTTGTGTATGTATGTGGATCTAACATAATAGAGTAATTGTATCTTGTAAGAAAGATTTTTTTTTCTTTTTTTTTTTTTTTGTGGTGGTACTAGGGTTTGAACTCAGGGCCTTATTTATGCTTGCTAGGCAGATGCTCTACCACTTGGGCCACTCCACTAGTCCAAAAAAGATACTTTTTAAAGTTTTCATAAATACAGGAAAAATAGAATCAAGTTAGAAGTCAAAAAAATATACAGCACCACAGGACTGGAGATGTGGCTCAAGCAGTAGAGTATCTGCTTTGCAAGTGCCAAGATCTGATTTCAAACCCCAGTCTCACACAAACAAACAAAAAAGTACATTGAAAGAGGGAGTTGTGTATCATTTTAAAACCATTACAAACTTTAAGACATTTAAAGTTTTACAAAACCTAATGTTACCTTGTATTATTAATGTATGCTAATTCAAAAATAAAATGAAAATTTAAAAAAATGAATTAAAAAATCCCTAATGTTTTATTTGTTTCAGTGAAATGATATAGTCCTATATTGTTGGTAGCAGTGTAACTTTTCATTAACAGTTGCATTAAATGTATAGAAATGTTTATATTCTTTAGTCAACAAACCCACTTCTAGCATTTTATTCATAAGAAATCAAAAAGAATAAAGGTAGATGAAAAATGTTTACTGTAGCTTGCTTTATTTTGGCAGTACTAGGGTTTGAACTTGGAGCTTCATGCTTGCTGGGCAGGCACTCTTACCATTTGAGCTCTGTAGCTTTGCTTGTAAACAATAAAAATACTGGTATTTCTAAGATGAAAAGACCAAGACTTTATACTGAAGTTTAATTTGTAGCAAGGGAGACTAAAAGCCACTAAAAGCTTTTAGACTAAAAGCTGTGCAGGAAGGTTCTGGTAAACTTGATGGTAAAAGAGACAGACTTGGATTTCACAAATAAAGGTAATTCTAGCATCTCAGGATTGTTTCCTGAGGCAAATACATATTGCTTATTGGGTCAGCATCCCTTTTTCTGAAGAACTCTCTCCTCCCTCCATAGTCCACATGATTTGATGGGAATCAACTTCAGGCTCAGGCTTTCATTCCTTTTCCAGGGAATTGAGCAAATTAAGTAAATTTGATTTTTTTCCCCACTAGATGGAATATTATGCAGTTACTAGAAGTTGTAATCTTGAAAACCAGCTGTGTGAAAATACTTTTTTGTTTTTGGTGGTACTGAGGTTTGAACTTAGGGCTTGATGCTTGCCAGACCGGCACTCTACCACTTAAGCTACACCTCCCAGCCCTTTTTTCTTTATTTATTTTTCAGGTAGGGTCTCACATTTTTGCCTGAGACTGATCTCAGACTGATTCTCCCACACAGTTGGGATTACTTAGTGATTGAAGTGTGGGATTTGGCTAACTTTTTGCCTAGATTGGCCTTGAACTCTGATCCTCCTGACTTCTGCCTCCAGAGTAGCTGGTATTGCAGATGTTGTCCATCACATCTAGTTGTGAAAATGCTTTTGATAGAAGAAATATTACATAGTATTGGTGAAAGGAAGCATCTTATGGTGGAGAGAATATGGATTCTGGCACATCTAGGTTTAAATCCAACCTTGATACTTTCTAACTGAAGGTCCTTCCATTAGTCTGAGCTTCAGTTCTTTTCTGTGAATAGGATATTGACCTAATAAGTTAGTTGTAGAATAAAACTGTCAAGAGTTTAACATAATACTTGGTCCATAGCACAAAATTTTAAGCTTTATATAAATAGGCACATTATTATTCTTACTATGTTGAAATAGCCAAGAGAAGGATATGAAAAATGATTTATAGTTGGGTTTTTTTTTTTGGCAGACTGGGGTTTAAACTCGGCCTTGTTAGGCAGGCACTCTACCACCTGGGCCACTCCACTAGGCCTTTGATGATTTTTTTTTTAAGAGTAAAAATCATTAAGGAGAAACTGATTTTCTTAATTTAGGTAAAAAGGCTAATTAGTAACTGGAGCCCCAGTTTTTGTTGTGGTGGAATTCTGTTAGGGTTCATTACTACCATTACACATACTATACATATACTATACTACACATACACTATAAATCTATAATCTAGATTTCAGAGACTGTAATCGGTGTCCAGCCTCTTTCATACATTATGAAATTAAAAAAATACTCTTGAGTCCAGAGAGAAAGGGATCATTTACATAATCTTCCTTGCCCTTTTCCTTTAGTCTCATGGTATTAGTGATACAGGAATGAGTGTGTGCATGCACATAGTTAGATGTGTATTCTGCCTCTAGCTCCGAGCTCTATCCCCAAGAGTAGGAGTGTTAGAAATTAGTAATAAGGACTGCTACCTGAGAATAATTTAAATGATGCCCTCTGAGGGTTGGGGGCACGGCCCAAGTGGTAGAATACCTGCCAAGCAAGTGTGAGGCTCTGAGTTCAAGCCTCAGTACCTCCAAAAAGTAGATAAAATAAGTAAATAAATTATGCCCTCTGACTAAAAGCAGTGTAAATTATGACATCTTAAGCTAGAGCTGATAAGAACACAGATAAGAAGCAGAGAGATGGCATTTTGTGTTCAGTACTTTGCTTTTTGACACGCTATGATCTGTTTAACAATCACTGTCCATATGGGCTACCCACTGAGTCATAAAAGTTAAGTGAAATTTTTTATGACTCTTTTTTTAATGTATGTATTAAATATTTCAGGAGCCACTGGAAGTGGGGAGATGGTCTGTACAATATGTCAAGAAGAGTGTTCAGAAGCTCCTAATGAAATGGTTATATGTGACAAGTGTGGCCAAGGTGAACATTAATTTCTCTTGATCTCGTGGAAAAGTTTTTTTATATACTGAATGCCCCTGTTGAAAATTCATGACTAAAAGTACTTTACATTGCTAATTTGAAGCTATTATCCTAAGTTTATCCATCCATTTAAATATAGGAAACAATAATGCTAAAATGCCTTCTTGAAATTGTGTTCTGCAGTATCTATTAATAAAATAGAATTTGCTTTATGCTCTTTTTGATATTAAGGATATCATCAGTTGTGTCATACACCTCATATTGATTCGAGTGTGATTGATTCAGATGAAAAATGGCTCTGTCGACAGTGTGTTTTTGCAACAACAACAAAGGTATCTTTTAGTGTTTTGGGCTTAAGCCCTAAATGGAATTTGTAAGACACTATCGTTATAATGGTTGTGTACATAGAAAACTTACTTGGATGAAAGAAGCAATCAGTGCTGGTTAAAGAGAGTTGCTGTCTATTGTTTAATGATACTGTAGTTCCTTCCTGTACTTTATGACAGTGGTAAGGGACTTGGGGAATAATTTGAAAGGATAAAAAATAAGTTATCAATTAGATCCGTTTATGTTACATTAGAAATTTAGGATAGAACTTTTTAGAAGTGTCAGGCATTTTAAATTATAGAAACATAAATTATAGGATTGTGTTTAATATTTTAGCACTCACTTTTTCAAATACATTTTTTCCCTCTAACGTATAGAGGGGTGGTGCGCTTAAGAAAGGACCAAATGCCAAAGCTTTGCAAGTCATGAAGCAGACATTACCCTACAGTGTGGCAGACCTTGAGTGGGATGCAGGTCACAAAACCAACGTCCAGCAGTGTTACTGCTATTGCGGAGGCCCTGGAGAGTAAGTAAACACAGTTAGTAATGCTCTTTAAGTAACTTTGATTTGTTTACAGTGTTTTATTGTTATTTTGTTTGTTGCTATTGCATTTGAAACACACAGTCTACCCATGTATCCCAGGCTGGCCTCAAAACTTTTGACCCACTACCTCAGCCTCCTGAGTCATGAGATTACAGGCATGTGCCACCATGCTTGGCTTGTCTTACTCCACTGATCATTGTGTAGGAGTGATAGTGAATTGCAAATGCATGAAAGTATCAATAACAAAAACTATGGGAAGGATTTCTCATTATTACTCACACACAAAATTCTCATCTTTGTTTTTGCTTATCATATCTGTATAATTTTAAAAATCTTATTAGGATAATAGCTTGTTCTGAGAATGTAAAATAAAATGTAAATGTCCATATACCTTGTAAAATAAACCATGGAGGAAGAATATTTACTGCGGAGGCCTACTGTCCAGTCTGAAATTTAGTTAGTTTCATTGGATGTCATATTTCATGTGATTGCCCATTTAGAAATTGGTGCATGTAGTACTATTTGAATGAGAGAGTAAGAGATAGATTTTGGTTAAACCTTAGGTTCAGTCTCTGGGACTTTTTAAAAAGTATATGCCTTATTATTCTCCCCTTTTTTCTTTTAACTTTTTTCTTTTTTTTTCTTTTAAAAAGTTTTTTGGGTTTGAGTTTGGCCTTGTGCTTGCCAGGCAGGCCCCTACCTTTTGATCCATGTCCCTTGCCCTTTTATTATGCTTTCATTATTTTTTGGTGTTTTTGCCTGGGGCCAGCTTGGTCTGAAATATGTCTTATCTGTGTTCCCATGCAGGCTGTGCCATCATGCCTGGTTTACTGGTTGAGATGGGATTTTGCTAATCTTTTGTTGCCTGCTTTTGAACAGGATCCTCCTGATCTTCGCCTCTGAGTTGTTGGGATTGTAGTCATATACCACCACACCTCAGTGATGTCCATTTTTTAGGAATACATATAAATCATTTTCAGAAGAAGCTACCAAATAGTTTTCTAAGTTTTTAATTGAAAAATATTCCATCCAGATGGAATTACAAGAGAGTTACAAGTGAGACTTGTTAGCCAAAATATTGATAGCCAGGGTATTTAATCTTTAATTAGGATACTTGAACCTTCACAGTAAGCATGTGCACAGAGTGCTTGCATGTTATGTTTGTTTTGTTTCTTATTTAGGGCTCTCAGATACTTTGATAGCCACCATAGTTGTTATTATCTAACATGTCTGTAAAATGAAATCATTCCACATTGTCTATTCTAGTTAATTACACATCCATAATTACACTGTAGTTTTGTTCATGTTTTTCATTAAGTTTGACTAAGTTAACAAACCAGAGTTCTAATTAAGAATACTTAGCAATTTACTTTTACTTCTAAACACTGTTCCTATTTCTGCCTTTGAAACTGTGCATGTTTTTATCTGTTAAAGATATAAAATCTTAAAATACTTAGGTGGCCTATGTAGCAATAATATAAAAACAGTTCTCTTTTCCTGACAAATCTCCATTCCCATGGAGTGCGGGGGTTTGAATTCAGGGTTTGCACCTTGAGCTACTCCACCAACTGTTTTTCGAGATAAGGTCTTGTGAACTATTTGCTTGGGCTGGCTTTGAACTTCAGCCCTCCTGATCTCTGCCTCCTGAGTAGCTAGGAGCCACTGGCACCTGGCTTATGATATGATTTCTTTATGATATAATTTCCAAACTCTGTCTTTGTTGCTTTCTAGTATTTGAAGGTTACTCTTGAAGTGTAGTGCTGTCATTGAAAAACAGTGTTTCTGGAAATAATGTGACAGAATATGATGACTTAGTGGTCTGCCAGGGCCCCAGGCGTTGTGCCTGTAGTTTCAGACATTCTGCCATATCCTCTCGATTCTCTTCTCTACCCTCCGCCCCTGCTCTCCCTTTTCTACTTCTTCTCTACCCTCCGCCCCTGCTCTCCCTTTTCTTCCTCTTCTCTACCCTCCGCCCCTGCTCTCCCTTTTCTACTTCTTCTCTACCCTCCACCCCTGCTCTCCATTTTCTTCTTCTCTTCCCTCCACCCCTGCTCTCCCTTTTCTTCTTCTTCTTCCTCTTTTTTTTTATTTAAATATAAGCCAATTTGTACTATATAAGGTTATGCTACATTTTTTTTTCCTGAAAAAAAGAAAAAAATTGTAACTGATTTCTTGTGTCTTCCTTATCAGATTCTGTACTACTTTTAAGGCAGGCATGTTGGGCTGGTGGAGTGGCTCAGTGGTAGAGCACCTGCCTAGCAACCATGAGGTCCTCTCAGGTCAAACCCCAGTACTGCCAACAGAAAAAGAAAAAAAAAACATGACAGGGTACTGGCAGGGTATATAATGTGATCAGCAACGAAAATGTATATGTAAATTACTGAATTTTACTTCTGCATTCTAACTCATCTCTGATCATATGGAATACTAATTAATTTAATTTAATATTTCTGTAACTCTCCTCACCTTTTGGTCACCTGTAAGTTTATAAAACAACTCTCTCACTGGCAGAGTGACTCAAGCGGTAAAACAATTCTCTCTAGTGTTTAGAACCACTTACTTATAAAAGAGATACAATTCCAGTACTCAGGAGGGTGAGAAAGAAGGATAACAAACTCAAGGCTAGCCTGGAACACAGTGAGACTGTCTCAAGAAGCAACCAAAAAAAAGAAATTTTTTTTAATCTTAACTTTTTTCTTATAGCTGGTATTTAAAGATGCTACAGTGCTGCAAATGTAAGCAGTGGTTTCACGAGGCTTGTGTGCAATGCCTTCAAAAGCCAATGTTATTTGGAGATAGGTAAGAAGAGCATTTGAACTTCACTGTTTATTTTTGTGGCTTTGTAGTTGTGGTTATTTTTGTGGTTTCAGATTTCCAAAACAGTTTTAACGGTGATTTGCGAAGGAATCACCTCAGATGGAAAATACTGAGTAATATATTTTAAATTTAAAAGACATAATTTTCATGCTTTTAGATGTTATTCCAGAAAGCGTTTAAGTGTTGCCAGCGATTACACTTACTTCTGTTACCCCATTGTAGTCTAGTCTCTTCTCATTGGTACCTTCCTTTCAAGAACCTCAAAGGGACTATATGACAGAATTGGAAAAGGCTGCAGGACCTTATTACAGACAGTTTATACCTTCGGCATATGGAATTTCTAAAGGCAAACATAATATGCTTTCTATATTGGGATAGCATAGTGAGCTCTAGGAAGAAAAATCAGAGATAGAACAGTAAATTTGGAATTAAAATCTGGGTTTTAAGTCTTGGCATGTACAAGCACTAATGTCTTTTTGATCTTAGGGAAGTCATATTTTGTCCTTTGCTCTGATCTTGCCTTATTTCGAGCATTGAATAAAAAAATCTCTATAAGAACAGCTATCTCCGTTTTCAAGCCAGTATTATAAACTGTGTCTACTTAGAAACCTGTGTGTGAACTTCAAAGGTCTCTAATAGTTAAAGAAATTCTCCTTACCCCCAGACATGAGCTATTACTGGAGAAGAAGTTCTTTAAATTACACAGCGTTATATTGAAATTACATTTTGCTTTGAGTATCTGTTCTCACATAAGCTGTTGGTCTTCATGTTCTTAATGCGTGCTATAATTGTTAATTAATTACTCAAAGCTTTTCTTTCTCCCCCGTAGGTTTTATACATTTATTTGCTCTGTCTGCAGTTCTGGACCAGAATACCTCAAACGTCTACCGTTACAGTGGTAAGCAGGACATTTCTGTTTTTGGTGGGGTGGGGGGGAGGCCAGATTTTTAAACCTACTATGTGAAACTTGTATGTTTTTACTTGGCTTAAATAAAACTTCTCTATGTCTGCCCTTATTTCTTTTATTTATCTTCAAGGGTTATGCCATCTTTACCAAGGATTACCCACTTTTATTGCTAAATTAATAAGACATAAATACAGCTTTCAGACATCATTTAGATCTTAAATTGTTTTCAGTTCTTTTGTGTCTTCAGAATAGCATATAGTATGGGAGACAGGTTAAACAAATACAATAGCTTCTGTTGCAGTGTAGAATTCTTATTAGGGTGTGGGAAGTGTGATGAATTATGGAGTATTACTAATGAAGTACTTCAGATATTCACAGTTTTTTACTGTGTTTTCTGTATTTTAGAAACAGATAAGATACAGCCTAGTGAAGTGTGCTCTGCTATGTAGCTGATGCATGTTAACAGTAACAACACAAAAATCTTGATTGTAAATTATTTTCTCTTTGAATGAATTTTAAGAAGTAATTCAGATATCTTTTAGTTTGTAATTACTATTCAGGATAAGTAAATGCTTAGCTAATGTTTTCCAGTCTTTCATGTGTAATGATTTATCATACTGCGAATATGACTGAGGATATTGACCCTCTATTGCCTAAGTACTTCATTATAGATCTTTAATTGTACTGGTTTTATTAAGAAATTGTGTGATTTCTTACCAATAACCCAAAACACTGTTTTCGTATATTTTGATTATTTTTGGATTCCAGGGTAGATATAGCACACCTATGCCTTTACAACCTAAGTGTTATTCACAAGAAGAAATACTTTGATTCTGAACTTGAGCTTATGACATACATTAATGAAAACTGGGATAGATTACACCCCGGAGAGGTAGGTCATTTTAGAGCTAATCTAATTAGCTACTTGATGTCTTTTTTGTTTTGTTTTGTTTTTATAAAAACAAATAAGACACATGTATAAGTCAGACAACTAAAGTTGAATTTTATTTTTAGTTCTGGGAGAAATAACCTTGGTAAGGACATCAACAGGAGCTCTCATCTTCCTGTTTGTTGCCTGTTGATTCTGGAAGATTATAGATGGAGGAAGTAAATTAACTGCTTCTTCCATGTTCTGAAGTGAGAGGCTTTGCAGTAAAGGTAGAGGAGTGGGAAAGATCCTTTGTTTTGGAATCTTACTCATGCGTTCACCTCCTTTTTTCTAAGTTCTATACAGGTAGAGATATAGCTGTTTGCGTACTCCCTTATATGTTTCTGTCCTCCAGGAGTGGAGGAATTCAGTGGTATTAAAATAAAGATTTCCAGATGGCCCCAGCAGTGTATGCACATAAGAATACAAGAATAAAGAAAAAGAAAAGATTTACAGAATAAACCCACCTGAGCTGGAGATCACCCTCATTCAGACACTCTGGTTTTGCTTTTCATTTCTGAAGAATAACCACCTTAGCAAAAAGGAATATAATGTAATGTTCATTGAAAAAAATTTTGAGACTAGAGCAACACAAAGAAGAAAGAAATTAGAGTAATCTTATTCTTAGCGTTTATATAAAATTAAAGTACAGATTAAATACTCTTAGTTGAAAACTAAAAAATTGTTCTATACTTTATGAAGTTAGATGTGTGTATTATAGTGCACTGTTTTTTAACGTAAAATTTGTGCAAATTGATTTGAAATTTAGGAAGAACTTCTGCATTTGTAGCTTTTAGACATGAGAGTCATATGAAATAGGATATCAAGAATGTTTTTGAAGTTTTATGGGGCATGGGAGAGCACAGTACTCATTTGTTTAGTTGGAATATCAGCTACACAAAGCAAAACAAATTCCCACATGGTATGTAAGTATCACATTCAATTGACATAAAGTTTTGTGTTTTTTTTTTTTTTCCTGGAGGTTTATTTTTTTAATTTGGAGGTGTGGGGTTTGAACTCAGGGCCTCACGCTTGCTAGGTAGGTGCTCTACCCACTTGAGCCTGACACAGTTGTTTTGAGTGTTAGATATTAGGCTATAATGACAATTCCTGTTTTCTATTAGATGCTGTTTTTTGATCTTTTTTGGTACTGGGATCAAACCCAGAGCTAGGCAAGTGCTCTACCACTGAGCTACACCCCAACCCTAGATGCTTTTTTAAAAATGAAGTTTGAGAGCAAGTAGATGACATAGAAATTTGATAAATTTAAAAAAATCAGTAGTAATAAGAGAAAAAAGTAGATGTAAGGCACTGGTAGCAACCATTGTGTTCTTTACAGTTACTCTAAAATTTCCTGTTCTAATGCTTTCATTTTAAAATTCTTCGCAGCCATGGTTCTTTCACCACTTCATATGCAGACACATCTGTATAACTGTTAGTACACCTTGTGTAACATGAAGAGGTTCTGCACTACTTACATGATATGTAGATAGTGGGTACACAAAGAAAAATCTTTAGCTGTACCATATTTTATTAATTTAAACTTTATTTTTAAAGAAAAGTTTCATTTATGAATTTCAGGTATCTTACATCCAGTTCAAGTGCTCTTGTATACTATAAAGTATTTGTCAAGTAAATACCTGTTGTAGTTATCTGCAGTTTATATACTTGTGTCTTAGAAAAAAGAAAAAGTGAGTCTAGGAATGTAACCAAGTTGTAGAGCACTTGCCTGACATGCCTGAGGCCTAGGTTCACCCCCAAGCAACAACCCACCCCCCCAAAGAAAGTTAAAAAAAAATTATGTTTTTTCAAAAGGAGTGTATCCATTTAGTAACTTCTAATCATTTTGCACTGTTACTTCTCTTCATTAAAATAAGAAAATATTCAGATTTATTATACTAGCTATCTTGTTGACAGACTAGTTATTGACAGATTGATGTTCATGTTTTTAATTATTAATTTTTTATGTCTTTATAGTATAATTGTAACTAGACTTTAAGGTACAATAGTAAAGAGAGCCTAACATTTCTGCCAAAAAATGTTTACTTAGTGTTTTTTATTTAGTTTACTTTTAAAATTTTTTCCTTTTGAGATAGGATCTAATCATGTAGCCCAGGCTGGCCTCGAACTCATGATCCTCTTGTTTAAGCCTCCCAAGTTCTGAGATTGCAGGCGTATAGCATCATACCTCCCTCATTTATTTTTAAATGTAGTTACAGATATATGAAACAGATACTAAAAATAATGGATCATTCCAAATTATTTGAATAGTAAATATTTGGTTAACTGGAGTTTATTTTGTTGATAATCTAAACTTAGGTTAACATTCTTTTGTTTTATTCTTTCTATAAAATGCCATTAAATTTTCAAAACATGGGAAATAATGTATGTAAAATGTACTGTATTATTTACATTCTGTAATTGAATGCCTTGAAGTATTCATCATTTGAGCATCAGTTCTTACAAGTAACATGGACTGTATGATACATCTCTTGCCCTAGAAATTTCTCTTCTAAAAAGTTAGGATTTTACTTTCTCATAAATGTACAGTTTCCTCCCTCTACTTGCTCAGGTGAAAGGAAAAAGTCTTATGATAATGTTAGAAGTTGATTGAGATCACTTTAAATGGCATTTTACTTGTAAATATATTTTGCACACCTAGCCACTCCTGAACTTTGAATGAAAACTTAATTTTATATGTGATGATACTAGCTAAAGTTTAATTGTATTTGCATTATTTTGGAAACCTAGTAAGTACTTATTTACCTATTTAATTACTTGCTATACTTCTACATCAAATGAATGGTATTCTATTTAATATACTGTGCTTTGAGGGCAGTTGTCGTAAAGGAAATACTGTAATCTTTTATTTAAAGGTGCTTCAAGAGCAGCAAAATTGAGGAGGGTGTGCACACACGTGTGCATGCACGTGCACACGCGCTGCCTCCCCCATTGTCAACAGCCCATAGCAAGAAGTACATTAGTTACGTTGAGGCACCTACACTGACTCAGCATTGTCACTAAGCCGTGACTTTTAATAACAGAAGTTTGAAAATATTAAAGTTGTTGGAGATAATTCTTTCATACTGAAAGGCAAGTGTAACTTTACATGTGTCATGAATCTTTTTTCTTAGTTGACTATTTTATAGGCTTGCTGTGAAGGAAAGTTAGAACTTTAAATCGAAAGATAATGAGTTTTATGTCATGTTTCCCTATGTGGTCTTTGTACATCCTTTTGACTTAGTACCTTTATGATTATCATGTACACTGAGTGTAGTTTTTTGAAGAATCTCCATGTTTTAAAATAATTCTTTGAGATAATAAAAACATTTAATATAATAATGTAACACTTGATACCATAGCAAAGGATTTCTTGAGGTTTTATTCAAAGTGTCACTGTTGCACCACATTACTTTCAGGAAGTTTAAAATGAGATACTAATATCTTTTGGAATCTGCCTGTTGTCAGTTGTCTTTGATTCCTAATGTGATTTTAAAGTCCTAGTTATAACCCACTTCCTATTAATTGGGTCTTAGAATTTTAAAGTCCTGAAGTTGATAGGAGAAGACCATATAGAATGCTACCTTACTTTTCGAGGAGACAGGGAGAAAGGCATAGATGAAACCAATCTAAATACAATGGCAGAAATAAGGCTAGAGGAAAGTAGAGTGTAGTAAAGGTGGTGAAAATAATAAGATCTGATAGCAGCAATACTTGGGACCCTAAGTGTTACACGTCAACTTGTAGCATTTAGGTTGGCAAATCATGACTTTACCTGTTGACATACTTAAGCCTGTGACGTCAAATGCAATATTGATAATTAAAGAGTCTGAACTATGTCTACAGTAAAACGGAGTGGGTCTCAGAAATTAGGTCATTTTTGTTATTGATTTGTAGCAAAATTTGTGGTACTGGGGATTGAACTCAGGACTTTGTTTGTGAGGCAAGCACTCTACTATTTGAGTCCTTTTTGCTTTTCAGTTTGCTTTTCAGATAGTGTCTTGCGATTTTACCCAGTGTGGCCTCATACCTCAGTCTTCTTACCTCTGCCCCCAAGTAGCTGAGATTATTTATAGGTGTGTACCACCATGCCCAACCTCTGGTTTGTTTGTTAGATAATGTTGGCAAAACTGCTTTGACTGTAGACATAGTATAACTTGATTTAAGATAGTGAACTGTGAATGAATTAAAGTAAAAGTTAAAGTGGATTTGTAATTGATTGAAAAGCTAACAAAATTCCTGAAGGAGACTAATGAAGGGCCTCAGAGTTCTCTTAGGAAAAAGATGTCAGAATCCAGAGAAAAGATCATCTAGAAAATCTGAGCTTAAACTAGAATCTAATTAACATCATTTATAAAGTTCTGCTTCAGTTATGACCATAGACAGATACATGATACAGGACATTCGATTTGATAACAGTTCATCTAGCAGGATTTCAGATTTGGGGTAAGAAGGGAAAAACAGGAAGAATATAGAATTAACTAGCTAAAAGCTTAACATGGGGCGGGCAGAGTGGCTCAAGTGGTAGAGTGCCTGCCATAGCAGAGAAGTTCAAGGCCTGAGTCCAGCCCCCGGCTCTGCCAAAGGTTAATGTGAACAAACCACATACTGTGGCTGTTAAAAACTAATGTAATCTTATACTTAGACATGATAGCTGTTTGCAGATATTTTCAGATACTCCTTTTGTGAAAGGATAGAAGATCAAGGGACATTTTGACTGCCTGTGAAATGGGCTTTTTCGAGTAGGTGCATCAGCTTTTATCATGGTGGTAATTAAGGCAAGGTTGAATGACTAATCTCTCTTGCAAAAGAAATTGTAGTCTTGGTGGAAGGTTGAATTGGATGTAGGACTTATTTCTCTCAAGCTTTTGAAGTCTTGATTCTTTCGTTCTTACACAGAAATTCTCAGGCTCTTGAGGGGTAGATTTGTGGTAGGGCATATGCTTTGAATGTACTCACACTGTCCTGTGGTGCAGAGAGAATGCCAAAGGGATGGGTTCAGATTCTAGCTGTGTCCCTAACTAGTCAGGGGAATTTCTGCAGTTCATTGACCCTTCATTAACTGGCTGTAAAATAGAGCTGGAGCAGATGACTTATGAGTCTCTTCTAGCTCCAGTGCTCCTCATCCAAATAAAGAGATTTGTTTGCTCTTTCACTTAAAGCAGTTCTAAGGCTTGGCAGTTTCAACTGGTAACGAGCCCACTGCTGTCATTTGAAAAGCTGACTGGGGTATTTGGAAGTTTTTTTTGTCAGTGGGCCTAAGTCTTTACACTTTGAAGAAGCAGCATGTTATGATAAGCTGTCAAGTGAGTCATTTAGGATCCTTCCGAGTTGTTAGGAAATAAAATCCTCTAGTTTTCAGGGTTAATTTTTTTTTTTTATTGTTACTGTTACAGAGATTATTTGTGATAATATAGATATTGGGAAATAAAATTCTTATTTCTTTTTTATGCACCTTACTGATATACTATTAGTAGCTTTTATGGTAAATATTAAAATAATTCTAAAATATTATTTCCCCAGGTCATAAATTTTTAAAATTTTTATAGTGTTTGCAGTTCCTTCATAAACATATAGCATTTAATCCATGTTATAAACTAATAACGTAACTAGTGTAGGATATATACTTTCATTTTTCTAGGTTAAAAAAAAAATAAGCCCTGAGAGATTTAAGTGGTCACATGGTCTGGAACTAGAGCTTAGGTCTTCTGATCACCAGACAGGGCTCTCCTCCTCTGCATCTTGTTGCCTCTGTCTAGCACCTGTGTATTTCTTATGATGAAATTGTAGTACGTTAAATTGTTTCTTGATACTTCACAGCTGGCAGACACACCAAAATCTGAAAGATATGAACATGTTCTGGAGGCATTAAATGATTACAAGACCATGTAAGTTGACTTATTTTATGTATCACTAGGAGGGAGGCAGTTAGTAAGTATAAGGAACAATAGCATTGTTTAAGCACTATGGGTTTGGTGTTTGGAACACACACACACCATTTTAAGCTTGAAGTAGGATTCTTGAGGGTTGGAGAAGAGCAGTACTTCTGGGGATGGTGGGTGGGAGCATATAGTCTTTCAGGGGGCATTTGGTCCCTTCTGTTGAAAAGCATTTCAGTAATCACTTCAATAATGCAGTGTACTAAAAGGAAGATTATGTCTTGTTAGCTGATGAGAATTTTCAAAAGACAGGAAAGTACTGAGAATATGGGGGTTTCTTTTTGGTAAAGATGTAAATCTGTGGTTTTAATATTACTTACTAATTAATTATATAAGAGTAACATTACTGGTGTGAGTGGTCCAAGATCACTAAGCAATAGTATTTACTATATTCTTATACAGATCTCACTCAGTTTTCATTAAGCATCATATTTACATTTCTTGAAAATATTTTCACAATGCCATAGAAATTTTATAAATGTTTATATGCAGACTCCAACAAACTTCTAAATTTAAAAATTTTTGTTGCTAATTAAAGTTGCTGTTTTGAACTTAACAGCATTTTCTCATTAAATAAAAATGTTTTAATTACTAGCAGCTAGATCTTTATTTAAATCAGCTCAATAAGCTATAAGGTAACTGAGCAGTTAAGTTATTATATTGATAAAAATATTTTAAAGGAATACAAGTTCTAAGTTCTAATCTCGAGCATCATATTAAATGTACCCGTTCCTATCGTGATAGAAATAGGGGCTCCCCATTCTTAGACATGCATAAAACTGAAAGAAGAGCATCTCAAACAACTGGTAGAGATTCTCATAGAGTAAAAGTGAAAGTAGATGGACCTGTTTGGGAATAAGAACCCAAAAGACTAAAGGAAGGGACAGGGAGCATGTTTTTCAGAAGCCTGAGTCCAGCTCTGGCATACTACTTATTTTCTGGGCCATTAATTGGTCTCATACTTTCTTTTTTAGTACTGTCACCTATTATTTCTGATCAGATTTTCTTTACTCAAAGATCCACAGGAAATAGAATTGTTTCTCATAACCTTTTTTGAGATATTTCTAACAAGACACAAAAACATATTGGTATAAATACTCTTTTTTTTCCTTGCTTTAAGAAGTTACGTGTTACCCCCCCCTCCCCTTTTGAGACAGAGTCTTGCTATATTGCTCAGGTTGACCTAACATCCTTGGTTTCAGAGGCAGGTGTGGTGATATTCCCCCATAATCCCAGCACTCAGGAGGTTGAGGGAGGAGGATCACCAATTTGAGGCCAGCCTGGCTTACATGGCAAGACCCTTTCTCAACCAACAACAACAAAAAAGCCATGTTCTCCTGGGTTCAAGTGATCCACCCCAGCCTTCTGAGTACTTTTACTATAGGCCACACATCCATACCTGGCTTAGATTCCATGTTATGAAAAAAGTGAACCTGTGCTTTTTCTCTCTTCTGGGCCAGTTCCTTCCCCATAATACCCTGCTGTAGACTGGCTCTGGAGCATACAAGAGTCAAGGGGGGAAAAGATATTGTTGTATGGGTGAGTTTTCATGTATTAACATTATGAGGTAGGGGCTACCATGTATATATGTTCAGTTTTTTAAAATTTTAGCTAATTTTTTTAAAAATTTAGGTTTATGTCTGGGAAGGAAATAAAGAAGAAGAAGCATTTGTTTGGGTTGCGAATTCGTGTTCCTCCTGTGCCACCAAATGTGGCTTTCAAAGCAGAGAAAGAACCTGAAGGAACATCCCATGAATTTAAAATTAAAGGCAGAAAGGCATCCAAACCTATATCTGATTCAAGGTAAAAGTTGATCTGTGGCTTAGTTTTTTCTCTTTAGCTAATTGTAACTAATAATGTATGTTATTTAGTCTCAGTATATTTGAAAGTGTAAGTGGCAGACACCTTAATTTCCCCTCCCCCCCAATCTATAATTTCTTTGTTAGACAAAGTATAAAGAGCTGATGTTTACTTATTTTAGGCTACTGGCCTTCAAGGAATTGTAGACCTTGCTGATTTAAGCAAACAAATACTGGCCTGACTGTTTTTCATTCATTCATGTAGCTTATTTATTAAATGTCTTATCTAAATGCTGGGAATATAACGACAGGACAGATTCCTTCTTACCCTGATGGGTTGCAGTGTGGTGGGGGAAGAAAGGTGATGAGTCAGCGAAATACTGCTGATCATGCCAGTGCCAGTTAGGGCTAGAGCATTGGGAGCTGTAGGGATGGTTGTTGTACTGCAAGAGGGGTCAATGTTAATATGTAAATTAAGATGTAAAAGAGTGAGAGCTAATCCAACAATGGGAAGTGTAAAGGGAAAAATGTTCCAGGTAACAGATAGCAAGCATGAAGGCCACAAGACATAATCTAGGAATTCACAGAACAATAGTAAGAATGAGGTGTAGAAAGTACGGTGATATCTTGGTCATGCAGGGTCCTATAGTGTCAAAAGGATTCATCCTCCCCACCCTCCCTCCCAAGAATAAGGAGACCATTTAAATGATGTAACATTTAATTGTCTTTTAAAAACTATTCTTTGCATGCTGGTTCTAGAATGGATAGTATGGGGTAAGAATACGATTTGTCTGGGTAAGAGATGAGGGATGGCTGCTTGGACAGGAGTTGATGTGGAGTGAAGTGGAGAGAGGATCGATTTGAGATTTCTTTTGGAGCAGAATTGGTTGGACTTGCTAACGAATCAAGTTAACTGATGCCAGATTTCTGGCTTGAGCAACTGGTGGATGGTGGTGTTTCTTACCAAGATATAGAAGAACATAGTTTGACAAGGTGATTGAAGTATTTTTCCTGCTTCTATTTTTCCTTGCATTTGAGATTCTCATGAGGGATTAGATAAAGGTGATTGGATTTGAAGCTATGGAGGAGCTCATAAAAATAAAAGGTCAGGGCAGGTGATGTGAATGTGGAAGGTAATTTACAAAGCAATGAAAGGGAATAAATTTATCTGTGAGACAGGTAGAGGAGAACCTGGCTTAGAATGGTGGCTGGTAACAGTTACACATTTGGAAGTGCTGAATGTGATGGCTCACACCTGTAATCCCCAGCTACCCAGGAGAGGGAGATTGGGAGGTTCTTGTTCTGGGCCAGCACAGATAAAAAGTTAACAACATCTCATCTCAAGGAATAAGCTGGGCATGGTGGTTCACAGCTATAATCTCAGTTAGGCAGGAGACATAGGTAGGAGGATCATGGTCTGAGGCTGACCTGGACAAAAAACATGAGACCCTATTTATAATAGTATAAAGCAGAAAGATCTAGAGGTGACTCAAGTGGTAGAGCACCTGCCTAGCAAGCACAAGGCCTTGAGTTCAAACACCAATACCACCACCAAAAAAAGAAAAAGGAAGGGGTGAAATAAAGAAGACTAAAAAATGAGTGATCAGTGAAGTGGGAGGAAACCAAGAAAGTTGGGTGTCATGAAAACCAAAAGAAGGGGAGTGTCTTAGAAAGGTGATCCATTAAACTCTATTGGATGCTAGTGAAAGGTGGATTAAGACCAGAGAAAAGTGTTCATGGATACTGTAACAGTTTGTTATTTATTTGGAGTAGTAAAGATACAAGACAGATTGGAGTGGGTTACTGTGTTACTGAATAATACTTCCCAATTTATATTTCAAAACTAGGCTCTCCTACTGTGGGTACATGGGCATATTCAAAATAATGAAGGGAGGGAACTGTAAGAATTCTGAATGAGAAGGGAGAAAGTGGACAGGGTGAATTGTCAGAGCTCAGTTTTTCTGTGGATGGAAGGAAGCAGCTGAAGAGAGGGACTGGGCGCAGTAAGTGATCGTTTCTTACTAATGGGAGATAAAGGAATCTGTGTGCTGAGGATAATGGCAGTGGCGGAAGACAGTGGGGCTCACAAAGAGATTGTAACGACTTTGAGAGTGTCTCAGTGTGAGAGTGACCTGGAAGCACCTTTTGTTGAAGTGGGTGAAAAAGGAAAGACGGGCATAGATGCTGGATGGATTACAGTTTGGGAAATTGGATGGTAACTTCTGTTTCCTCAAAAGAATGTGAGAGCCAAGCTAGCTTAAGAGGGTTGGACAGAGTGGAAGTTTAATGTCAGTAGAAGTGTGGAGTACTCATCTTGGAGTCTAAGAAAGAGTTGGGCATCATAGCCACTTGAAGTTTGTAATAGGATAGATGCCATTTTAAGGTTCTTTCCTGAAGGAAAAAAACGGTATTTCTGTTGCTTCCAAATTCTTTCACTCCATATCTTTGTTGGTAGTTGTCCATATTATGAATCAGAAAAAGAAGAATCCCGTACATTCTGCGTCATTCATAATGGTTTCATAGGGTGCTCCATCTGTGAGACCATCTGATGCCACCAGATAAGGGTAAACATTGTTTACCCTTAGTTCCTTCTGGGCCCTGCAGATGAATTGGTCCTTTTAGCCTAAGAGTGTTTTTGTTTTAGTATGGTGGCCCTTCCTAAGCGTTACATTGATTACCTTTGAAAAAATGTATATCCTATCCATTTTACCCTTGGGACTTGATTATAGGTGTGGTCTTTCTTTCTTGTTTTTTCTCCCTTACTTTGTCCTTCCACTGTTACCCTATTCCCTGACCTTAGTTTAGCATTTACAGGGATAGGATTTTTTCCTAGTTTTCTTCATTCACCTCTTTTTAGCATCATATATATTTATTGTTCCTCTTTGTTCCTTTAATTGAATTTTCCTGGGAAGCTTTCTCATAGTACTCCACCCTGTTTTATGAGCTCTGTGTGTATATATTTGGCAACTTCTACCTATGATGCACCATCCTTCAGCACAGGACATGACATCTCTGTACCCCTGTTATCTGTAAGCTTGCTTCTATGGCAGCTGTTGTTTACTGAGTAAATGGAGTAGACGTTCTGTGTATGGCTGTTTGCTCTTTTTCTTCTTTTAGAGGCATCCTTTACTATTACTGTTTGCCTTCTATTGCTGGATATTCGGTGTTTCAAAAATGATTTTCCAATTCTAAGTTTGCCCTGTGGATGACTTCTTCCCAGTGTGAAGTATTCCTTACTTCTTTCTGATAGCGCCGTGCTACAGTACACACACATAGGAAGGCAGCCTGTATTGATAGCGGCTATGATTAAATATAGATATTTCCATGAGGTCAACTTTTTCATAGCCATTCCCTTAGTGGTGAATTCTTGAAAACATCCCCTAGATAGTAACAGCCTAAACTAAATAAACTTGAGGAGTTGTGATACCTCTCATATAGTATGGTTTTTAAATGTTTAGGTGGTATGTGTATTCCAGTATTATAATAAAGAGAACATTTTTTCCTTAAAATTTTCAAAATGTGACTATCTCAAGATATGTTTAAAATTATCTAATTTGCCCCTGACTAAACTTATAGATGCAACTTACATTCACTGTAGTTTTTGTGTTATAGAACAATAAAATACAGTCTATGTAATTACATTTGTAAAGTTATTCTCTTTGTTTTCTTTATGCAGAGATTAAATAATAACGGTTTCTGTTTTAGGGAAGTAAGCAATGGGATAGAAAAGAAAGGAAAGAAAAAATCTGTAGGTCGTCCTCCTGGCCCGTATACAAGAAAAATGATTCAAAAGACTGCTGAGCCACCTTTGGTAAGAGTAGTTGTTGATAAGTATTCATAGAGAGTAGGGTGTATGAAATTAATAAGAAACCATTTTTTTTTCGTATTTCTGTAGAACCATGCTTTAAGTATATATCTTCCTCCTTTCCCCCCCCAGGAGAAAGAATCCATTTCAGAGAATCCTACGTTGGATTTACCTTGTTCTATAGGGTAAATAGAAAGCTGTTTTTTTTCTTGCTTAGGAATTTTCTTTTTGAGGAAATTAGTGTTTCTATTGTTATGTAATTTAGTCGTTATACCATTTAAATTCTTTTGTCTCAGGAGAACTGAGGGAGCTGCACACTCATCTAATACCTCAGATGTGGATTTCACGGGTGCTTCCAGTGCAAAAGAAACTACCTCGTCTAGCATTTCCAGGCATTATGGGTAGATACCTCTTCTTCACTTGTTTCCTTTTAGGTCCTTGGGCTGAATAACTCTTAGCATGTCTTCCAGTGTTTTGAGAAGCAGTTCATATGAACATTCCCTGATTTGTTAATCTGAATATTTTTGCTTTCAGAATATACACATTAAAATTTTCAGATTTATTAGGAAATTTGTGATATGGCTGTGCACTTTTCTGTTAGGCTTTTCTGTTTTTACTACACCAAGTGTTCTTTGCTTAAGTAGTCATTACTGGGTGCATAGGTCTTTGTCAGTGAGAGTGTTTTAAACTCAGGATTCTTATTGTTCGTTTAAATCAATAGTGTGCTCCCCTTTGCTATTTACCTAACTCTTCAGAAGGACAGATTTTTTTTTCTAAAGCACATCATGCCAGGTATGAAAAGTATACTTGGAATTAAAACTACTAGTTTTCAAGTTTTATACATTTATTTGTTTAATTATTGTTCAGAATTCAAAAATTGTTCTTGTAAATAATGTAAAATTCACTGGGCGCCTGTGGCTCACACCTGTAATCCTGGCTACTTGGGAACTTGGGACAGAGATGGTTCAAAGCCAGCCCGGGCAAATGGTCCACGAGACCCTATCTTGAAAAAAACCCTTCTCAAAAAACAAAACGTCTTGTGGAGGAGTGGCTCAAGGTATAGGCCCTGAATTAAAGCCCCAGTACTAAAAAACAAAAAGTGAAATTCTAAGTGACAGGGCTAAAGAGTAACCCATTTATTAATGAACCTTGAATAATGCAGTGTGCTCCTATGCTAACCTTTTTTTTTTTTCCTAGTACTGGGGCTTGAACTCGGGGCCTTCACCTTGAGCCACTCCACCAGCCCATTTTTTGTGAAGGGTTTTTTAAGATAGGGTCTCGTAAACTATTTGCCGGAGCTGGCTTTGAACTGCCATCCTCTTGATCTCTGCCTTGCCTCCTGAGTAGCTGGGATTACATGTGGGAGCCACAGTGCCTGGCTTTATGCTAAGCTTTTTACATGCCCTGCTTTATTTAATCTCTAAAACAGTTCTTTCATTTGCAGTTCCTACCATTTCCATTTTATAGATGAGTAGACAGAGGATGGCAAATGACAAGCCTACTGTTGCATATTTAGCAAGCATAACAGAACTGGGCTGTTAAATCAACAAATGTGACTGCAGAGTCTTTGAATTTAACAGTTATGGACTGGTGGAGTGGCTCAAGTGGTAGACTGCTTGCCTTGCAAGTGTGAAGTCCTGAGTTCAAACCCCAGTACCACCTAAAAAAATAATGAATTTAGTGGTTATAGGTAGAGATCTGAAGAATTAGTGTTGGAGGCCAGCCCGGGAAAACAGTGAGACCTCATCTCAACCAGTAAAAAGTTGGACGTGGTGGTACACACCTGTCACACTAGTCACATGACAAGTGTAAATAGGAGGATTAAGGTCCAGACCAGCCTGGGCAAAAAAGTATAAGACCTATTCAAAAAATAACAATGAAAGCAAAAAGGTCAGAGGGCATGGCTCAAGTGATAGTATTCCTGCCTAGCAAGCACAAGTCCCTGAGTTCTACTGTTTTACTGTTTAAAAAAAAAAAAAAGGATCAAAAAACCAAACTAATTTAGTAAACAGTTGTGCCTTTCCTATTCCATAGCTTATCGGACTCCAGAAAAAGAACTCGCACGGGAAGAGCCTGGCCTGCTGCAATACCACATTTGCGGAGAAGAAGAGGTCGTCTTCCAAGAAGAGCACTCCAAACACAGAACTCAGAAATCTTAAAAGATGACGAAGGCAAAGAAGATTATCAATTTGAGGAGCTCAATACAGAGATCCTGAATAACTTAGCAGATCAGGAGTTACAACTCAATCACTTGAAAAACTCCATCACTAGTTATTTTGGTGCTGCAGGTAGAATAGCATGTGGCGAGAAGTACCGAGTCTTGGCTCGTCGCGTGACCCTGGATGGGAAGGTGCAGTACCTGGTGGAGTGGGAAGGAGCGACTGCGTCCTGACTGTAGGACTGAACATTATGTGCACTGCACTCATTTCTCTAGGTTCTGTTCAGAGCCCCAGAGGAGTCTGGCTTACTGTCTTTCTTAAAAAGCAAAAAAATTCACAAGAGAAGATGATAACTAGCCTTAACATGTACTTGTCAATGTTATGGATATTGTCATAAAAAGATATCTTTTAAAATCAGAACAGAGACTTAATTTTTTAAATCTTGAGATTTGTAGACTGTTTCTAGGATAGGGTATTAAAAATGACTCAAACCCATGCATGGTGTTAGATCATTTTCTAATTACTCCATCAAGTCAGGTTTTGTGATTAGTGGTTACCACAGCAAACAGATCATGTAGATAGCACAAGTATTTGGAGAACATTGTCTGTTTTGTTACCAAAATGTTGGGAAAATCTATTTCAGTACCTTTTAGATTTCATAAAGTGCAGTGTATATAATGCCTACTGAAAGACTGTAAAATATTGAAATTTTCTTTCAAGCAAAGTGTAAAAAATATATTGAGCCTGTAAATTGCTCTGTGACTAGACTTCATTGTCGTCTTAATATATTCTTTGCATGTGCATATATGTACACACTGGTGTATATATATGTGTGTGATTATGTGACCTATGCAATACAGATTATGGGAACGGGCAGCTTTGGAGTGTATATCCCATAATTCTCTTTTCAGGAATAGTTGCAGCATTTCTTCTCAGGCTTTATTGGGTGCTGTTGCTTGCTATGTATGAAGAGAATTGTCAGACAAGTTTAGTGTGCAGAGGAAGGGTGTGAACAACAGTGTTCCTGGGCTCCTAGAATGCTTTCACTTTCAGTCCTTGTGACTCAGCTGTTCAGGACCTGAAACAAATTCAAACAATATCACCATTATTTCCTACTTAGCGTTTTCAGGTTTTCATGGCACATTATGATTGTAAATGTCTCTCAGTTTTAACAGTAAGTCTGTAGGAGTCCCGTGAAGATTCCTGAAATGTCTGTAGTAACTGTTAGTCGTGTTGAGTAAGTGTAGTATGAACAAAGTGTTTTATTGCACAGGGTTAATAAGCAGCACGCCGCTGCCGAGGCCACTGCTGCTGTATTACAGCATTACCTCTTGTTTTTATAAAATGCACCAAGATTTAAATTGATAATTTTATTTTACATGTAAAAACAGTTTCTTTTATCACCAGTGTTAGAGTTGTCTTCTATTTCTTTTTGTTTTGTTTTCTTTTCTTTCTTAGCCAAAGAGTAAACAGAAGAATATTCTTCTTTTGGTGGCTATTCGTTTTACTTTTAAAAGTGGTGGATTTTAGATTAAAAATTGGGGAATTTGCCACCAAAATGAAAAATATGTAAGTGTAGTGATGACAGAGTGGTAAAAATGTGGGTTAGTACTTATTTATTCCATTAATTGATTATTTTACTGTTTATAAAGAAAGTTGCTTTATTTCTTTAAAACATCTTCAAAAGATGACTTTTCCTTGTCACATTGTAGCCAAAAGCAGCAGAGAACGTCCTTGTCCTGCGTTGGTTCCTGGTTGGCCAGGTACAAATGAGCTTTACAAAAGTGCAAATTAAAAACTGTCATTTCTGTTTACCTCCACCAAAACTTGATTTTCCCCTAGCTATTAATTTAAAGTTGCCTTTCCTGCAGCTGCAATATTTTGAATAACACAGAGTTTGTGTTGATTTTTGAATGTTTGTTTCTCTCTAGGGGTAATGGAAAATGTAAATCCCGTGTACCTTATTCTCTTTCCTGTATCATATGCTTTCATTTCCCCTGAATCCTTTAAATCTAACTGAACACCAGCAGTATTTTTAGCAGCTCCTCCTTTAACATACTTGGAAGATGATTTATCAAGCTGAACTGTCTTTAGACGTAATTATTGTGAATGTCTGTTTTATTTTATCATGGTGGTTCACATGGCTCTGATGTTCAGTTTGTATTTTTGGAATTGCTTTACTTAGAATTAAAACAGACCAACATTAAATGTGTGTATTTTTTAAAGAGCTAATGAGTTTTGCTTCTGTATTTACTTGAAAATACACACTAGTATTTTACTAGTTAACTAGTAGTTAACTGCTTTCATTTAGCTAGGGAAGCAAGGATGTTCTCATTTACTGCTGATTACTTGAGTTAACCTTTTAAAAAAAACTTGGCTTTCATTTCATTTTGTGCCCTGTATAATATTAATAAGTATTGCATGTTCGTCTAAAACGATCTTTAAAAAAAAAAAAAAAGACACATTCAGTCAACTTACACACTTTACATTTGAAAGGCAGTATGTCTTGATCTGCCCAGTCTTAATTAGAAAAATTCAGACCTCTCAACTTTTTAAATAGTTGTCAGAGGTCACATAAAGGAGTTCTTAATTTTTCCTAAAAAGCTTTGTCCCTAAACCCCAGAAAGAAAAGATGTAAAAGTAATATACTTCAAAAAAGAATTTCGAGACAGGCTGTCACTATTTTGCCCATGCTGGTCTCAAATTCCTGAGCTCAAGTGATTTTCCTCTGCTTCCCAGGTGCTGGGATTACAGGCACATACCACCATGCCCAGTGTTTTGTAAATTCTAATGTAGGGGTGATGACATCAGGTCTTGCTAGGTATATTTTATTATTAACTTTAACAGAAATGAGTGTTCATGATGTTCAGCAGTGTTGGGGACAGGACTGTTTTGGGCTGTGTTACTGAGCTCCTGCTGGGTACTTTTCAGTTTTGGTTGGAGCACGCTGTGACTCACACACTTCTGACAGACTACTTTGTGATGTGGTTCTAGAGCTTGAATCAGATGCAGTAGGGAAGGAAGATAAGATGCCCGTGTGATACTGGGAAATAGTGAAAAATAAACAATGGGGGATTCTTTCTTGAATTCCCACTCCCAAATTCTCCCTTCAGTTTCTTCTATGGAAAACAAACACTTCAGTAAGAGCTCACTGGTCATGGCTGGTTTTCTGATGGGTAAGCAGTTAGGATACTGATGTTGATGTGGGAGAAAGCTTTATAAGCAGACTGATTATTTTCATGGGGCAGGTGCAGTATAAATGTCTTAGCATTATAGTTCGATGAAAATATTACGCTTTCTGTTTAAAATTAGAGTAAGATCACACTTTTTTTCGTTTCTCCTTCATTTTCATTTAACAGAATTCTTCTTTGCTCTTCTAGTTCGCCTTGCCTAGCATCTGCAAGGAATGCAGTGTGCAATTCAAGTGGTTTTCCACTGGATTCGAGGAAGCAGACCCTTCACAGATGCTATAAAACGTCCTTCTGGAACAAGGAAACAAACAGATCCTGTGCAGAGCCAGTAGTCTACTCTTGTACCTTGTATTTACTGAAACGTACTCACTTTTTCTCTACCCCATGGCACACAGTCCTAGTGGAGATGGTGTGTCAATCTGGCAAAGACTCGTTTATGGGGAGGGGGCAAAAATCCTGCAGACAACGGGCAGTGGCCCTTCAAAATTCAACTGTATCTCACAAAAATCTTTATTCCATGGCATTTAATTACTCTTGTGTTTTTAAAAATTCAGAAATAGTTATCAAGTGCTTAAAAAGTAGTATTAGACTTCAGATTTAAAATAGAATTTATACTTATTTTGGGATGCTTTGCAAGGAAAATGTCTTTGATGTTATAATCAGTTGTTATCAGGTAGTTGAAGATACTTTCATAGGGAGCAAAATTAACAGACCCTCCAGTCATGGATTGTGTTTGTAACTTGAGGGTTTCGTTCCTGGTGTGACTCATCCTCATTACTTTGCTATTCTTTTTGTGTCTCTGACTTTAGAAAGCACAGGCTGGAAACTTAGAAAGGTAGTGTGAGGGGAAGGAAGCACTGGATGGAAACTAGTTTATAGTAAACTAGTTGTTAGGCTCTGTATTTTTTGTCCAGAATGTGAACCTTCACTGTGAAGGACAATGTTAGAACCTATATTGTATTGAAAATACCATCATAAAATAGAACATCTGCTCACCATGATTATTTTCCTTAGAAGTAACATTTTAAAACTTTTAGTTTTATGTCTTTCAAAATTGTATACTTTTTTGGGGTGGCATTAGGGTTTGAACTCAGGGCCTTGCTGCACTTGCTGAGTGCCACTCTGCCACTTGAGCCACACCTCTGGCTGTTGCTTTAGTTATTTGATAGGATCTTGCACCTTTTGCCTGGCGCCATCCTCTGATAGCAATCCTACGTATGCCTACCATGTGGCTGGTATTACAGGAATGCACCACCACTCCTGGCTTATTTGTTGAGATGAGGTCCCACTTAACTTTGTGCCCAGTTGAGCTGTGATCCTTGTTACCCCATTGGAAAGAATTTGCATTTGTCCAAGCTCTGAGACTGTGTGGGCTTAAAAGTGACATTAATTTGTCTAGTGGAAGAAATTTCAAGGCAATCTAGCATTGAGGTAGTGCCATGGGCATTACTGGCTGCTGTTAGCCACACATAGATTTAGAAAATGTCCAGATTGGCAACCAGTCTGTGAGGGTGGGTAGGCCTGCTCCAGATGGCTAAATTTATGCTGAAATTTGTCATTAAACCCATCAAGGGGCCACTGCAATCCTAACCAATTGCAGGGCAACAGGAACTTTCAGCCTGTCACACGCTACTTGTTAGAGACACCCTCCCTCCCAGCTTACAGTGCGTACTCACTGCCCTGAGCTGCTCACCTATAACAAAGTAGGTTCAGTGTAAGTGGTTTATGTTTTCTTCTCCCCATACACTCATTGTAAAATTCTCTGGCTTAGCTGGTTCAGGGACAACCTGGGCAAATAGTTCATGAGACCCCATGTCCAAAATACCTAGAGAAATGGACTGGAGGTGTGGCTCACATGGCAGAGCATCTGCTTTGTGAGCTCGAAGCCCTGAGTTCAAACTCCAGTGTCACCACCAAAAATAAGAAAAAAACTATGGCTTTAGATCTGCTGGACGTTTTCCACCTGCTGCCTGCCCTTGCTGACTGTACCCAGGGAACATGTCTGGACTGGTGTGTCCTTCATAGCTAGTGCCCTTTTATTTTAGAGGGCTCTTGGTCTCAATAAGCTTGATTCAACAGTGGCATGCCTGAGGCTGGGAATGCCTGTGACTCTGTTGGGCCTCCTGTGCAGGTGTGTTTTAAGAAGGCTTGGCATGGATGTGATGTGAGGGGGAAAGCCAGTTAGGGCCTGAAAATTTAAAGTAGTAGAAGTCTTAGGAATGTGGAGAATTCCTGAACAGTGAAGAGAGTCAGCTGAACAGGTCTTTGCTGAAGACCTGAGAGAGGAGACAGTGGAGGAGCAGGCCTGCTGAGGAGGTGAAAGGGTGTGGATGGATTTGCTGGAGTCAGAGGTCACCTTGAAAGCAGTGGAAATAAGGGAGTGGAGTGGGACAGGTCACAGAAAGCCTCAAATACTCCAGTAGTCATCAGCTGTAGCCCCTGCCTGTGTGCTCGCTCTTATTTTTTTGGCAGTACTGGAGTTTGAACATTTGCTAAGCAAGTGTTGAGTATTTTCAAGATTGGGTCATGTCAGCTGTTTGCCCATGCTGACCTTGAAGTGTGACCCTCCTGATCTGCTTCCCAGGGATTTACAGGCGTGAGCCACCGGCTCCCAGTCTTGTGCCTTTTGTTAAAAACTTGCCCTTCACCATTCTTACAGAACAGAACACACTGATGTCATCATGATGACAGTGGGGCAGGCATGCAGAAATTTTTCAATAAAATTGTGAGTTTTCTGTTTTACCTGCAGTTGTGGAAGACTAACTTAAGTGTAGATTGAAAGTAGCTGAACAAGAAAAAAACACTTGTTTTGATGAAGCGAGTAATATCAATAAAATGGGAAACCATCGTTTTACTTAGAAGGTTATTCTAAAGTAAAGGCACTTTGAGGTATTTGAAAAGAATCTCCCTGCGTTGCAGACGAGCACTCCACTGTTGATTCCGAAGTCCACAGAGTACTGCAGAGTAGTGTTGCCTAACAAAAAACAAATCTGGAATTATCTTTGTAAAAAACACAGGAAGTCAAGACATACAGTGTGAGTTTGGGTGTTGAACCCAGGGCCCTGAGTTCTCAGTACTGCTGAGAGTTACACCCTCAGACCCCGAGTTTGTTCCGAAACAAGTGAGGAGAAAGACCCCTTGTGAAGAGTGCGAACAATAACACTCATAAAATATTTTGAGACAGAGTGGTAAGTGGAAATTCAGGTGGCTTTTTTGTTCAACATTGGAAAAGGCAGCAGAGGCTGAGATACTTCACAGTAGTCACTAAAAGTGGCTTCCAAATTACCTGATTTACTTTGTCTTTAGTATCAAGGTATATAACTTAGAAAATGACAATTTGCTGGAACTGAGGATGAGGGAACCTTGAAAACTAATGTCTTGAGAACCTACACCCTTGTCAAGGATTGAAGCTCCAGCTCTGGATCTGTGATTATTTATGTAGCGAAGAGAAAACACTGCCTTCCCATCCACACCTGACTTGAAGGAAGCAAGCGAATTGTTGCTTTTTGATTGTTTCTTCTTTTGAGGGGATGGGGGCAGCACTGGGGTTTGAACTCGGCCTCACACTTGCTAGGCAGGAAGTCTATCACTTGGGCCACTCCTTCAGCCTTTGTTGCTTCTGTTGGGAGAATTACTGAAACTGATACATTTTGAAGAATGGGGCAGAGGCAGGTCTGACAGCATGTGAGTGGAAGTGGTCAATGAAAGGAACCAGGGAAGACATCTCTTTATGAATTTTTTCCCCAAAATGAAAGTTTTCAACATTCTAACTATGCAGTGCACAAAACTAAAGGATTCTGAAAGCAGCCAGCGTGGTGGCTCATATCTATAATCCTAGCTACTGGACTGTTTGAGGCCAGCCCAGGCAAAAAGTGGGACCCCATCAATAAGCTGGGTGTGGTGGGGGCACACATGTAACCCCAGCTACACAGGAGGCTTACCTGGGAAGATCATGGTCTAGGCTTGCCACACAAGAATGCAAGAAAGACCCTATTCCAAAATGACCTTTGAAAAAGTGGGCTGGAGAGTGGCTCAAGTGGCAGAGCACCTGCCTAGCAAGTGTGAGGCCCTGAGTTCAAACCCCAGCACCCACTGTCCCCCAAAAAGATTCTGAACTTCTCAAGTTCTGTAACAGCAGAGGTGGTAGTATATAGCATTAGCCTTCTAGACTTTTTGTATTCTGCTTTTTATATTTCATTTATTTATTTATTTTTTGCAATACTGGGGTTTGAACTCGGCCTACACCTTTGGCCACTCCACCAACCCTTTTTTGTGAAGGGTTTTTTTGAGATAGGGTTGTGCGAACTATTTGCCTGGGCTGGCTTCGAACTGCAATCTTCCTGATTTCTGCCTCCTGAGTAGGTGGGATTACAGGCGTGAGTCACCAGCGCCTGATAATTCCTGTTTTTACTTAATGTGTTTCATTTTTGTATCAAAGAAATACTATGTCTGGGTATTGTGATGCATGTCTGTAATCCCAGCACTTGGGAGGCTGGAGCCAGGAAGATCTTGGGTTTGAGACCAGCCTGGACTGTACAGAAAACTGTCTCAAGCAAGCAAGCAAACAGATGAGGCATTGTTAGGTGTGATAAAATACACCCACTCTCTACCTTAAGAGTTCTGAGGCGTGGTCTCCACTCATGAGATGGTGAGGACAGCACACCACGTGAGTGAGAGTGCAGAACTTCCTGGAGCAGGAGCTGCATAGTCAGGCTGGGAAGATAAGTTGTCAGTAATTCCTGGATACTTGGGCTTCTCAGTTGCCTTGGCTACTCTTCAAGTACTGGACTTAGTTCTCAAAAGTTTTCTTATGCTAAAATCTTGCTGTGGGATGTAAGTACTGAACTCCCGTGGGCTGTGATAAGTCTCAGGCTATCAGCTTGGTACTGTCCAGTCTTTTTCTGGTCCTCAGGCTAAACACACTCTCTGTTCTTTCTCTTTGGCTCTGTGACCAAGGAATATCTGCCAGCACATTTTAAGAGCTTGTGTCCCTTGACGTTTAAGATTTGTAGCATTTGATCTTGCGTGTGCTGAGTCTGCCTGAACTCAGGTCTTCAGCCAAACTGTCTACAGGTGAAGCAGTTAATGTTACTGTGTCAAAAATGCACCTGTATGCCAGGACTGTCCGTGGAAAAGTCAACTTCGAAAAGTCAAGGCTGACTTCTCTGTTGAGATCACAGGGCATTGACTACAATGTGGGAAACAAATGTCTTCTGTGGCACAGTTGCAGCACCCACTTTTAGTAATGGCAGGTCTAACCCCGGCAGACCTCATCACAATGCACAGAATATGGAACTGCTTCAAAAAGGGAGAGGGTTTGAGTTTTCTTTCATCATCTGTGATGAAAGCCCCCTGAAGAACACAGTATGTCCTTTATACTTACAGTAACTAAAAACTAGCACATAAAGTGAGTTTGCACTGATATTTTGGTTTTATTATGAAGTTATTTTACTCATTCAAAAATATGTGTGTACCAACACTAGTGTCGGTTTCAGTTATAAAATAGAGGCTTCAGCATTTTATTTTCAAAATTTTACTACGGAGTAATTACAGATTCACAAGATTCCTGTGTAAAAAAGCACAGGAAGTTTCTCCCAGTGGTGACATTTTGCACAGTACAGTATTAAGTCCAGAAAACTGGTGTTGGCACAGCCCACAGCTTACTCAGATCTCACCCGTTTCACAAGTACATGTGTGTGAAACGGTTCTCTGCAACTTGTGTAACCACTCATTGTGCAGAGCTGCTCTACAAAAGCCTGCCTTTACTCCACCTGTGCACACCTCTCTTACCCCCGGCGGTGGAAATCCTCAGGCATTTCTGCTTCCGCGTCCGTTTTCAGGTGTCTGGGCTTGTGAAGGTTTGTGTCATAAACAAGCTATCTCTAATCTCTACCTTCCATCCTGGTCTCCTTGTAACCACCCATTTGTTTCCTATTATTTCAAGAATGTTACATAAATAGAAATCACATTTTTCAGGTTGACTTTTAAGTCACTAAATGTAATTCCTTTTTTGAGGCCCATCTGTTGCATGTTTGTTGTAGGATAGGGATGTAGCTTAATGGTAGAGCACTTGCCTAGCATGTACAGGTCCCTGTGTTCTATCCCCAGCACCACACAAAAAATTTTCTTTTTAATCACTGCATAGTATTCCATGTTAAAATCTACTCATCCACTTGTGTTGTTTTTATTGCTGTCACGGATGAGGCTGCTTTATAAGTTTGTATGCAGGCTTTATTTGAACGTTTTCATCTCAGAGATAAATGCCTGAGTACAAATGCTGGGTTGCACGTTTTTATGCCAGCAATACTTTCCAGAGTGACTATCTTAAATTCCACCAGCCGTGAGTGGGAGTTTGTAAATCAGTTCTAAAACGTATGTGGTTGTTTCTCCTTCAGCTTTCTTCTGCAGATGGCATTACTAGTCCTTTTAGAATTGAAATCAAGGCAAAAGGGGAGTCCAGACTCCCACTCAATGGTGAATACAGAATAAACCCTTTCACAGCATCTCATCATTGTGGCACTTAGAAAAGCTCCAAGATCCGGGAATGGTGCCTTTCTTTGGAAAGGAATTCATAAATCAGTGTTGGCTCACTGGTTCTGTTCATTTCTCTTCTATAGAAGACACACCAGTACATCTAACCCTGTTAAAAACTTGAGTAATAGCAGGATTGTCACATTAGTTTTTTTTAACCATTGGTCATGTTTGGTGAAGAACTTCCATGGTGGTTTTTCTCCTGCCCTGGATTTTCTTTTGAATGTTAAGATCCCTCTAATGTAAACACTCCAAGTCTGGACTCCCCAGTCTGTGCCCTTCTTCTGGAAGTTCCTTGGATAGTCTGCTCTGGTTTCTCACATGGCCTTTCAGGTATCCAGACAACTAAAAACCACGGAAGCAGACAGGTGCCGAAGGATTGTGGGTAAGCGGCTTGTCTAGGCATTGTGAAAGAAACCACCAGTGACACACCAGTCACTGTTACACATGTTGTGACAGGGTCTCCTGCCTTGAACTTCTCCTGCCTCCAGCATGCTGGCGTTACAGGCACCACTACACGCAGGCTCCTGTGCTACTTTAACAAGCTTTAAGATGTACTTTAAAAATATTTCTGCAAATGAAGAAACATGCTCAAAGGAATTTTGATTTCCAAAAGCCACCGAATTGTCAATCATCCAAGAACATCCGACACAATTCCACTTTATGTTGGGTAAATATTAGGGTTCCCAAGCCATATTCCAGACCTAGAGAATGAAGACATTTGCACTGCACAAAATGGAACCCTGGGGTGGAGATGAGTGAACAAGATCCCCGAGTGCTTGCTCACCATCCAGACTTGGAACTGACGATCTTTAGGGACAATGTGTGTTTGGGCAAGAGATCAAAAGAACAACACAGAAGTGGTGTGACAGACACAGAAAGCACGCGCAGGACTGAGATCAAGGGAAGGAAGCAACAGTATTCATGACCGCAGGTAAGGTTTCCTTTAACAGTGATTTTTATTGTGGGAGACTGTTCACCAGTTGTCACACCAGCTAGAAAAACTATTACCTGCTGAACTAGCTTCTCTCACAGCTTCAAAGAATTTTCACTTGAGGTACATAATTACACGTACATGTTTTTAAGACAGTGTTTAAGGGTAAATATACTCAACAGGAAATTACAGTTCAATTTATAATTGCAGTGCTGTTTTCAAGCATTTACTACTGTGTGTGTTGACGTTCATGTGAAAGAACAGTCCATTCTTACTGATCCACATACAAATCAGAATGAACTCTAGGTTTTAGCTAAAATAGTTTAATTTTATATAATCAACAGCCAAAAACAAAATCACCTCTCATGTGGTAAGTAGCTTACTTGATTTTAGCCTAACTTTAATTTAACTTTAAAAAACATCAAGTAAATATGCCTTTAAAAATACTGAAGATTTTTGTTGTTTACAAATTTTACCTTCTTGGTTAATACACACAACAAGGTTTTTCTTTGTTTTCTAAGTAAAGCCACTGTTGGTCTCATATAGTAGGAAGTCACTGAACTGTAGGTTTAAACAGTGGCACTAGTCTCACACACAGGCTACGTAAGGGACTCTAGCACAGTAACAGCCATGGGGAAGAGGTAGAGTTCTCAATCACAGCTTCATAGAAGACGTGTAGCTCCTATCTGTGCCCTGCCTTATTAACTCTGGTACTGTAGATCTGCTTCCCTAAAGGAAAAGGGAGGCTCTTCACAGGCCCCTGTTCCAAGGGGATTTCCTAGGTACCTGACGTGACATGTCTTCTTGGCCCAGGAAGGCAAATGATCCATCTGGCATTTATCTCATTTGGTAAAAGCCTCAGAATAGGGAAATAAAACCTTCTGTTCTCCAAGGGGCCTACAGAGGGGGGAAGGTCTTTCTGTAGAAGTGAGTGTAAACTGCAGATGAAGTCATTGTACTTCTCTGGGTACCATTATTGCTTATCAAGAATTACAGCAACATACCCAACCTGTTTCTTACTCACAATGCAGTTATACTAAAAATGTGTAACTAAAATTTCATTCATGATGAAGTTAGAGATTACTAGTATTTGAGTAAGTCTACAGACTACAGATTACAATAAACTAGATGGAGAGTTTTTATGTGTCTATGGCTTATTTACATATTAGGTGTTTTTAATTCGGGATTCTGTTTCTAATCCCTCATAGACTGACCATTTTATTAAAGTTACAAAAATACTGTAATAAGCTTGCATACCCTGTGCTAAATCTTACAGTAGGGCTTACATTTCATAAAATGTACGATACTTACGACAGTAACTTGAAAGAGAATAAACAGCAAAAACCCCACAACAGCCAAATAGTTTCCTAGAGATAAGGATGAGCCCATCCATCCCGATGCTTAGGTGAACTTCAGATCAGGTATTCAGATTTGCCTCAGTTCTTTTTTATTGTTTCTGATAGTTCTGAGATCTTGAAAAGGAGGTATTTACACTAGGCCCAGATCCTCTGAGTATTTTCTGCACAACTGCTGGTAACGATGTATTATCAAAGTCAATAATCATGTTAAAGCCAACACTGGTGACACAATATAAAAATAAATTTTATCTCATATTTAACTTTAAAGTCCTATACCTTAAGGTCTAGTAGATTATATTTTATTTTCAGAGACTGAGCCTTTATATATCTTTACTTTGGATAAACCTTTAAGTATATACATTCCAAAGAGAAAAATCTGTCCTAATTTTAGTAAGAATGACTTTACAGTTTTAAGGATTATCAAAATGTCAGTTTTTGGGATTATAAACTAAGTATGTAAAACTACTATTTTTTTTTTTTTTGCTAATGGTTTACATTGTTAATTTATTTGGTTTAAAAATATCAAAAATGTTACTTCATTTCAAAGCTCTGCTTCTAGTTATCTTCAGAAGATACATAAACAGAAGAAAGCTGGCAGAATCAGTCCATGATTACCTAATTCCCAATGATTTCTAACTTACTGTATTGAGAACTTCCACAGTTAACTTGCAATTGGCACATTTTACAGAGAAATTTCTGGATAAAAGTAGATTGTTTGGTATTGCATTTAGATTAGGCCCAGTGCTCGTTTTTTTTCCACTCACCAAATTTTTCAAGCTTTGTAAAATGCAGTTATTAATTCATCTTCATTCAATTAAAACCTACATTTTATAAAATATCCTCTTACACACAGAAGCACAACTGGGTCCACCACTTGCACAGAAGGTGAAGACCTCCTTTCACATTCAAATTTTGCTTGTCTTACACCTGGTACCTGAAAGCATTTTGGAAAGGGCAATTAATGGTCTTGACCGTAACAGTGAATCACATTTTCGAGACTTAAGTTCTACTTTTCCTCTTATCCTCAAATAGACTCTTCAACATGTAGACCTGGATGGCCGATACCACCACCATGGCCACTAAATTAACCACAGACCAGAAGTTGACTCTGTCAAAGTTGCCTTCTTGGATGTTCCGATCGCGAGCTTCAAAGGCTCGAAGCAGAGTCTGTATGTGGCCACTTTTGCTTAGTCTGGACTTGATGCTGTTGATGGACTCCTGGAGACACAGAAAACATTTTTACTGTGAAGAATATTAGATGTCTTAAAAATAAGCTTATGTTAGGTTTTTTGTTTTTTTTTTTAAAAAGACAGGGGTGCACAATTCAAGTAAGGGATAGATACAACTTGCATTACATGAAGACCCCTGTAAGGTTATATAAAGTTCTGATCAATTTACATTAATGCTTATAGTTATCCAACAAAGGTACTATGAATTGAAATTATAGGAACTATCTCAGTGGCACAGCAATTAAAGCTGTTGTGCACTTAAGTACACTAGGTTAATAACTTGCAGAGAAAGTGAAGACTTTCCTTTCACATGAAAACTTGTTTTATACTTAGTATACCTGAAGACACATTGGAGTTTTGCATGTTTTCCTTTTCAACCCTTACAACCATATGAAAATGATTTTCCCCCCGCTTTCATTAGCATATGTTCATTGCACACTGGTCACACGGCCCCCAGAGTCCCCCCAGCACTCCTCCCCGACACTGCCCCAGTCTTTGCCTAGTGTCTAAATATGTGCTTATAGTATTTTGAATATAATTTTTAAATGTTGTGGCCAATAGAACATCTAATAAAGTACTTCAACACAAAGTCAAAGTATTAGTAAAATTAGAAAATACTTCATTTTAGATGTATATACTGTACAATCAAAAGTACAATTATCCAAAATGTCTGAATATCACATCTATAAAACAATCTAAGATGCACTCTTTAAGTTACACATCTTCTAAAAAAAACAAAACAAACCTGTAATAGGGTCCTGTTGAAATAAGTGATGTGAAAACCATAAGAAAGTAAAAATCAAGATTTGAAATATGTCAAAATATTTATGGCACATGTGAAAAAAAAAACACACTAGAAAGACTTTCCTGGTAATGCGATGTCACTGCCTGTGTCACACAGGAAGAGCTGGATGTCAATCACTGCTGTGAAAAGATGGTACTACCTGGTGCCCAGGCTCCGCCTGTAATCCCAGCTACTCAGGAGGCAGAGAGAATCGCAGTTCAAAGCCAGCGTGGAGAAATAGTTTGTGAGACCCTGTCTTGAAAAAACCCTTCACAAAAAACAGCTGGTGGAGTGACTCAAGGTGAAGGCTCTGAGTTCAAACACCAGTACTGGAAAAAAAAAAAAAAAAAGATGGCAGTACTAACCAGGATGTCTTCCAGTTTCATCTCCAGCAAATCTGTCCCGGTGACATACTTCTTCCAGTCTTCTTGCTCCTGTGCCTGCTCTCCCATATTATCCAGGATTAACTCAAAGAAAATCACTTTCTCAGAAATGGTGCTGAATGTATTGTCAAAGCAGAACATGTAGTCTCCGACCTCAGTCTCTACACTGTGAAAAATGGCACCTTCAGTTATCTCTATTTGAGAACAAAGGAAAAACAACTAAAGCTTACTGGTAGATTTTCTTAGTATTGACAAATAGGTTATGGTTTCTTGAGACAGAAGCAACCTGGAAACACATCCAAGTACCTGGCAACATGTTTGGCATTTATTTAATAAACTATGTTAAATGATTTTTTTTTTTTTTGGTATGGTACAGGGCCTCATCCACTGAGCTACATCTCCAGTCCACGTTAAATGATCTTGATCTAATTTTTGGAAAAGTACAATTAAAAGCCTAAATATACAATTCATAAGAAGCAGTAATATCTATGCATTGCTGAGTTCAGTTCATAAGCTGAGGTCACTGTACGTTTTAGTAGCACCTGGCTGCTTTTCCCTAATTACACACATCTTGTCCCGCAGTTCACAAAGGTTACAGTGAGGCCTGTAGCCCACACAACTTTCCCCCAGTGCCATCACCTGACTGATCAGATGAGCTTAAGATATTGGTCTTGGCACTTTCATATTCAAAAGTAATTGGCCTGGCCAGAGAACTTAGTACAAGGGTTTTCTAAATTTTTCTTTTCTTTGGTGGAGCGAAAGCAAATATTCGACATGGTAGTGACATGTACTACTGTTGGCCCCAAACACAAGAAAACAAAACACTGCTTCCTTCAAGAAATGGCAAAACCAGTCACTACGTTTCATAAAGCATCAATGAAGTGCCTGTTACTTATTCAGTTTATTTCACAAGAGATTGCTGATAACTGCTGAAGAGAGTGTCTCCAAACCAACTCTGGTACGCTACTGAGTTCCTAAGAACCAACCTGTGAGAACTACTGATTGATGTGATATATACACATATGGTCTTTTTTATTCAGCCAGATAGCAACTATAAACTACCAAGACCCTTTTACAGCATTCAGTATGCCTAATGTGTACATTAAATAAATGAATCTTGACAAAAAAGGAAATTTAATTCTAATGCTATGCCTAGCAAGTTTCCTGTTTACTGAGATGTATGTGAACTGCTCAGAGTTGCTGGGAGCTAATGTTCTTTCCTGTCCAGCATTAGGCTCTGATGTCCTGACTGTCATTGTTGCTGAATGGGCACTTTATCTGAGAACATCTTGTCTAGTCTCTTTGTCAACATGCAGCTGGGCAGAGGGGGATCCAAACTATACTTGTCATGTGAATGAAAATCTTGTGAAATCTGGATCCATTTGGAAACCTGTCAATTTTGGTGCAAGTGTCACATTCCAAAGAATGCTTAACATTTGCTGCAACTTAACAAAGGTCTAAAATGGGCAAATTTCCTTCTAACTTTCTAGATTATGTCCTCAGTGCTACCTTTTAGTGACTATGTGCTAGGGCCTGCAGGTTCATGAAACCAAAAGGTTGCCACACCAGGACTGGGGAGGCTGAGGCAAGAGCCCGGGCTACATAAGCAAGTTCTAGGGGAGCCCTGGCTACATAGTGAGACCATGTCTCATCAACAAACCAAAGAAAAGAAACCAAGAGGAGTTCCAAAATACTAAAGAAAGGCACACACGCCTGTGAGTGTGTGTGTGCCAGGTAGACTTCTATCTTCCCTACGTGACCTGAGGAAACAGACAGTGATGTGACAGGATAGTAGACCTGATACTGCAAAAAGTCTTCCCTAAGCATGTGCTTTTCTGGAGTGTGCTGCTCTTAAGACCATTTTCTTTTTGGTCACCACAGCAGTTTTGCCTCTAATGACTTGTATATGTATTTCCCACCAATTCCCTTTTTAGGATGTAAAGCCATGTAAGGACTACTGACCTGACCTTTCACACTTTTTTTTAGTTTACACTAGAAAAAAGCACAGAAGTGCATTTAAAATTTTTATGACCTCTCATGGGAGGTTTGTAAGTGATGTTTGAAACCTTCCCATTTTCAGGACACTGGCAGGCCTGTGTTATTTTCTATAGCCTTCTGCACACAACACACAGTTCTCACTTTTTTATTTCCAGCTCTATTTTCTCCTCTTCTGATTTAGTGCTTTTTGTTTAAGCACAAGTTAAGTGAATGGATTTCAACATGCACACCACAAGTGGCAGTAGCCAGCACTTGCACACTCTTTGTATTTCAGTGCTCCCATGATGCAGCCCTTTCACTACACTGGAACTGGAACTAGAACTGGGCATGACTGGTCTTCTGGTGAAATGCAGTGCAAGCTGGCCAGGTGCCTGCTCTGGTCACGCTGCCTGCCATGGCCACAGATGAAGCTTGGTTTTCTGACTTTCAAGCTGACTTTCCTAGAATGCTGCTCAGAACATTCTAGAAGAATGCTGCCAGCATTCTCTGCAATCTCTTATTATGGTTTGGATAGGAAATGTCCCAGAGGCTTATGTGTTGAAGGCCTGGCCCACAAGTATTCAGAGGTCACTGGATCAGGAGGGCTCTAACTTCATCAATGGGCTAACCCAGAATTCACAAACTGCAGGATGGTGGGATGAGTGTCATTCAAGAGTCGACCTTGTTCTCAGCCCCGTCACTACCTCGCTGTCTCTCTCTCTGCCTCCTGTTCACCATGATTCTGCCTGGCCATGCACAGTCTTAGAAGGGATGGAACCAAGTGACCATGGACTGAAAGCTTTCTCCCTTTAAGCTAACTTTCTCAGGTATTGTGTCACGGCATAAAAAAAGCCAACACACTCCTCACTTGGGACACACTTTAATCTCTGGAAGGAACCTGATCAAATATTGGTAAATGCAGTGGGGAGCAATTTTATGACACAAATACTAAGTGCTCGAACACAGATGTGGGCTACTTCCTGAGGAAAATGTATTCACTGTGACAGTAACTGCATAACCAGTAAACGTGTCTCTTGAAGGACAGCATCTGTCAGACCGTCCCTTCTCAATGAGTGCGATACGGCTCAGAAAGGGAAAAAAAAGTTTACCTATGATAATGGTTGTGCACCTGCAAAGCTGAAGCCTACCTTAAAATTCAATTTCTTGGCTGGTGACATGACTCAAGTGATAGAGTACCTGCAAGGCCCTGAATTCAAACCCCCAACAAGAGATTATTGAATTTCTCTCATTAGGTTATCTCAGTAACAGCATAACTTCACAGAAAATGTAAGAGATGGATGCAAGAACAATGCTATACAATGATGTGTTCTGAACAGATCAGCTGATACTGGAAGACTGTTGGCTGGCTGACTGATTGATCTTGAAGTCATACTCAGGTGGTACACAAGCCTCTTGCCTGTAACTGGCTCCTTCGTTCAAGTTTACTTTCAATCCTCAGTGCTTTATGTTAAATTTACAGAGGCTAGTCAGCCCATCATTAATTATGCCAAGGGCACAAAAATTTTCAGTAATACCTGAATGATTATAGTAAGCTAGTTAAAATTAGTTTCCCACATCAAGCAAAAATTAAAAATTAATTTCACTATAATAATTTTCAAAAATGTAATTTTCCATTTTACTTTTGTTGAAAAATTATTGATTTTAAAATTTAATTACATTGCTATTACATATTTATATAAGCTTCTACTTTACATGTATAATTGATACATTACCATATAAGCAGATAAATCATTATAAGTTTCTCATAAAAAATTTATTAACGTTTAATGTTATCAGCTTAGATTTTAACTTTAGTCTTATATTTAGTTCAACTTTACTTAAGCCATTCTTAACTGTGCATTGAACAAACAGAGTAAGGTTTGGTTGGAGGCGTGGCTCAAGTGGGAGAGCACCAGCCCAGCAAGCACAAGGCCCTGAGTTTAAATCCCAGTCCTGCCAAAAGGAAAAACAATAAGCTCTATACCCAGTGCTTTATATGTAAAGCCAGATACACATAAGTTATGTATTTCACCTTTGGCTTGGCACATAAACAGACATATGGTGTATCTATGCTATTACAATTTCAAGGGACGTTAACTTGGGAAAAATTACCTGAAAAGGCTCCATGTTGGGGAGGAGGTACAGATGGGAAGAGGATGGAGAATCATGACACAGATGATGGCTAACACTTTACAGACACTCCATTTAATCTCTTTCTAATGTTGCTGGTCACAGCTTTTAGCAGAAAGGCATTTTATAATAAAAATTATACAGTATCATCCAACTAACAATGCATACATCTTCAAGAATAAAGAATAGTCCAAAATGTGTAAGTTCTAGTATGAGTGAGGATAATATTAATTCAGCTGTCTAGAAAAAAATACACTCGTGTAACCCATTCCAGGAACTACCAGACAAATGAATACTGCTTCAGCTTTTTAGTGCTATTTGGAGACTTTTTACCAAGCTCATTAGATGACAACATTCATTTCCAAGACTTGTTATTATTATTGTTTTGAGACAGGGTCTCACTATATATTCCAGGCTGGCCTCAAACTCACCATCCATCCTCCTGCCTCAACCTTCCAAGTGCTAGGATTATAGGTGTCTGCCACCAATAATGTCTGTTTCCAAGATTTTTTAAAAGAAAAACCTACTTCAGTGTTAAAACTGAGACTTTAGTTGCCTTTACAAAATTTATATGGCTAAAGATAATAGTCTTGTTTAAATCTAATTTTATGAAGTAGATTTTAAAATTTGTTGTACTGATTACAAGTGAATTAGAAGCTGGGTATAGTAGTACTTGCCTATAATCCCAGCTACTTCAAGGCAGAGGCAGGAGGATAAGAGTTTGAGGCCAGCCTGGGCAAAGGCAGCAGTGTTTCAAAAACAAAAGGGATGGGGTCTCACTTGGCAAAGTGCTTGCCTGATATGTGTGAGGCTCTGGATTCAATCCACAAACTGCATGGGGTCTTAGATGCTGGCTCTGCTCTTCACCCTCCACCAGTCCCTTAGCTACTGCACGCCTCAGCTGTGCTCACTAGGACAATGAGGGCAGTGCTGGGCACCCCAAGGGCTGTGGTACAGAGCAGAGCACATGGGAAGAGCTCCTAAATGCAATGGCTTAATTAGAGGTTACTCTGAGATAAAGCAATAACCCCTTTCCTCCTACAGTCAGATCTGATTTATCTCTAAAGGAGACCAGATAATGGGACAAAAATAAAAGTAACAGAAAAGCTTTCAGTCTGAAATTTAAAGATGAACTGAATCTTTACTTTTTGTTCATACACCCATCAAAGAGAAAACATACAAGAATTGGTGATATAGCTCAGTGGTAGAACACTTGCCAAGCACGTGCAAAGCCCTGGTTATGACACCCCAGCACTGAAGGAAAAAAAAAGACTAAAATTAAATTCTACTTCTCTATTTTATTTATTAATGGCTTACACTACTATTTTTCTGTGTCCTATGTAGGAAAAAAATGCCATTTTATGAAAAGTTATTTTAAATTAGTATCCTAAAAAATTATGGTTGAGGCATTTCTATTTCTCACTCATTCATACATGTACTTAGTGTTTGCTGAGTATTGCTTACATGCCAGGCACTTCAGTCAACAAAGACCAGTAATTACAGAAATAGCTCGTACTCACAACAGTGCTATGTGCCAGGGATGTGCTAAGCATCATATGGTACAAAGCAAGAGTTTTGGTTCATCCTGTCTCCACCCTGTATGTGTATCCCTGCTGACTTATTTAACTTCTCTGGGCATCCTTATCTGTAAAATGGGAATTGGGAATCAAAGAGTCTATCTCATCATGAGCTGGAACATGCCAACCTTAGCATACAGCAAACATTAGACACTTGGTATTTGCCCTTTCTCTTTCTATAAGCTCATAGCTTTAACATGTAACAATACTGACTAAAGAAAGTGCTGTAGTAAAGCATACCAGTGAGATACGAATAGACACGTGAGCTATAAGAAAATATGGCCTTTTGCCAAACTCAAGAGTGGCAACAAGTATTTTCTTTCTATATTGCTTCCTACAACCAGCTACTGACTTTCTGGTTTTCTACTGCTCTAAAAAGAGTGATTACAATACTGAAGACTTCATGTAATTACCTCACACTTTAGAATAAGTTATAATAAAAAAGTAAAAATAAAGAGTGAGGTGAGATGTGAGTAAAACAATTTATAGACACACACAAAGGTGTATTGTCTTTTAAGAAAGAAAACTATGGACAAAGATGATATAACCCAAGGCTGGCAAAAACTTGAGGTACAAGCTGGGCCAATCACTTTTCAGTTAAAGTAGAAAACCTGTGCCAGCCAGAGGCGTGTGTAATGCCACAATAGAGTGGATATAAAACCCAGGGAAACCAATTTGCTTAACCAAGATAAACGCCAGCTAGGCACAGTGCCTGTAGTGGCATGTGCCTGTATCATAGCTACTGCAGAGGCTAAGGCAGGAGAATCCCTTGAGCCCATGGAATTGATTGAGGCCAGCCTGGACAACACAGTAAGACCCCAACTTCAAAAAAAAAAAAAAAAAAGGAGAGAGGAATAATGACATAGAAGATGTTTTGGCTTAGAAGGTGGCTCACTATCAAAGACTTAGAGTCATTTGGAATTTCTAATACTAATATTTAGTAATAAGTGCCTTGCAGACACCTCACTGGTATTACTCACCTAAAAGACTTTAATCTAAAGAGATTACTTACGTGTGAACGCCATCTGATTTTCTTTGTTCAAAAACTAAGGTTTTTCCTTCTGGAGAGGCAAGATGGAAATCAATATCTAATCCTGCTCCGTCTAAAACCTATATAAGGGCACACAAGAGAAAATGTAAATTACAAACTCTGAAGATAAAAGTATATAAAGTAGATCATTTGATGAAGATTTTCCCTCTAAACCTGGAAAGCCACCAAAGTCACAGCAGATCTAGAAAGGAACTAGAAGCCTGTGGACTTCAATGTCATTCACCTTGAAACTTGGCCTTTCTGTGCCATTCCTGTCACCATCACCTAAATGAAGGCCTTTTGGACATCACTGAGATGCTCTCACTGAGAAGCCCACAGTTTGCACAGAAACACAAGACACTCTAAAACTCAGGGTCTGTACTTGCTAAGCAGGCCATGACCCAACCCTTTTTGCTCTTGTTTTTTTGGTTAGGGATACAGTCTCGAATTTTTGCCCACATAGCCTGGACTGGGATCCTGCTATTTACCCCTCTACATAGCTGGGATGACAGGCATGTGCTACTACCACGCCTGGCTTATTTGTTGAGATGGGTCTTGCTACCTTTTAGACTGGGCTGGCTTTTAACCTTGATCCTCCTGATATGTGCCTCCTAGTAGATGGGATTATAGGCACCTGGCCAGAAAAACTTAGTTTAAAAACACACAAAATACATCTAAAAATAAACATGCTTAAATAATACATAATGTAAAACTAAGCTTTCACATTATTTCAGTGGAATATGAGGAGGACAGTAGTAAACAAAGTTGGTTTGGTAAAGAGAAACAGACTGATTTTGACCAGAGTTAAGCACATTTAAACATTAAAATTTAGGAACATTCAATTTGGCAATATAAAACATCATAGATAACCTAAAAATCCTCTCACTATAAAACCCTTGGTTTCTATCCCCAGGACCAAAATACAAAACAAAAACTCCTGGAAATGCTGGATTATCTTCCAAAACTAATCCTTTCAACTGCATAACCAGGCACAGGGGTAGGGTGGAAGGGAGGAAAAAAAGACACCAATACCAGAGTGGTAAATAGAATTTGTGGAAAGGGTTAGTTTACTCATCATAGTTATCTTGGTTTAGTACTCCCATGATGACAGGGAATAAGACTGAAAATGAATTATGCAGGAAGCAGTTATGGAGAATTATGCTAATATATCTTTAGTAAAAGGGGAAATTAAAACAAGAAAGTCCACCAGAACCTGAAGACCACAAGAAAGCTTATCCATCTTGGGCTCAAATCATATGGGAGACAGCAACACACACTCACCAGATAGTTCATCTACAAACTTACATATCAAGCAATTTTGTAGTTCAAATTTTTACCATCCACATGTTTAGAAACCCAAGCAGAGAAATGAGTATAAAAAGTTGGCCACTGCTAGACATTGTGGTCCAACCCTGTAATCCCAGCTACTTGTAAAACAGAGATTGGCAGGATCGTGGTTCATGGCCAGCCTGGGAAAAAAGTTTGCAAAACCCCACCTCAACCAATAAAAGTTGGGCATGTTGTGGTACACACTTGTCTATCTTAGCTATGAAGCACAGAAAGGAGGATCAAGGTGAGGCTGACCTGGGCATGAAGCAAGACCCTAACTCAAAAACCCCAAAGGGGCTAGCAGTTAGAGTGGTACACTGGCTGCCTACCAAGTGTAAGACCCTGAGTTCAACCCCCAATACCACCAAAAACAAACAAAAAAATTGGCCTCCAGATATTTCTGGAGGGTTCTACCCTCAACCAAGGCCATGCAGAATTTACACAAGACATATCCTGATAAGCATGGGTATGGGTGGGTAGCTTCTGACATGGCTCCCCATGGTCCCTGGCTTTCTGATGTGCATACTCTGTGTAATAAATATAATATGGCAAAGGGATGAGATACCCTACTTCATAATTAGCTTACAAAAGATTGTAACTTTCATACTCCTAGCTTGCTTTCTCTTGCTCGCTCTTCCTCTTAACTTCTCAGTCTGATGAAGCCAAATGCCACATTGCAAGATGTTTAATGAAGAAGTTCACATGACAAGAAACTAAGGATGGCCTCTGGCTAACAGCTTATAAGGTAAAGAAGCCTCACTCCAACAACTTGTTCTATCAACAACCATTAGTGAGCTGGGAAAGGTCCTTCCCTGCTGAGCCTGAGAGGACTGCAGACTTGTTGAGATCAGAGTAGAAGACCTGGTTAAGAAGTGAGTGATTGCTGGCCTATACAAACTGTGAGCTAGTAAATGTTCTTGTAAGCCACTAAACTTTGGAGTTAGGTTTACATCAATAGATAACTCATGGATGTACATAAAGAAAGGAGAGCATCAGGGAAGGAATAAAGGAAGGTAAAATAAATCCTTTTACTTTTGTTATCGAATAAATTATTCAAAGTCATGATAGCAACAGTGTACTGGGACTGCAGCGTATGGACAAGTGACATGAATAATAACCCATCGAGGCAGCAGGGAGGAACTGGAAATATTCTGTTAATAATCCCATGAGATCATTACATTTGAGTGGTGGAAGCATACCTATGAAGAGAGCTGCCAGATGAATAACAACGTGCGGACTATCTGAAACCCACTTTAAATATAATGACACGGGCTAGAGACTTCAGAACAAGAAAATGATAACGTAAGGTAGGGTGCTACATATGAAAAATGGGAGCCCGACATGGTAGCACACACCCGTAATCCCAGCACTAGGGAGGCCCTATCTCTAAAAACAAAAATCATAATAAATGGGTCACGTTTCCAAGAAAGCAAACGGTCCTTAACACATATGCATTTAGCAACATGCACCAAATGTTAGGCAAAAATTGATAGAACTAAGAAGAAACAGACAAAACCCATTCTAGATGGAGACTTTTTTCCCTCTATTAGCAACTGGCAGATCAAGCAGGCACAACTCAGAAGGGATAGAGGTGGGCAGAAAACCATCATCAATCAACTTTATCTACTTTGGAGGAACATCTGCGCTAACAGCAGTCTTTTCAAACTCAATGGAACTCTCACATTAAATACGGTTCACATTCTAGACCATAAACACATTTTAACTTGTACTGTCAGACAGTAAAGGAATTAACTCAGAAATCAGTAACAGAAAACTTCAACATGAAATCCATCCTATTTGGACTTCCAGGTATATGAGCAAACGAATCTCCTGACTTGGGTTGTTTAATTTTTTTCATAATTGGGAACTCTATAAAGATTATAAAGATCATGGCCATACAAATTATTTTAATTAAAGATAATCAAAATCCTCTACCTTAAATGTTTGTATGAGTATGAGAAAAAGGCATGAAAGAATTCACATTTAAGAGGATGACAAGAATTCGTTAGTGATTAACTTGCTCGAAGAAGGTCATATATTAACTTTTATGTAGAAGTAAAAAAATTAATAAAAGTCAATGAACCAGAAAAAAACCAAAATATTCAAAAGCCAAGTTTTTCAAAGCCCAATAAAGCAGTACTATCTACTTCATATATATATGTAAAACACATATACCTGTATGGCATATTTATCTATCTATCCATCTATAGGCATACCATACATACCTGCAGATAAAGTGTAGCGAAGGAGGCCGAAGGTGTGACTCAAGTGGTAGAGTGCCTGAGTTCAAACCCCAGTACCACCAAAAAAAGACAGAAGATATTCTAAATGGCATTAGGTATTACATAAGTAAAATTTAAAAATTAGATGTAATGGACAACTTATTAGAATAACACTGAAATAGGACTCAATACAAAAACTGAAAAGGCTCATGTTTGACTCATCCATGCATTCAGTAAATACCCTTAATTTGTGTAATGCACCAGGTATTGTTCTAGGTTCGGGGAGTATTTTCTAGTCAACATTTCTGAATGTTTATCAGGTATCACACAGAATGCCTTTTACATGTATTAACATATTTACTCTTCACAGAAACAGTAAGAAGCAGGTGGTTATTGTCATCATTTTATATTATTTATGGCAATCATGGCACAGAAATACCATGACCACAATACCTTGTGGTCAAAATGATCTGTTTCAAGACACAAATTTAATCAAATTGACCTTCTTCAATTTTTCAACAGCTGCTAACACTCTCTGTAAAAGACCCATATCCTTCATAAGGATACCTTGAACTGATATCCTTGAAAGGTCACACGCGGTCTGGTCATACAACCTTCTCTAGAATAGTCCTATAGAACTTTTTCTACTCCAGTGGGTCAGTGTTTCAAAGTCATCCTGTTTTCTTCCTAGGCTCTTCCACATATACTGTTCTTTTTACCTACTGTCTTTTTCCACTCACCCCCTTCTGACTAGCAAAAACCTGATTATTCTCAGTCCTTAACTCCACTTTTGGGATAACCTCCCTCAATTTCTAGATGAAGTCAAATCCTCCTACTGAACACACTTACAGCATTATATTCACTTGCTTCATAAGACCTTAATTGGAAATTGGAATTATACTTTTACAGCTAAATCAATTGTTTTTCTCCGTACTTGACTATTTTAGGGTATGGACCATATTTTTTCTCAACATTGCATCCCTAGCACCTGGGCTAGTGCTGACACATTTTAGTGCTTAATCTTTTTTTTTTTTTTTGGTGGTACTGGGATTTGAACTCAGGGCCTCACACTTGCTAGGCAGGTGCTCTTACTGCTTGAACCACTCTGCCAGCCCGTGGCTTAAATTTTTAAATGATCTCTTTTATTCATAAGATACATGTATTATTAAGACATTTCAATTACTTACAATAACACAATGTGATTTTGTCAAATTACAAAAAAAAAAAAAAAAGTCTCCTGAAATCTACTATGTAAGAAATTATTTTAAAACTCCAATATGTCATAGCAACCAAGGGCAATGCTGGAGTGTCTATTCAATAATATTGTGAAAACCAATGTTGGGGCTCAGAAAATGATACCTCAAAGTAAAGACTTCAGAAGTAGAGCTTATTTCTCATCCTTTCTTTACTCCTCACTTTCTCCTGGGCAAGCCATACAGACTAGAATTATTCTTACCCAAGAGAGTTTGGAAACCATAACTCCTTTTTCCTAAAGCCAGTCATAAGACTGAAACTATTACTCTTAATTTTCCCCCACTTTTCTGTGTAAGATTTGGTCCATAAAGAAATTCTCTGATCTACTTAATTTGATATAGATCATAAGAACCCTCTTCTAGAAGGGGTCCTGTCCTATGCCCAGAAGAAAGGAATGCTTCACACAGACCAAAAAAAAAAAAAAAAAAAAAACTGAGCAGGCCTTGCTGGGTTTCCCAGCTCAGTCAGACTATTAAATCACACCCTTTTTATCTAATTGTTTCTACATGGCTGGCTGTGTTTCACACAATCTAAGAATAAAGATGCATAGTATATCCTGAGCTTTGGGGTCTTTAATCTGAATGCTCCTGTGTTATGTAAAACTATGATCACATCAATTTGTTTTGCTTTTGTCTCATATTAAGAAACCTTCAGGAGGATGGAGGAGAAATTTCCCTTTGCCCCTAATTTTAAGACAAAACAATGAGTAGCTTACAGGTACTGGGGAATTCATCATGAACTTGGAAAATGTAAACAAAGGGTTGAAGACAATCTCTGCTCCCACAAACCCTCTAACACTAACATTACAGGCATTAGTAACATAGGACTTTGCTTCTCTTCCTAATCAAAACAAGTAGCGTGGGGAAAATGCTTTGAACGACACATAAGTCACTTTAAGATGCAAAACATGCGGGAGCTGGTTACACCTGTAATCCTAGGTACTCAGGAGGCAGAGATCAGGAGGATTGTCGTTTGAAGCCAGCCCAGGCAAATAGTTCAATCTCGAAAATACCTAACAGAAAGAGGGATGGTGGAGTGGCTGAAGTTGTAGGCCCTGAGTTCAAGCCCCCTGGGGGGTGGGGGTGGGGGTGGGGGGCAAGATGCAAAGCATGAAGTTAAAGGAAGCTATTTACTATGCTAGAGGTAAAATTAATAGTCACTGAATATTTGCTGTGTTAGAGATGGTCTTAGAACATTTACTAAACTAACTTGTTTTAAATTGACTCCATGAGATTAGTTACTATTATCTCAAGTTTTCTTTTTATTTTGGTGATACTGGGGTTTGAACTCAGGGCTTGCTTGGCTTGAGCCATACCTCCAGCCCTATTATCTCAGTTCTGCAAGTGAGAAGCTAAGTAACTTGTTCAAGATCACACAAGTTGCAAGTAGGAGTCAGGATTCTGAATGCAGGTTTTGAACCCAAGAGGTCAGTAGTTAAAATAGATTTTTTCCCTAAGAGTGGGTAAGTATTGAGGAATTTTTGAAATACAAAAGTTTTTTTATCTAGACTACATCATTAACCCCCTAATTGGTTTCCTTGCCACTATTTTGCTTCTTTAAATCCATCTTTTGCAATGCAGCCAGCAATCTGCTTCAATTATAAATGGTCTTGCACAAAATAAAGGAAGAGCTACTTAGCACAGCACGTAGGACTATGGTTCATGACCCATAACCCCACCTCTTGTCTAATTTCCTTTTCTGTTACTCCTACCCTAGGTTTTCTAGTCTTAAAATCAAATAAAAACGCAATGCTTGTGGCATACACTGTGTACATATTTAAGTCTAAACACTCACACTAGGCATTTTCTGAACTATTTGTCTATTCTTTTTTTCTGATATGCACCTCATTTCTTGCACTTCTAACTTAAGCATCTTTCCGAATTGAATCTTAATTTCGCTAGGAATCCTCTTCTGAAACCCAGAGGTGATCCTCCTTTAGCAGGACTTAACCATACTTTGTTGAAATTGCCTGTTTACGAACCAGTAACTATTAAGCTACTTGAGAACAAGACTTTCTCTTTATTTGCCCCTTCCCCCTCCAATTCCTGGCACATATTGACTGTTCAGTATGTTCTGAACTTTTGATAACTCTATGACCCTATACTTTAGTTTGTGCTTACCTTATGCATCTATAAATCTAATCCTAAACTTCTTCGTATAAAAATTGTACATAACTTTTAATTTTGCTCTAACAGTTCCTGGTATTTAAAAGAAACGTAATTAAAGATAAAGCACACTAACACATGTTCTCTTGCAGTGCTACCTGGAAACATGGAAATTAGTTGGGTGGACTTAACTTTACAAGAAATTACCTCTACCAGAATGACTGCGTAAATTAAGGCAATTCCTTACAACAGAGCATTGTGGAGACATTAAAAAGCAAACAATGAGTCGGGGAAATGCTGTCAGCGCTAAATGAAAAAGGTTACAAAGTTTCAATGCACGTTGTAATCTGAAAATGCTGGAACGGAAATGTAACACTAAACACGGCAACAGCGCCTTCCTTTCACCCTATTTCGAAATCGCGCTCAGCGAGACGCAGTCACAATCTAAGCAGGGATCGTGGAGTCCCGACGCCGGAGCTGGTGGGAGTGGAGTGGTCAGTGTCCTCGCTTCCCAATGGCGAAGGACTACGTGGATCAGCTATGGGTTGTGGAATTCTGGGTGCTGGAGCGTGTGCGCTGGAGAAGCCACCGACGCCACCGGCTTGGCATCCTTCCGACCGGAGGAACGGGAAGGGCGTGGACACAACCCTGAGCCGGCCGCGCTCGCTAGTCCCGGGCTGCGGAGCCGGGCTCGGTCTCACGCGTGCGCGAAGCGGTTCTCGCCTCCCGCTGGCTCCCGTTTCCCACCAGCTCCCCATCCACAGCCAGCCCCCGATACTCCGCCGGCACCCAGTTCCCCGCCGGCTCCCCACTGGCTTACCCGGCCCCCGCCAGCTCCCTGTTCCCCCGTCTTCCAGTCCCTGCCGGCTCGCCGTCTCCCGCCTTTACCTGGTACTCGATTTCCAGCGAGGCCTTAAAGGGCATGGGCTGGAAAAAACACTCCTTCCGGCCGGCAGGCAAGGTGAAGGTGAAGTCGCTGTCCAAGGAGGGCGCGAAGCCGGCCGCCCCCGGCAGCAGTGCAGCCAGGAGGAGCACGAGGCAGGGCAGCCAGACCTTGGCGCCCATCCCTGCCGGGGCAAGCGCTGTAGAAAGCGATGCGGACGTTCCAGCAGGGAGACCCGACGTCGGTGGCAAACACTCCCAAAGCAGTGGAAGCGCTGTCCTCCAACGGCCGGGCTTGAGGGCGGGGCCAACGATCGGGGTACGCGCCCTTCTCAGTCTCGGCCGCCCGCCTGGTACCCACAAGGCCGCAGATTCCCACGGCCTCCCCCACCACCCTACACCAATCGGCGTCTCAGCAGCGGTTGTGGGAAATGTAGTCCTGGACGAACCCTGTGCGCCGCTCTGCCGCGCCTCCCGCCACGATCCCAGCAGGCCTTGCGCCGGCGTCAGGCGTGCGGAGCGTGTGAGGGGCGGAGCTGCGGCCGAGGAGGCGTGGCTCAACGGCTCCCGCGGCAGTTCGAACGCCGCGTCTCTGGGGTTCGCGGGTTGTCGGCCTCGCGAATCTGAGGATTCCACGCCGCGGCTTCCGAGCGCAGACGAGTCGCGCCGTGCGGTGAGCGAACGCCCGTTGGCGAGCGGAAACCCGCTCTTCCCCGGGGACCAGGGACCCCTCGCTCTTGCTGAGGGAGTTGTGGTTGAGAAAAGCGAAGAGGAGGAGGTTAAGGATGAACTCTGTCAGGCTGAGCGTTCTTGAGACAGGAGAACTCTTTCTCGACTGCTGCCAGCCTGTCGCATACAGGGGATGTAACGAAGGCTTGTGATTGGTGTGAGGGATGCGCGTGTCCACCCACGCGGGATGCAGAGGACGTCAGGCCTGTGTGGGGCGCCGCGACTTTCCAAATGGGACTTGCGGCGCTGGGGTCTGAACCCCTGGCCCGCGGTGACAAGGCCGGTCCCCCAGTCCCGTGCCACGCCCCCAGCCTCCTTTCGTTTTAGTTGTTTTTCCATGGGGTCTGGTGTTTCTGCCCTAGCTGGCCTGGGGCTGTGATCTGTGCCCCCAATAGGTGACTTGCCATACTTGTGAAAACGAAGTACCTCTAACTTTCTGCCCAGGCTGCCCTGCACGGTAATCCTCCCACCTATGCTTCCCGCGTAACTGGGAACTCAAAGGAGTGCACCGCCAGGCCTGGCTAATTGATTCAGATGAGGTCTTACTAACTTTCCTCTGTCTTCAGAGCAGCTAGAATCGCAGGCGTGCACTACCATGCTCAGCCCACGGAGATAGGCTTCTTGTAATAATGTGAATCAAAGTAAGGAGCAATCTTTGGTTTGTTTTTTTTGTAGACAGGGTCTTCTCCATAGTTAGCCCAGGCTGGCCTTGAACTGGTATATAACACAAGCTGGATCCGAACTCACAGTTGTGCCTCCGTTTGGATTACAGGACCTTGCCACCACACTGACAGGAGCAATCTTTATTTGACAGTACCCAGTCCTAAAGAAAGATGAAAATATTTTTGAATACCGAATATGTTCGTTGCTACCTCACAAGAGTTAGAAAATTCTTACGTGAAAATACACAGAAGTTGAACATAAAGCCTGATGTGGATGAAATATACAATACCAAATGGCATTTGTTAATTCATCCAAGTTTCCTCTACCCTTTTCTCCTTCACCTTCCTACAAGGAACTAGATGTTGAGTAAATAAAGCAGGATGAGGACCTGATCCATCCTTTTATCTGGGGAAGTCTTTCCATTTAAGCAGAAGCAAATTTGTGGGAAGGAAGGGGAAGAGGATAGAAGCCGTTTGTTTAATGAAACTCCAAAGCATCTCATTTAATTTACTGCCACAGTTGCTTCCAGTAAGATGTGGGTTTTTAACCTACCCTCCATCTGAGAAATTTTGAGTGGGGAATAAATGTAGCATACTATTTTTGCTGCATGAATGGAAGGAAAGACAGCTTAGTATTCATTTATTCATTCAAAATAGTGAGCTTTTCTAAGTACATTATAGCCCAGATATAATGCATGGAATTGCTAACCTTCTGGAGCTTGGACTGAGGTCAGAACTTTTGGAAGAGTGATGGAGGAGGAGCTGCAGTGAGAATGATGCCTGAGGGTGCAGCTGTAGTCTTGCTTTGCTGACATAGGTCCTTGTTCTGTATTTCTTTAAAGAATTAAAGATAGGCATGAAAGTGAAAGTGAGCAAGAGTTCTGAGAAGTGAAAGTAAAGGCTTCTGGGTGGAGAAGCAGAGGTGGGACCCAGAAACCAGTAGTCTGCTGAGGCCATCAGGGTTTTTCCTTTTTATAGACTTGATGATGCCTCCTGTTCCACCCCTCTCTCCCCATTGGGCCCTGCGTTGGTCTCTCAAGGTGTTGCCCAACTGCCACTCACTGGTCAGTTCCGTCATGAGCTTGGGGAGTTGCTCAGCTGTTTCTGCAAGGCTTTCTAGGCAGGAGATAACTTGTTGCACTTCCTCCATCACCATCTTTAGGATGGTTTCAGCAGTCCATTTCAAGTTCTCCCCTCTCCAAGCCTGCCCTAACTGCTCTTAGGGAGTCTGGGCCATGATCTCATGCCAAACTACTTCCTGCTGCAATGGGGTGATGTGTAGGGGCCCTGCAGCATTAGTGTTGGCCATGGGGAGGACCATCCAGAGGGTTATCGTAGTGGGTTGCCTTAGTTTTCATCAGCACCTGTAATTTAAATTTTTTTAGGCTCGAGAAGACAAATTTAACCACAAGATTTAAAAGACAGGGTCTGAAAAGTACTAAGGATTATGGCAAGTATGGGGCCCAGAAGGGGTAGGAGTCATGTTTTGGAGGGGAGCCAGAATTTTGTTTGTGTCCATACCTGTGAGGATTACCTGAGTTTTAAGAGATTGTTCCCAGAGCCACTTAGCCTGCTGGAGGGTGTAAGAATGTCTAAGGCTGGAAGGTGGTCCATGACCATCTCAGCGAGAGAGAATAGGGTACTCCAATAAGAGGGATTATAGCGTAAGAAAAGTTCTTTGATTTTGGCCTTAAGTGTGGAAATAGGGGACCATTTGTAAAATTCAGCTGAACACATTAGGCAAATGAGATGTCATAGGTCTCTGGAAATAGATCCAGCAATCCTGCAATGGGAACGTGGGAAAGACAAAAGCTCAGGAAAAGTTTAAAAAGACATTCCTGTTTTAAGGCTGTCTTCACAGGTCTTTACCTCCCTTTAACAGAGCTATTAGTGCAGCCAGAAGTTTAAGCCCCAGAGCAGAGTGACAAGCAGATAAAAGAAACATGTCATTGCTGTCTTTTGACACCCAGTCCAATCTGAAGGAGCAGTGTCGATCAACCATACCCCCAGGACAATTTAATAAACAGACTTAGCAAAAAGTGTTGTAACCTAAAATTTGTAGGGCTCATGGGGGTGACTTATCTGAGGTTTTGAACAGTAGTCTTAGTCCATCCAAAGGTTTTCTCGAGAAGGAAGCAGGTTTTGACTTTGAGTCAGGAGGTAAGGATGGAGCAGACTCTGGGTTTGCTGCCTAAGCTTCCCAGAGGACTGGGGATGCCAGGCACAGTGGAGATGGTAATCTATGTCTAAAGCCCTCAAAAGTCCCTGGGTCACCTCTGCCTTGAAGGCTGGCACATTGTCACATTGGAGGCTTTTGGAAAGACGGGAGCAGGGAATTATTTCTATGGCTAGTACATGAACTACTTCTCCAGCACATTTGGTATTGCAAGGGAAAGCCTTTTAGATGTAAAAAAGTTTAAAATTAGGCATAAATGTCAATTGAAGTGTGCATAGATTTAATAGCTCAAGAACAGGTAGACCATTGTATACATTTATATAATTTATAAGTACTCTTAACACCATTTAGCCAGATTATGATCCTCCCTAGGTGGTAACAAGATAGTACAGGCCACACACATTTGCAGGAATAGATGACATGTTTTCCATCTGGAAGAAATGAAGAGTCATCTGTCTGTCATCCAGCCAGGGTGTCCCCTCCTGGAGTGATCTCTGGCCAAGATTCCTGGTGGGACCTCCAGCCAGTACACCTATGCCTAGTCAAAGCTTTGAGCCTCACTGGGACTGGGCTTCTCCTCTTTAGACCACTGCCTGGGAGAAGAGCTTATTCCAAATAGTTTTCCTCCCTTCCTAAGACAATTCCTTATTGTTAGGCTACTCCCCAATCTTTTGTGCTATCCAGAATGGCATAGGCCATTACATGAATAAATAAATAAATAAAAACAGGACCATTCCTTGGGATAGTTCAAGAGCCCACTAGACCTAACAGGGCTCCAAGGCACATACAAGTGCTTTCACCTAAAGACAGGACCCGGATTTGGACACCATTCCAGATAACAGGGGTCGACCCAAGATGAGTATCTGATCTTTGGATATCAGAAAGACTGTGCCAACTGTCTGCAAATCTCTAGGCCATCCCTTGGTCACCTGATACTGATTGGGGAATTGGGCCTCGATGCCGAGTTATCACCCCTAGGACCAGTCTTCCTTCTCATAGACAAATAGGGAGACCTAAGGCAGGGGCCCTAGTTAGAGCTTTTTTACTTGGTTTGGTGAAAAGCATCAATGGCATTGCCATCCCACTCAGTGAGAGATTGGGAGTGCCTCTGGGCTTAAGGTGGACTCAATATAGACGCCGGACCAGACTCACATATCTTGAAATCCAAATTCTGCAACAGTCTGTCATTCCCAAGGAAGCCCTCAACTGTTAAGGTTTTGGGCAAGGGGAAAGTCAAACCTGGACATATCCTGTCCTCCCCCAGAGCATCTGTTCCTCCTTCCAAGACAAGCCCCAAGAAAAGGCATAACTGAGCCTTTTTCTTAGATACCTTAAAATCTCTGTTGTCTAAAAAGTTTTAAAGGGACTCAGTAGTCCATGAAATGACAGGTTCACTTGGTCCACAAAGAGGGAAGTTATCCACATATAGTAGCAGGGTGGTTTGTGGCTATTTCCACTCAGCCAGATCTTGAGTAAAGGCCAATGCAAAGAGGGGAGGGGGAGGCTGTCCCTAAATTCTTGAGGGAGGACAGTCCATATGACCTGTCCAGCAGCTTGAGTGGGATTCTTCAAGTCAAAGATGAGTTGGCATTTGGGATATAAAGGAATACAAAAGAAGCCATCTTTTAGATCTAGGACTGAATAACAGTAATATCAGAAGGTATCTGGGACAGGAGAGTGTAGGTGGAGAGGAACTATTGCCTCATTAACCAGGCAGAGATTTTTTTTTTCTCTTATTATTCATATGTGCATACAAGGCTTGGTTCATTTCTCCCCCCTTCCCCCACCCCCTCCCTTACCACCCACTCCGCCCCCTCCCTCTCCCCCCCCCTCAATACCCAGCAGAAACTATTTTTCCCTTATTTCTAATTTTGTTGTAGAGAGAGTATAAGCAATAATAGGAAGGAACAAGGGTTTTGCTGGTTGAGATAAGGATAGCTATACAGGGCATTGACTCACATTGATTTCTTGTGCGTGGGTGTTACCTTCTAGGTTAAATCTTTTTGATCTAACCTTTTCTCTAGTTCCTGGTCCCCTTTTCCTATTGGCCTCAGTTGCTTTTAAGGTATCTGCTTTAGTTTCTCTGCGTTAAGGGAAACAAATGCTAGGTAGTTTTTTAGGTGTCTTACTTATCCTCACCCCTCCCTTGTGTGCTCTCGCTTTTATGTGCTCATAGTCCAATCCCATTGTTGTGTTTGCCCTTGATCTAATGTCCACATATGAGGGAGAACATACGATTTTTGGTCTTTTGGGCCAGGCTAACCTCACTCAGATTGATCTCCAATGCCATCCATTTACCAGCGAATGATAACATTTCGTTCTTCTTCATGGCTGCATAAAATTCCATTCTGTATAGATACCACATTTTGTTAATCCATTCATCAGTGGTGGGGCATCTTGGCTGTTTCCATAACTTGGCTATTGTGAATAGTGCTGCAATAAACATAGGTGTGCAGGTGCCTCTGGAGTCACCTGTGTCACAGTCTTTTGGGTATATCCCCAAGAGTGGTATTGCTGGATCTAATGGTAGATCAATGTCTAGCTTTTTAAGTAGCCTCCAGATTTTTTTCCAGAGTGGTTGTACTAGTCTACATTCCCACCAACAGTGTAAGAGGGTTCCTTTTTCCCCCGCATCCTCGCCAACACCTGTTGTTGGTGGTGTTGCTGATGATGGCTATTCTAACAGGGGTGAGGTGGAACCAGGCAGAGATCTTGAATCAGCCTCTATTTGTCAGGTCTCCTTCTGATTCCTAAAATAGGGGTATTATTAGGGCTGGAACATTTAATTAAAAGTCCCTGTTCTTTTAGTCTTTTGATACTATGGATTAGTTCCTTCTTGGCTTCTGGCCTAAAAGAATACTGTTTTTGGTGAGTAAATTAAGAGGGACCCTTAAAGTGGACCCAGGCCAGGGCTGTTGTTAGTGCTCTCTCCACTGTGTGCCCATCTGTCCACACCATGGGATCCACCTGGGTCTCTATCCAAGTTAGGCAAAAATACTCCCCTGGGGATAGAAGAATCTGGACTTTCAATCTGGGCAAGAAGTCTTGTTCCAACAGAGGAGTAGGGGTTTCTGTAGCAATTAAAAGGAGTGACAGAAGTGGAAATCCTCTCGGGAGCAGGCAAGTGATTGGGTAAAATAATGCTCCAAGGGCTGGCCCAATATGCCCTAAACAATAACCTCATTTGAGGATCTGGGTCCAGGAGAAAAAGGAATAACTGAAAAGTATGCTCAAGGAGGAAGCTGACTTTGTGCCTTTCAATGGTTAAGTACAATCTGGGGCTCCTTAGTCTGTACTGTGGTCACAGGAGTCTGGATGGGAAGTCCTGAGACCTATCATTGCTTGGAGGGCTGTGTGTTCGACTCTGTCAAGAGCCAAGGGCAGCCTGTCTTCCAATGGTTACTCTTACAAGTGGGGCAGGGAACCAGGGGTTGATTATTCCACTGGGAGCACTCCGTCCAGAAATTGCCTTCCTATCCACAGTGGAAGCAGGTCCATGGGCCTGGACCTGATCCAGAGGAAGCTATCCAGAGCATAGTGATCAAAGCCTCTTTCCGCTTATCTTTCTTTTTCCAGATCCCTATTATAGAATACAGACATAGCTGTCTATGTCTAGTCTAGTTCCTGCCTCCCTCAGCTGCCAGTTTTTGAAGCTATCTGTGAATGTCTGGGGCTGATTGTGTAAGGAATTTTTCCTTTAGGACAGTGTCCTGTGAGCCTGGTGTCACATTTACTATGTTTTGTAGGGCATCCTTGGGGGCGGGGGGTTTTATTGAGTCCTTCAGATTAGGAGAGATGTTAGTAGCTCTCTGGATGGGGGAATTCCCTTTCTAGGGGGTGGTCCCTTGAGGGGGTGGTCTTTGCAAGTGGGGGAGGATCTAGGGGTGCCTTCTGGATCTTGTTGTTCAGGCAGATTGGGATGTTCAGAGGAAGGTCCCCTACAGAAAACAGCCAAGGTCTGGCAGTCCAGCCCACATGCCTCTAGCCATTGTGAGTGGTCCCTCTGGTAAAAGAAAAGCTGAACATACGGAGCCTCCACCCACTTTCCCTCCTTTGTACAAAATAAGTAGCTCTAAGATGGTATAGTAACTAATGCTTCCCCCTTCGGGCCATTTCTCCTGATCCCCCAGAGGGTGTTAGGGCCTGGCCTGAGTGCAATAGAAGAGGAGTATCTTCTTTCACAGACTTTCTGGGTCAAGATTCCTCCAGTGTTTCAACAGACAGGCAAGAGGGGATCCCTCAGGCATTTGGGAAGCTTGAACTTCCATCTAAAAGGAGGGATAAGAAATTGATCAATATGGGGATTCCCTTTTTCCCAGCATCTCCGGGTAGGGGAAACCACCCACTCAGGAGAAGGCTCCCATTCTCCTTTCACTTTCTCTGCTGCACACCTATGGCTAAGGTCTGGGAGAAACACAGTGTCTGTACCAGTGTGACCTGGACAATTCCTTTGCCTGGTTGACTTATGACCCAGATATCTGCCTCTCTTGTAAGAATGGAAGGCCTCTAATTCAAATATGATCCTATTTATAAAGGGCTGCAGGACAGCCAAAAGAGCCTGTGTGTCTAGAGGAAGGATCCTCAAGGGGCCTGTCAGTGAAGTTTCCCCTCCCAGATAGTCTTGAAAAATGGGGGTCATTCCAAGGGGACACCATGTGAGACAACTATAATGGTGGCTATTTCAACTGGGCAATCAGGCTTAGACCCCTTCCTTCTGTGAGGGCAGACCAGGGACATGCTCAGCTAAGTGCAGGACTGAGAATATTCCTATGCATTGGGCCCAATCAAAAAGGGGACTGCAAAAAAGGACAGGGAAGTTCCTGAGGGGCACAGTCTAGTGACTAGGCCTCGGACAACAATGTAGGGACTTTTCCCAGGCCTGACTGAAGGAGGAAGCCCATTGTTGTCTAGGACAGACAGGGTGACCATTTATTCTGACCCATGGAAGGAGAGAGGAAAAGAGAACAGAAGTGAAAGAGAGGAAAGCAGAAGCAAAAGCCCTCGTGGCATATGGCAGTCTGGTATAAACCCCCAGCCAGCCCCTGATTTCTTGGGTTAACTGTCAGCTGTAGAGAGCTTGGGGTATCCCTCCCAGGTTCCCAAAGGGAACTCCTCCTTCTGGAGAGACAACCAGAGAAGTGAGTCAGCCAGGGAGTCCAACCTTGTGGGAGAAGAGTCCACAGGAATGCCAGACAATCACGGTCCCTTCCCAGGTACTCTTCCCCACTTCAGCATGCCTGATACCAACCTTTGATGTTGGAGCAAGGTCCCTCAACTCAGGCCCCCTGTTGGGCACCAAGAATGATGCACAAGGGTGCAGCTGTTGTAGTCTTGCATGGGTGAGGTAGGCCCTTGTTCTCTATTTCTTTAAAGAATTAAAGATAGGAATGAAAGTGAAAGTGAGATTGAGAAGTGAAAGTAAAGGCCTGTGGGTGGAGAAGCAGAGAAGCAGGATGGAAGTCAGTAGTCCACTGAGACATCATGGTTTTCCTTTCTATAGACCCGATAATGCCCTTGTCCTGTCCCACCTCTCTCTCCCCGTTGGGCCCTGCGTTGGTCTCTCAAGGTGTTGCCCAACTGCCACCCACTGGTCAGTTCCGTCATGAGCTTGGGGAGTTGCTCAGGTCTTTGTGCAAGGCTTTCTGGGCAGAAGATGACTTGTTGCACTTCCTCCATTGCCATCTTTAGGATGGTTTCAGCAGTACCTTCGTTCAGAAAAGGTAGATGGGACCTGCAAGAGAACTGAGAGTCTGAGGTGGTGCAGGAGCACTACTGGAAGAGGAGGAGGAGAGATTGTGAAGCTGTCGTTTTTGTTGTTGGTTTTTTTTTTTTTTTTAATAATAATGGCAGTAAGAAAATGCTGGCCTTTGTCATGATTTTTTTTTTTTTTTGGTGGTGTTGGGGTTTGAACTCAGGGCCTCACACCTACTAGGCCAGGTGCTCTACCACTTGAGCAACTCTGCCAGACCTCGTCATGATTTTTTATGTGAAAGAAATTCAATGAGAATTTCACAACCAGCTCATGAATTGAAGAAACAAAAGCCCTTCTTCACTTCTGTTAACTGCCAAATATCATTTTGATCTGTGGCTTTAACAACCATTGTGAATGGGAGAAGATAATTTTTTATCTGGTAATAAATTGCCACCTTAGAAAATATTAAGGATTGTAGTGATAAAATTATCAGATCTCCAGTGCTCATAGAATTATGAAAATCCAAACACTGTATATTGAAATGGACACATAGTGGTAATCAGAAAGTAGTTTAACAATTAAAGGGGCATTGGACCCTGATGATCTGGATTCATCTTGGTTTGATTGTTTACAGTTGCATGGGCTTGAGCAAATTAATTTGTTTTATAGTAGTTTCTTTGTATTTAGCAAGGAATAAAAATACTTTTAGGAAGAATATAGGTGCTTAGGAAAAGGGGGACTGTAATGGCAGGACCCTAAAATGAAAAATTAATCCATTGAAATTGCATTGAACTTTCCATATGACTTTACACCACAGAGGAATTCATTGTTCTTGTTATTGCTCTGTTTTAAACTGCCATAAAGATTTCAAGGCATTTCAAAAGTTAAATTCTATTACTTTGAGAATATTTTGACTGACCATGGCATCTTTCAGGGAAGATACAAGAAGTTCCTTTTTTTTTTTTTTTAAGAAATGGAATCTAGTATATCAGACTACTACAGTAAAGACAATGAAGAAGAAAGCTTGCTTGCAAATGTTGCTTCACTGAGACACGAGCTAAAGTTAACAGAATGGAATTTGCAGAGTTTAGGGGAAGAGCTATCCAGGTAAGCAAAACAAAATCCTACGTAGAATTCAGAGAACTGCTTTAACTTACGAATGCACATTCATAAACGGAAGTTATGAGTGGTTGCGTTTCATGATTGCATGTCTTTAATATGCCTCTGGAATAAGATCTAATTTTGTACACTTTTTAATGTAACTCTCAGTTTAGGAAGGAATAACGAATATCAGAACATTTACATATTGAGAAAGCAGGTTTAGGATTGGGGGTGTGGCTCAGTGTTAGAGCATCCGCTTATTAAATGCGAGGCCCTGAGTTCATTCCTCAGTACTGCCAAAAGCAAAAAGCACCTTTAACGTATTAGGAATCAGAATATAAAATACATGCTTGGGACTTCATTAATTTTTCATTGTTATAACTGTGTGGTGGTGGTTTTTTTTTTTTTTTGGTGGGACTGGGGTTTGAACTCAGGGCTTCATGCTTGCAAAGCAAGTGCTCTACCAGTTGAACTATACCTCCAGCCTATAACAGTTTTTTGAATTGTAAGTAATCCTAGCTTTGAGGCTCAGCAAGCACATAGATAGCCAAGTTTAGAACTAATCATTGTTTATTTAAAATTGAGTGGGGCCTGGGTACCGGTGCTTACACCTGTAATCCTAGCTACTTGGGAAGCTGAGATTGGGAGGATCACGGTTTGAGGCCAGTCTGGGTGAATAGTTTGTGAGGCCCCCATCTCCAAACTAACCAGCACAAAATGGTCTGGAGGTGTGGATAAAGTGGTAGACCACCTGCTATGTGAGTGTGAACCCTGAGTGTAAACCCCCATCTCACCAAATTTTAGTGAAACATTGCCTTATGATAACTGTGTATCTTAAGTGTCAGCATCCCACTTCCAGTTATTTTCTGTTTTCTTAAATATATAGAAATTTGTAGTAAATACTTAAAACGATGTAAGAACTAAAGTATTTTTTTTTCTTTTTTCTTTTTTCTCTAGTGTTAGTCCAAGTGAAAATTCTGATTTTACCTCTAATCCCTCAAGGTCTGAAAGGCTCATTTTGGAGGATCTTTCTCAGCCTAGCCACTCGGGACTTGTGAATTACTTTCCTTATAAGAATGTTTGTAAGACATCTGGTAGTACCACTGATTTTCAAAAAAAGTCAAGAGATAAGGTTATTATTTTCAGACCTGCTACTTCAAATCATTTTTCTTTAAATGTCTTCTTCATATTTTCCATGGTCTTCTACTGTAGTTTAAGAATTTAAATATAATTGTTCTTTTTATGTTCTACAAGAACATCTTCATCTTAGCGTATTGGCCTATTTTTAAACACATGTTTATTTATTGTCTTTTTGCAGGTAAATGTCTTCTTTTCTCAAATGAATCCTCTTTGATTTTAGCACTTGCCCTGTAAATAATAGATAATTATTTATCAAGTGATATATGTCCACCATTTAGCCTGGATCAAGCACTGTGTGTGATAGCATTGAACTGTTCTGCTTTCATTACCCATAAGGCTGTCAGTGGTATCTGCAGTTCTCCCCTCTTTCCATTCTACCATTACCTTTCCCCATACTTACCTCTCGTCTCAAACCTTAACCTCCCTTCCATCCTTCTTTTCCTATTCTTATTCCCAACACACGTCTCCAACACACATGCACAGATGGTTGCATTTGCACATCATACTTTTTTAAAATGAAAATTTGCCTTTCTGCTTCAGAAAGCCAACCTTCAGTAAGCCATAGTAAACCTTTGTGGGCCTACATTTTTAAAAATAAATTCAAATTCCATGTATAAAGAGCATGTAATTCTAGGACCTTTGATTCCTATACTAATACAAATTACTGATCATTTGTACCATATACATGCAATGGTTGAAATTACCATGTTTTTTCATAAGTAAAATCAAAGGCAAATCACAAGTAGGAGGGAGAAGTACTGATAATGCCTATCAAAGATGGGGGGCTGATCTCTAGTGTGTGAAGAGCTCCTAGAAAGTGGGAAGAAAAGCTCAGTAACTGATGGGCTTGGAACATGTTCACACAAGTCCAAAGATGTTTCACTTTAATTCAAAATAAAACTGTATACCTTTGTTATTCATATGTTTGGTACTCCTGTGATATTGGTGGGGTACACATTGCTGGTGGGAATGCAAAATGAACCACTCCTTTAGAGAGGTGGTTGACAATATTTACCTGGATAATTATCTTACAGATATCCGGTCAAATGAAAAGCTAGTCATTGTTTCTGATAAGAAAAAGATTAGGAATGGCTCCAGTGTCTAGTAATAAATGATTGAATAAATGATGGTTCATTCATGCCATGGAAACTATGCAGTTCAGGAAAAAAGAACATGAGTTTCTCAATATCATGACTGGAAAGCTTGCCAGTGTATATTCTTCAAGTTAAAAATGCAAGGACATGTGATATGCTGGTTTTCGTATAAAGAGGCAAGGGAAGTGGGCAATTTGTATTATTTGTGTCTGCACTGGGAATCAGTTACTAAATTAGAAGATCAAGATAGACAGGCAGATTTGGGAGGTGGCAGTACTCAGGGCTTCACACTTGCTAGACATGTCCTGTGTATGCTGAGCCATACTCCCAGCCCTTTTTTATTTTCTTTTTTACAGATTGGGTCATGTATTTTTTACCAGGGCCAGCCTTTGGACTGACATCCTCCTTCCTATACCTCCCCATTGCTGGGAACACAGGCACCTGCCATACACCTTGCTTCTGGTTGAGATGGGGGTCTTGCTCATTTCGTGCCTGGGCTGGCTCTAGCTCCATCTCTCACATAGCTGGGATTACACACATGCACCTGCCTAGCTGTAGTCAAAATTTTTAAAATGCATAAATAGATGACTCAAAAAAATTAAATAATGTTTTCAAAATCATAACCCTCATGAAAATTAAAATTTATTGTAAAATATGTAGAAATATGTACAGATTAAAGAATATTTTATTTCTTGGTGGATATATAGGTTCCTCCCATTATCTCTTATGGACACTGTAGCTATGTATATTTTTATATCTTCAAGTACAAAAGTATGAAAGTTCCTATTAGATTTATACTGAGGAGTGATGTTGTTGATTCATAGGGTAATATCAGGCAGGTTTAACAGTACACTGTCATCCAAGTTGTACTTAATTTATGCACTACCAGCTGTAAAAAAGAGTAAATGATTATCTGACATACTTTTTAATCACTCACTAAATGTTCTAACTCACTTTCCTGAGCCACTAAGTCATTTTAACGACAATTACATGTCATTTTCCTTTAATTATATGTAACCCCTGAATAATTTAGATTGCTCTGTCTTACTTTTCAGATGCCTTTTCCATCTTCTCCTTCAGTGGATCAGGAAATTAAAAACCTTCGAGAGAAACTTAATAAACTGAGGCAGCAGAATGCTTGTTTGGTCACACAGAATCATTCTTTAATGACTAAAACAGAATCTGTCCACTTTGAATTAACACAATCGAAAGCAAAAGTATGTATCTTGAAGTGATGACATGCCAATAGAAAATAATTGTAATAATTTTAACATTTATATTGGAAAGACATTCTATTGCCTGTGTTATACCTAGACTTTTTATATGTTAATATAATATTGACATTATGAAATTAATCTTATGTCTGAAAATGATTTAGGGGAACTTAATAGTTTTTGCATTTAGATAAATCAGCTTCTTAAAGTTTTATTTGCCAGTAGTGGGGTTTGAGCTAAGGGCTTCACTCTTGCTAGGCAGGTACTCTACTACTTGAGCCACTCTCCCAGCCACTCTTAAAGACTTAAAATTACCAATTTGTGTGGCTTTATTTCTTACATAGAGAAAGTATAGCTTATTTACTTGCCTGTTTAAGAGAAAACATTATTAATGTTGAAAACTTAAAAAGTAGAAAAAAGAAGAGGGAGAAAGATCACTCAGGGTTTCCTGTTTAGAAACTGCCTTACTGATTTCTTTCATAATTGAATCCAGAGTGTTTTAATAGTTTTGTTTTTTTATGTGTTGTTTTACTTCACATACAGTTTAGATTTTCTAATAATATTTGCATAGCTTTTCATTGATCAATTTTATGGTAGCATTATGTTTCATTATGTAATTATATTATAATTCAATTAATAATGTCCCTACCTAAATGATTTCTTTTTTTTTTAACTATATTTGGTGTTATATTAAAAAAAAAAACAGAACTCAAAATGCCCATTGATGAAGACATGGTTAAGTAAATGGTGGTATCTGCATAAAGTGGTTGCAACAATGCCTTTTTTAAAAAATATGGTAAAGCCGGAAGTCTGTGGCTCACTGCTGTAATCCCAGCTACTCAGGAGGCAGAGATTAGGAGGATTGTGGTTTGAAGCAAATCCTGGGAAAGTAGTTCTTGAGACCCTATTTCAAAAAAAACCATCATAAAAAGACTGGTGGAGAGCCTCAAGGTGTAGGCCCTGAGTTCAACTCTCAGTACCACAAAAAAAAACCCAAAAATTTTTAAGAATGGGGTAAATATATCAGTACTAAGATGCAACGTTGTTTGAGTAACATGGAAGTCTGTGAGCTGCAATGGTGTGCTATATGCAAAGGCATGCAGAACAGTGTGGCATACTCGACTCTCAAAAGCAGCTACCTGTTATATTTAGTGGTAGAAACACATCACAGAGAAACACAGATGTATGAATTTACCAGTTCTGCTTCTTATAAACCTCACGACTGTGTGTGTGTGCATATATAGAGAGATACATGTGTGCAACATGAAAGGATGAAGGGACAGTTCAGACTGCTGTATGTTCATATGCTGTATGGGAAGATCTGAGTGGGGCATTCCCTCTTTATGTTTATAGTTATTCTATTTTGTAGATGTTATATGTAATTGTAAGTAGTAGAGTTATGGGAAAGCTTTATTTTTCTTTTCCATTTAAAAAAAAAATGCTGTTGGGGTTTTTGTCTAATCCAAGGAGAAAAAATTGTAGTAATGACGTAAAGCTTCTTTAATGGGTGGGATTATTTCTTGGATAGAGTTCAGAGGCAGAATGACCAAAAGAATGTTTTCCAGAAATTTCCTGCATTCTGTATTCAGTATTCTACATTCTTTGTCACTTTGAGGGAGAAATGCTGTTTTTCCTGATTGTTTCTGAAGTTTTCCTTGTCAGTATATTTGTGTGCCTTTTAGATTTCTTTGTGATTTCTCCACCTTCTTTATTTTTTAATGACTTTTTAATTTTCTTCAACTATAGGTAATTTTTGTTTAAAGTCATAAATGCTTATTTAAAGTCTAAAGAGAGCTTAAAAACTACTAAACTGATCACATTTGAACCATTTTGGGATGTAAACACACTAGTGTTTATTCTAAGCACTTCCCATCTTAGCATTTTCTTGTTTTGTTTTGTTGATGGTTCTGGGGTTTGAACTCAGGGTCTCATGCTTGTTAGGCAGGTGCTCTGCCACTTGAGCCACTCAGCCAGCCCTTTACTTTGTGCTGGATATTTTTGAGATAGGGTCTAATGAACTGTTTTTCCAGGCTGGCCTCAAATTGCAATCCTATTGTTCTCTGCCTCCCAAGTAGCTAGGATTACAGGTGTGAGCCACCGACGTCTGGCTCATCTTAGCATTTTCTAAGCATCGATTAATTAAAGTATTTTTTAGGGAAGCTGCCTTTTCTAGGGTAGTTCTTGAGGTTTTGATATTGTATATATTCCACTATTAGAGCCTTTTGCTGAAATTCTCCATTGATTCAATCAGCATGTGCGTAAGTTACCTTTGGACAGTGCTTTGTCCATTCTGGAGCATGGTGCCTGGTGTTTCTGAACATTGTGGCATCCAGGCTTACTATCCAGTTGCTGTCCTAAGATTTGCCGATGTTTTTCTAGGTTGGATCTGTTGTCTCCCCATCTCATTTTTCTCTACTTTGTATTATTGGAGCTTGTCTTCCAGTTACTGCCTTGCCCATCTGAAATGTCTTAATTTCTCCTCAACTCATGATTAAATTCTAGGTTTAAAATTATTTTATCTCAGAATTTTTGGAGCATTGTTTTTTGTATCCTCCAGGGCTGTGTTGAAAATGCTATTGGGGATAACCTCCCTTAACATCTAATCTTTTTCCATTTGTTTTTGCCTTATTGTAGTTTTTAAGGATTTTCGCTCTTTGCCTGCTTTTTAAGTTTTTATGTTGGTTTTGTTGTTTTTCCCAGTAGTACAGTAGTGCAGTGGGGTTGAACTCAGGGTCTGGCCCTTGCAAGGCAGGAGCTCTAACCCACTCATTCTTGTTGATGTGTCTTTGCATAGGCCTTGATTACCTGTGTTGAGAACATGAGGGCTGAGCTGATGTTAGTGTTTTGACTGCATGTTTAAGAGAACAGTGTTTAAATGCTGTTTGGAAGCTGCTGTGTATTGGTGCAATTCCATCAATGTATATATTGACCCTGCAAATTTTCCTAACATCTTTTTATATGATGATGGAGTTTTCTTCCCTCTGTTTTCTTAGTTAAATGTCAGATCACCTGGATCTGTCCTCTAAATCTTGTAGATTTTTTTTTTTACTTTCTGGAAAAATGTAAGCCAAGGAGATTTTTCATCTCCTTACCTTCCTGTGATTCTTTCAGGAATTTTCTTCATTACTTTTTACACTTTCCCTTAATCTATTATTTTGGCTGTTAGTTTTTTCCTTTTCCAAAGCTTTTGTTCTCTGTTTTGTATTTAATGACATTCTGATGCTGTATTCTCTTTAAGCTCTGAAGATTTAATGATTTTTTTTTCATATGTGCTTGCTCTACTTGCTGCCAGTTTCTTCTTTCTTTTGTTTGTACCTCTAAGTTCCATGTTTGGAGCTTTTTCAGATGTTAGTTTTGACTGCATATTTAAGAGAAAGGCATTTAAACGCTGTTTGGAAGCTGCTGTATATTGGTACAATTTGATCAGCAGGCTTCGTTAGTGAGTGATGTCTGTGGACTTGGCTCTTTTCTAGGTAAACGTCTACCTGCCCCATCCAATATCACTGTACAGTGATACTCTGAGTTTCTCCAGCAAGGAATCTTTGATTCCTCCTGTGGGAGAGCCCTAAATGAGATGGAATAGAAACCTGAGGGCTGGCACTTTAGTACTCATTCCTTAGTTATAGCTCTGCCTCCAACCTGCTCATTGTAAGAGGGGTAACTGTTACCTAAAGAGAGTTTGAATTGTATATGTTTTTCCATCCAGGGCTTCATCCCTTTCCTCTGCTATACTTCATGTTCTAAACTTACTTTTTAAGAACAGTTCTCATATACACACATACACACACACACACACACACACATTTTTTGTGTGGTAGTAGGGTTTAACTCAGGGCCTTGAGCTTGCTAGGTAGGCACTTTACTACTTGAGCCACTCTGCCAGCCCTCATTGATACTTTGATTATTGATTAATGCAAGAATAGTTATCTTCCACACCATTTAGGTTCCTTCCTTGCTACATTATTCTTTATCTTCCAGGATATAGGATTACTGTGCTTTTCTGTATTATTTATATTTTCTCTATTAAGCATGTGTTCTAAAATTAGTTTTTAAGTCATAGAATTCAATAATTTTTTTTTCCTTTTCTTTTTTGATGCTGGGATCGAATGCAGGGTCTCACACACATGCTTGGCAAGTGCTTTACCACTGAGCTACATCCCAGCCTAATAAATATTTATTATATTTTATACTTTGGTATTTTATATTTAATTTTCTAACTTATTTGAAATTAATCTTCCTAGATGATGTTGATAGATATTCTGTTTTTTTCCCACATAACTAATCAGCTGTATTAGGACATTAACTCAAGAATGATGGCAGAAGCTCACGTTTTTAGACTGTCTTGTGCTGATGATATGCTTATGTAAACACTGATGAACAGAATTGATAGGATGAGCTATACATTTGACTGGGGACTGGGGAGTCCTAGTAGGCCCCTCATCAGACAGGAAAAAGACTAGTGTTTTTAAATGACGCTTTCTGAAAACTGTTTTCACGTTTTAGATTTCTATGCTTGAATCTGCTGAACAACTGGCAGCCAACATCCCAATCTTAGAAGAACAGATCATTAATTTGGAAGCAGAAGTTTCAGCTCAAGATAAAGTTTTGAGGTAAATGTGCTTTTGTAGCATTTAAATTTTTATTTTCTACTTCTTGTTATATCTTTTTAGTGTTAGGGATCTAAGCTAGAACCTCAGGCATGCTAAGTCATGTGGTCTACCACTGAGCTATATACCCTATCCCTCTGCTTGTCATATCTTGTTAAATCTTATCCCTCACCCCCAATAAATCTATAATTACTTAATAGTGTATTACAACCTATTGAATCTATTTTAAATAACTCCTTGGCTGTAGGTTACATGTTGTATAGGAACGGAAAAAGAATAAATCTATGATGAGGTGCTTATGTACATGCTTTTATTAAATATGAATTAGAAATCCTTAGAGATGAATTGAACATCATGTGGCTTTCTTTCTGCTAGGACATGTGGAGCTGTCACTAAATACTTTGTCTCTAAAAAGTAACTTTCTCTGGTTGATTGCAAATACAGTTTTATAAACAAACCCATATATATATAGACATATAAATATTAAAATTATCACAGAAGTTTTGGAGGTTATAAGAGCATTTAAGTCAGAGTCTATATTGGACAAATAAGCTCATGCTTTTCAAATGATTTGGAAGTCACATTTCTTTGCCTCTTTATTTGGAAGGTGAGGATTTTTTTGTTTTGTTTTATTCAAGTAAAATCACTGAACTTGTGCAACAGTGGAATGGGAATTACTGTAGGTGTCTTGTGTGATTGTTCTTCAGCTAGGTGAACAGAGCTTAAATTATAAAACTAGAGATGGAAGTATAAGAAGTGTAAGTTCATGCTGTCCACTTATAGGATAAGTTTTACTTTTCATAGCTACATAACATAATGCCAGTGATTCATAGGGGTTTTAAATTAGTTATGTGGGTTAGAACACCAGAGTTATTGGTGTCCACATTCATCTAAAATCTTTATTCTCTTAACGTTCTTGTTCCTATTGAAACATTTCAGTACACAAACATACTGCAATGTTAATACCCTAGAGAAAAGCCATTATAATGTATATTCTGGTCATCATGATCGGGGAAGTACAGTTTTTTTTTAATAAATTGTCATACCCTTCAATAAATAAGAATTAGATTGGGGGTATAGCTCACTGGTGAAATACTTGCATGGTATGTGTGAGACACTGGATTCAATCTACAACAACAACAAAAATTCAAGGACTGGAGGATGGCTCAAGTGGTAGAGCAAGGTACTGGAGTTTAAAACCCCAGTACCACCAAAAAAAAAATTAGTTCACTTCTTGTTGTATGTATTAATATATACTCAGTGCTTAAATGAGTTCAAGAAATGTAAGAACTCAGATACGTTATTAGTTACTCTTCTCTTCTGCCTTGAATAAAATGGGAAATACAGTGTGCTGAGTATCAGACTGTTTGTCGCTGTTTGAGTGATTCTCAGAGAGCAGTTCTGACACTAGCAGCACTGTATCATCTGGGAACTTGGTAGACATGCAGGTTCTCAGGTCCCTTCTCAGTCATAATGAACCACAAACTTTGGGGCAGGGCCTTGAGCTCTGTTTTAACAAGTTTTTCAGATGAGTCTGATATGAACCAAAGGGGTCTTTTTTAAAGTTTATTCCTAGGCATTTTCTGTATTGGCTATTGAGAGTTTATTCTGCTCCATTCATTGCTAGTATATGATTTTTTATTTTTTACTATTTTATTTTCCTTAAAAGAGCCAGAGTCTTGCTATGTTGCCTAGGCTGGCCCTGAACCTGTGGGCTCAAGTGATCCTTCTGCCTCAGGCTCCCAAGTGTCTGGGAATAAAGGCATGTACTGCTGTTCCTGACTTAGTATTTTATGATGTAATTATTTTATAATTGGACTTTTCTCATCTCCTTTATTGGAATAATTTTATTACGATTCTCCTTAGTTTTACAAGTAGCTAAGGATATTATAAGCAAGTAAAGAAAAATTTTCTCAAAACATTTTTATTACTCTTTCAATTTTATTATTTGCTTGAGGTAGAACTGTCAGAAAAATCTTTAGAGCTGGGTATAATGGTACACATCTGTAATCCCAGTTGCTCCAGAGGCAGAAGAGGTGGATCAAAAGTTCAAGGCCAGCTCAAGCAGAGGTGGTGGGTGGCGAGACTCTGTCTTTTTTTTTTTTGTGGTGCTGGAAATTGAACTCAGGGCCTTGAGTATGCTGGGCAAGTGCTCTATCCCTGAGCTACACCCCAGTCTAAGACCTTGTCTTAGAGACAAAATAAAAGCAAGAATATTGGGGACATAGCTCAAGTAGTAGAGCATTTGCCTAGCATGATTGAGGTCCTGGGTTCAATCCCTGGTACCACCAAAAACAAAAAAAGAAAAATCTTTAACTGTAGGGTGATAACAATTTTTCTTATCTCATTTCTGAACTATTTAGTAATGTTCATAGTATGTAATGTGAAATATGTGAGCTTTTATTGTAGGGACATTTCTCATTTAATGAAAATACTCTTTTATTCCTCATAAAAAGCTATTATTTGACAAGTGACTAATGTCTTTATCTCATTATGTATTTGTTACTCTTAACTTACTGATTTAAAGTAATAGAATTTCTAATATTGCATTATTCTGGTATATCTGTAGTAGTCACTTTAAAATTTTTCTCTATTTGTAGAGAGGCAGAAGAAAAATTAGAGCAGAGCCAGAAAATGGTGATTGAAAAGGAACAGAATTTGCAAAAGTGCAAAGAGGAATGTATAAAGTTGAAGGTGGACTTACTTGAACAAAGTAAACAAGGAAAAAGGTATGTGGGTTCTTTTTGTTTATTAACTTTGCAATGCTGTGGATGAAACCTGGGTGTCAGACATGCTAGGCAAGTGCTCTAGCCACATTCCCATCTAAGGTGTGTGTTTGTTTTAAATCAAATAACTTTTTTTTTTTTTTTTCTTTTTTGTGAAACTGGGGTCTGAACTCAGGTCTTCGCTATTGCAAAGCAGGCACTCTGCTGCTTAAGCCACTCGTCTGATCCATTTTACTCTGGTTATTTTGGAGATGGGGGGGGGCGTGTCTTGTGAACTGTTTGATAGAACCGACCTTGAACCTTGATCCTCTTGATCTCAGCCTCTTAAATAGTTAGGATTGCAGGCATGAGCATTCACACTGGCTAAACCAAGTAACTTTTCTGTGTGTGTCTGTGTTGTATATTCTTGAGATAAGGTCTTACAAAATATTTGCCTAGTCTGGCTTCGAACCAAGATCCTCCTGATCTCTGCCTCCCAAGTAGCTAGGATTACAGGTGTGAGCCACCAATGCCTGGCTAAATCAAATAACTTTTAAAGGAAAAATGTTATAGAAATTTGGCAGTAGAATACTTTAATGTCCTTTTTTTTTTCATTTTTCATTAAAATTTTTATTCATGGATTTTGTTTCTGTCATTCTGGGTTGGGATTAATTCCTGGTATAATTATTAATGTAATGATATTTACTTATTTTCAAAATTAAGTTGTGTTACCTACTTAAAACAAGTACATTGTGTTTAAAATACTAACACTGAAAACACCTATAAATTGATTACTACCTTTAAGTAAAATGTTGCATGAACTTTTTTTTTTTTTTTTTTTTTTTTTTTGGCAGTACTGGGGTTTGAACTCAGGGCCTCAAGCTTTATAGGCAGGCACTTGTGTGCACTCTTTAAAGTAAAATTTTGCTTCATAGATATGATAGGAAAAGAAAGTCAATTCATGAGATACCATAGTTGGGTCTTATTAAGAGTATATAAATGATATGACAGTTATTTTGTATAAATTGTGCTCTGAAATAAAACTTGTTAGCCCTAACCAAGGAACCATTAATTTTAAATGCCAGTTAGTAATAAAATATGATTGATGGTATCTTTTATCTAGGGCAGAATCATAATCTGCATTTTTATCTTGGACAGCAGAAATATTTTAAAGATTTATACAATGATACAAATTAGGTCATGAAGAAAGTGTTTTAGATATTGTTTTAAATAGGTTATTTGTTTGGTGTGCATCAGTTTCATCGATAAGTTCTTTATCATTTAAACAGGTTTAGAAAACCATTTTTCCAGCAGCAATTGGCTAGCCTCCTTCAGGTAACAATCTGAATTCGTTAGGCAGTATTATCTATTGGAAAATGTTTGGATTTTGGAATGAGCCAGCGAGATCTTACCTCTCAGTGTCTTGTTACTTTGAGCCAACTATTTAGCCTTCCCAAACTCAGTTTTTCAACAGTTTAATCAAGATAATTATGTTGATGTAAATAGAAATGAAGATTAAGTGAAAAAAGAAATGTAAGGTGCCTACTAAATAATAAGTACCAACAGATTTTACTATTGTGTAAACTGTGTGGTTAAATACTCTAAAATTCAGACTTCTTACTCAGATAAGCTTTGTATTTGGTAACTGAAAATAGATTAAATACATGAAGACCAGATTCAGAATATAGTTGCTAATAAAAAGTACAAAAGAATAGCTGCTAGTTTCCTCTGTAGAACTTAAATAAGAGACCCTTTTAAGGATAAAGTAGTGATTTTGCTTTCACAAGGTAAATAAGTGGGTATAGATATATTCCAGACACCATGTACCAAGGTGTAGAAGTGTAAGAAAGCATCATTGCTAAAACACTCTTAAGTAGTTGTTTCTTTTAGTTTTGTATATTTATTTTAAATGCCAAACCCCAGTGCTGGGGATCAAACCTAGGGCTTAGCACATACAGCTAGGTAAATGTTCTACAACTGAACTACCCCCCAACCCTGTTTTATGGACTTAAGTATAGTAGGAGATGAAGCAAGAAAGACAGGCTGAGTCTAGCCTATATGTGGTCTTGCATGTTTGCTATGAACCTATGGTACACCATTAATTGTGAAATACAGACCAGTCTTAGAGATGTTAAAAATTTGATGTATTCTATTTGTGAGTATGGTTAATGTGAGTATTCAAAATGTATGGTAGTAAAACCCACTAACATCAGATTTACCTCTGAAAGAAGTCATTGGAATGGGATTTGCAAGGGGCACACGGGGACCTCAACTCTATTTATAATATTTTGTTTACTTAAAATGAGGGTATCTGAAGGCAGAGTTAAAGCTCATTAAAGCTGGGTTCGAAGTATGGATACACTTACCAAATGTTTCTGTATACTGAAATATGTCATGGCTTTTTAAAAACTTGTGAGGGTAAAGTAGTCAAATTTGGCCTGAAAGGAAGGGTGATAGAGGAAAGCACAATGTCTGGGGATATTTTTGTTCCTTGGAGTGAGAAATGCAGGTGTCTTTCCTTCTTAACTAACTATATAGTCAGATGGCTTTTCAGAGAAGGTATCTTCTACATGTTCCTGACTTTCACAGCTGCTGCCCAAACTTAAGAATCACATAGCTTCAGGTATACTTTCACTTGAATTTGTTTCTGGTTAAGACAAAGAAGCCAGTAGAGAAGAGACTGAGAATACAGAAGATAAAGTAAGTTCCCAAAGGGGATGAGTTAAGATCCACATTCAGATTGTGTAACTCACCTTGGATAAGAGCAGGGTCAAGCATTTCACTGACATTAGGAAGAATGTGATGGGAATAAATTTAAATATAAAAGAGGTTTTATGTATGGGTGTGATACTGAAATACCTTGTTAAAATTTGACTTAATCTTTGCATAGGTCACAGAATGTGCTAAATATCTTTAATATTCTAAGCAGCGGACTGATTCTATAACGTAATGTTTGAAAATTTGTCACTCATAATCAGGCTTCTTCTCTAATCTGTCTAGTTCAGATTGGGGGGAAATTGCCAAATGCATAAGAATTTATGCTTATTGGGGTGATCTAACCAAGGTACAATCTAAGCCTATCAGAATTGTCACAATGAATCCCCCATATAAAAACATATCCTAATAAAAGTGAAGGAAAAAAGAACTTATATATATTTCAGAGTTTATGTTTTTAAGTGTTTTCTGTTATGTTTTACTTTATGCTGATAGAGTAAGAAAATTATTGTAGTTTAATTTTTTTTAGGGGAGTGGGGGGCATTACTAGGGGTTGAATTCAGGGCCTGTGCTTGGTAGGTAGGCGCTGTACTACTTGAGCCAGTCCTCCATCCCTTTTTGCTTTGGTTATTTTTGAATAAGGTCTCACTTTATGCCCAGGCCAGCCTGGACTACAGTTCTCTTATCTGTGCTTTGCTGAGTAGCTGGAATGACAGGTGCCCACTGCTATACCTAGCTGTTGATTGAGATGGGGGTCTCATGAACTTTTGAGTTGCGCTGGCCTCTGAGCCTTGAGCCTCCTAATCTCTGCCTCCTGAGTAGCTAGGATTAGCCCATGCATGGCCTATTGTACTTTAATCTTAACCTTCATTTCACAGTTAAGCCTAAAAAAAGCCACAGTTATGCTTTTTTAATATAGAAAAATCTGCTTGTTTCTAATTATGCCTTATAATGAAATAGAGATTACTTGGGATTTAACTTCAAATTTAAAACATTGTTTCATTTTATTCATTATCTCTTAAAATTTTAGAGCTGAACGACAAAGGAACGAAGCATTGTACAATGCTGAAGAGCTGAGTAAGGCTTTTCAGCAGTATAAAGAAAAAGTGGCTGAGAAGCTGGAAAAGGTGAGAGGCAGTGTGCAGATTCAGTGTTTGTATTGCTGTCTGTGTTCTGTAGATGAACACCTGTAAGTAAAATACGTTTATGGCTGAAGAGAGAGACATTTTTAGGATTTTATCCATTAATAAAATCAATGAAATGAGGGTTTATTTTTTTTTTAAACTTGTTTTGTTTTTACAGTATTGGGGTTTGAACTCTGGGTTATGGTGCTTGGTAGGCAGGTGCTGTACCACTTGAGCCACATGCCAGCCCATTAATTTTTACTTTTAATTTATTTTTATTTGTTTTTTTGAGGCGGGAATTTCACTATGCTTCTTAGCCTCAAACTCAAAATTCTCCTGCCTCCACCTCCCAAGTGGCTGATATTACAGGTATGTACCACTATGCCAAGTGTAAAAAAGAATTTTAAAATATTAGTTAAGTATGAGTTCACCAATCTTTTTATTATCAGCAACACTTTTCTGTTTTGTTTTATTTTGTTTTTTTAATCCAAGGAAGGAAAAGAATAGGGTCAGGCAAAGGAAAAATAAAGACCCAGTGGGTGAGCAGATATTGGATCTAGAGACGTAGAAGCATGAAATTCATTCCTATCAGCTCACTGAAATTGAAGACAGAGTGGGTTTCCCTTGATCTACCATCCTGAGAGTGGCTCACTTCTGCCTCTCACAGGGAATTTCCCTTGAACTGATCCTGTGTGGGAATATAATCACTTTACTACATTAATTTCTCTAAGAAATACTAAGTCATAATATAATTTGTATGTGGAAGGCCACAAGTTGAATATTCACATACTCAGCTCAGAACAGAGATCTGGTAAAGAGGTACACTTTACAGAGAATTTGCCTAAGTTACTTAATTTCTCTTTGACTCACTTTGGGCACTTACCTTCATTATAGACTGTTGAGGCTTAAATAAGTTATGTTATTATTCTATAAGAAATATAAAAAAGCTCTCAATCTAATAACATTTGCAGGTAGTTCAGTATTTTGGAATAAAAATAAGTGGTAGGTATGGTTGGAGACCTGAAGTGGGTTTAACAGAGTTTGGTGGGTTCAAAGAAGGCTTCAGTAAGTAGGAGATGCTTGACCTACTAGGGTATCTCAAAGATGACCTGTCATTGGACAGTATTAAGCTCAGAAGGCAATCAGATACATATTGTAGGATACACACTCTGAGATCACTGTGAAGCTGTATTGGAAAGGTATGAGGGACGCCAAGGATACTTGAAACCAGGCAAGAGGTGTTAAATGATAGAGCTGAGTAGATAGGTATGAGGGATGTCAAAGCTGGAGAATCAGTAGGGTCTAGTGACCACTTGAATATACTGGAAGCAGACAGTAAGGGAGAAGAGTATATAACCTTTAGATTACTGGTTCAGGTAACTGGTGAATGATTGCATCATGAATCAAAACAGATAATTGGGTAGGGGAGGGAAGGAGGGAGGGTTTCTAATCAGGAAATGTCTATAGGATATCCAGATATAGGTCTCTAGTGAGTATTTGTTTTTTGTTTTGTTGTTTTATAACTTCATCTGTATTCTTTTTTTTTATTAGTTTATTCATATGTGTATACATTGTTTGGGCCATTTCTCCCCCCTACCGCCGCCCTCTCCCTCTCCCCCCACACTCCCTCACTTCCAGGCAGAATCTGTTCTGCCCTTATCTCTAATTTTGTAGAAAAGAGAGTATAAACAGTAATAAGAAAGACAAAGCGTTTTTGCTATCTGAGATAAGGATAGCTATACAGAGAGATTCCTAGCATTGCTTCAATGTACAAATGTGTTACATTCTAAGTTGATTCATCACTAACTGTCCTTTTTTCTAGTTCCTGATCCTCTTCTCATATTGACTTCTGTCACTGTAAAGTCTGCAGTGGGGACATCAAATACTACCATGTTTTGTGTTTCTTACTATCCCCATACCTCCTGTGTGTGCTCTCCTCTTATGTACCTCCAGTTCTGCTCATAGACACTGAAGTCTAGATTAGAGTGGCAGATTTAAGAATTGACAGTATTTAAGTGGTAAAAGCTTTGGACAGTATATAAAATAAGAAAAGGATGAAAGATACAACTTTGGGAGTTAAAGAGTAGGTAGAATAGTTTTTGAAATATATTGAGAGGAAGTGATCAAAAAAAGAGAAGAAAAAAAAAGTAAATAGAATCAGGAACATATAATACAAAAAGACAAGACAATCCAGACACCTGTAATCTTAGCTACTTGGAACGCTGAGATCAGTAAGATCGCAGTATGAAACCAGCCTGGGCAAATAGTTTGCAAGACCCTTTCTAGAAAATACCTAACAAGGTAAATGTATGGAACTGGAGAGCATCATCTTAAGTGAAGTTAGCCAAGTTCAAAAGGCCAAAAGCCACATTTTCTCTCAAATGTGGAATATAGACCTAACACAAATACAGCAATATTATGACAAACAGGTCACACTAAGGGGAGGTCACATACGAGAGGGGGAGGGTAAAAGAAGGAAGTTAAGAAGTTGAATATGGCTGATGTACTTTCTATACAAGAATAAATATAGAATTTTTAAACCTGTTGAAACCACCATAAGAAGGGGACCAAGGCAGAAAGAAGAAAAATAGAGGTGAACCAATTTGGATTATTATACATATTTTAGAAATATCTTTAAGACACAGGGGTGTCACAAGACAGATGTCACTACTCAGAAGTCAATAGGCAAGACAAAATTTACTTTTGCAAAAGGGTACACCCTGTTGAGCACAATTTCGAGCTCCTCTCCTACTGACCTAACTGGGGGCACCTGGAGATGCAGAAAGGACAAAGGATAGAAGACAAACATGCATAAAGTTGGGACCAGCTGTGCTGAGCGCTCAGATGGAGACACACAACAGCATCGTTACTTCTTTTCTCTATTATTCTCTTCTTTTACTCTTCTTTTCTCTTATTCTTTAAAACCTTACTTCTAAAGTCTTTCTTCTTTTTTAGTCTTTAAAGTCTCTTTCCTCAGACTTGCATTGTCCCATGTTCTCTCTTTAGCTTTCTTAAAGTCTCAGTCCTTAGACTCACAGACACACAAACAGCCAGCAGCAGCAGCATTGTCATTCTCTAATCAAAACCCCCATTCAAAAAACCTCCGGTCCTCCTTCAACCAGTCTTATATCCCGTGGTAAACAAGAAGGTGGAGCATCAGTTCTCGGGAGGGGCGTGACATTGTAACAAGAGAAACCTGCCTTCTCCTTCCTTCTCTGAACATAAACGAGTTAGGAAAAGCAGCTGTGCTGCATTTTGCCTTTGCTCTCTTCTGCAGCTGGGGCCATGCCAAACTCAGCCTGTAGATCATTGAGCATAACATGCTTGTGTCAAGTTCTCATAGGCTTCTCATAATCCGCTCCCCATAGTGTATCACTCCAGGAAGTCTGGGAGGCAATCACACTGGGTGGGAAGTCTGCAGGGGTTTTATCTGATGCCATGCTGGCCCTCTCCTGCCCCTGAATTGGGCAGATTTTGGGATTACAGTCTAGGCAGTTGGCTAATTGGAAAGGCGCCAGGTTGGGAGGGGGCTTTCGGAACAAAGAAGTTTAAAAGCTCAGGGAAGCAATAACTATTTTAGGTTATCAGCTCCAGAACCAGGGCATATAGTGGAATTTTTGCCCTGGCCCAGCTGAGGATAACAACCCTTTGTTCTTAATAGAAACTTTTATCATATTAAGCTGAGTCCATGAAGCAAGTGTATGGGAAACAAGTTAGTAAGGCAGTTATTACTGATTAAATTCTCTGACAGAAAAGACCTGACCTAAGCTGATTCTTACATACATAGACATGCAAATGTCACAAGGAAACTCCCTGGGTAGGTATCTTAAACGAACAAAAATGTCATTTTGTTTTCTTTTACAAAATTGGAGAACAGGAAGGCAGAACAGGTTCTGCCTGGGGCATTGGTACCAGTGGGATGGGGGAGGAGGTGGGGAAGGGTGTGGGAGGGTGAATATAGTGTACACATATATGTAAATTGGACAGTGATACCTGTTGAAACTATTCCAGGAGTGAGATAAGAGGGGATAAAGGAGAATGATGGAGGGGATAAATTCAAGTATGATGTATTTGATACATTGTAAGAACTTTTGTAAATGCCACAGTGTACCCTCACCCAGCACAACAATTTTTTAAAAAAGGAAGAAAATACCCAATAAAAAAGAGCAGGCAGAGTAACTCAAGTGGTAGAACGCCTGCTTACCAAGCACACAATCTAGAGTTCAAAACCCAGTGGTGGTGTTTAATGCCAGATGTTACAAATTTCTCAAGAATGATGAAGAATGAGACCTGGCAATACAAAAGGTGCAACCTCTGAAGTGGGAAAATGAAAGGGAGGCAGTAGAGAGGTGCTAAGAGACATTTTGGTTTTTTGGGGGGTGGTACTGAGGTTTGAACTTGGCCTCACACTTGCTAGGCAGGCACTCTACTGCTTGAGCCACTCTTTCAGCACTAAAAGACAATTCTTTAGATAAGGTGAAGAGGAAATAAGTGTTGGGGGACAAGGATGGAAAGGCAGAAAGAAGCTTGGTTAAGAAAAAGAGATTTTAGGACTGGTGCTATCCAGAACATATTAGTAGGCTTGAAGGACTGGAATCAGTGGAAGAGGTGGCAGAGGGAGACTGGAGATGCCAGAATTGTAGGGAATGAAAAGATGCACTGAGTTCTGAAGGTTATGTACAGTGATACAATCCAAGACCATATTTTTTTTTAATAAAATGACATTTCTGTCCCTTACTGAAAAAGTGGATAAAGATAAAACACAAAAAAAGTTTTGTGTGGGAGTAAGAAGGAAAATTGAAGAATTTTGAATTAAACGTGTTTGGTCTCATACGTTAAGATGTTGCTCAGATGATTTGTGCAGCATGAGAGTGACAGGAGGAATTTTAGAGGCTTGGGGTTAGTGCTTCTTGTAACAATTGTAATGAGGGTGAATATAGCCAGTTTTCAAATGGAATATATAATGAGAAGAGCACAGTAAAAACAATAACAAAATGAACAGTTGATAAAGGAAGTAAAGAAAGTAAGAATGGCCACAGTCCTTTACAATACTCTTGTGGCAGCTAAACAATTAGAGTGTGCAGGAGACATCAATTGTATTTGTTACTAAAGTCACAAGAAGGCTTCCTTTGGCTTTCCTTGGCACCACTACTGCAGTGCAGTGTAAAATACTAAGATCTCATTAGATATTGAAATCTTCAGTGTGAATTAGGTAATCAGATCACTATATTGAAAGTCTCAGAGAAAGTCCCTATGGGAATAGAATATCTTAGAAGAGATTTTTTTTTGGTGGTACTGGGGTTTGAACTCAGGGCCTTACATTTGCTAGGTAGGCACTCTACCACTTGAGCCATTCTGCCAGTCCTTTTTTGTGTTGAGTATTTTCAAGATCTGGCCTTGCAAACTATTTGCCTGAGTTGGCCTCTAACCAACTGATCTCTGCCTACCATGTAGCTAGGAGTACAGGTGTGAGCCATCCATCAGTACCTGGCTCTTATAAGGGATTTATTTTTAATAAGTAATTATAAGGGAGGAATATTTAGTAGGAGGAATATCTTTTAGGATTACATTAGTTACTATTACATAGCTGTGACCAAATATCTGACAGAACAACTTAAAGGAGAAAAGGGGTATTTTGGCTTACACTTTCAGAGTTGTCAGTCCATCATAGTAGGGAGGGTATGGCCGAAGCAGAACAGTTAACATCATGGTCACCAGGAGGCAGAGAAAGGGAATATAGGAAGGGGCCAGGATAAGACACAACCCCCACGGACATGCCCCTAATGACCTACTTCCTCCAATGGGGCCCTCTCTCCTTCCTTCTACCACCTCCCAGTGAAGCTAGCATATTATGAATTCATCAAAGGATTAACTCATCCATTAGGTTAAGAAACCCCCCCCCTGCCAAGAGCTAATCTTCTCTATAAATGCCATCACAGACACATCCAGAGTGGGCTTTACTACTCTCCTAGGTGTTTCTCAGTCCAATCAAATTGACAAAATTAATTGACAGTTAAGATGAATCATCACAGCCAGGCTCTGGTGGCTCAGATGTGTAATGCTAGCTACTTGGGATGAGATTGGGAGTATCATGGTTTGAGATCAATCTGGGTAATTTGCAAGAACCCCATCTCCAAAAAATACTGAGAGCAAAATGGACTGGAGATGTGGCTCAAGCAGTAGAGCACCTGCTTTGCGAGTAGGAAGCCCTAAGTTCAACCTCCAGTCCCACCAAAAAAAAAAAAAAAAAAAAAAAGATGAACCGTAACTGGGAGGCAGAGATTGGAGGATCAAGGTTAAAGGCCAACTTGAGCAAAAAGTTGGCAAGACCACATCTCAACCAACAAGCCAGAGGTCCCAGCTACTGGGGAGGTGAAGGTAGAAGGAGCATGGTCCCAGGCTGCCCCAGGTGGAGTTACAGATCCTCTCTGAAAAATTAAAAGTGAAAGGACTGGGGACATGGCTCAAGTGGTAGAGTACATGCCTAGCAAGCTGGAGGCACCAAGTTTAAACCCCCATTCCACCAAAAAAAAGTAGCCATCATTAGAGAGAGAAAACTGCAAGAGAAAGGTTTTGTTTGTTTGTCTTAGTATTTTCCTTAGGAGTACCAGGTTCTAACTGTGCTCAGCTGAGCCCCTATATTTGGGCAGGTACAACAAAGGATATTATGGAAAGTGGGTCAGACCTTCTCAGTTCTCCACTCTTGGGTCAGCCTGGGTTCTTTTACTTTTTTACATTTGGGGCTGTTATTTCAGTGGGAGTATTTTATGGCTAAAGTTTCAAAAATTACTTCTCTGGAACATTTGCACTGAAGTTAGCCTTAGTGACTTGAGTGCAGGATCCTGTTTGAGTAGCTTGCCTTGTTCACGTTTGGCCAAAGCTCTTTTGCTCAGATGACAGTGCTGTTGCCCATCTGTTGCAGGCTCCAGGACCTCTTGGCAGTCACAGCCTCTTCCCATCTCTTGTACTGCCACAGACTTTACTTTGCTTCTTTTCATTACCAGGCTGAGGTTTTAAACATGTGATGTACTTAGTCCACCCTGCTTTTTTCTGGATCAGTACTCATGTTTTTTTTTTTTTAAACTTCTGAAACTTATAACTATGTTCATATGCCCACTTAAAACAACTTAATTGTTTTAGGTTCAAGCTGAAGAAGAAATACTAGAGAAAAATCTTAATAACTGTGAAAAAGAAAATAAACGGCTACAAGAAAAGTGTAGTCTTTATAAAAATGAACTTGAAGTTCTGAAGGAGAAATTAAGGTACAGTGTTCTGTTGTGGAAATTGGGGTTTTAGTGTGGAAGTGGGAAATGAAACAAGACTTTGTACATTGCAACTGAAGAAGGGGAAGCTTTGTGACAAACTTTTCCAGGGGTAAAGTTATCATTTTAAATGTAATCAAAGGTGTAAATGTTAAAATCCTTGTAAATATAGAATAATATTGCTCAACATACTGCTTTGCATGTATTTAAAGAGACTTAACATAGACATAATGTACTTAACAGTATGATCAGTTGTTAGGTGATTAATCATTAGCTAGGTAAGATGTTGAAATAAAAAGAATTTTTCCTATCATGAGGAATCGCCTAGTCCAGGTGTCTTGTTGTATAAGTGAGGAAACAGAGGCTCAGCGAGTCAGAAAGGTCATTGGAGGGTGATATCCAGGTCCTCTGTCTCCTGTGTCCCTGTGCAGTTCCATGTTACCCTCCCAGAATTCATCCCCATCAACTTTCAAAGTTTTATAGTCATGGCTCTCTATCATCTCAGACTTGAATGAAAAAGGAACGGGCCCTGGGAGCAATCAAAATAACTGCTTGTCTAATTTTAACTTTTATTTCATTTTATTTACCAAGTATGGTAGTACTTTCAGTGTTTTTGCTCAGGTGGATGATGCAAAGATAATGTTACAGTTTTATAGTTACTTTTTGTAACTAGAGCATTTCCTAGAATCTGATGCTATCAACTGCAAGAAGTACTTTAAGAAAGAAAAAATACTGCTAATTACGTGATGATACAGTGCTTTACCACTTAAATTTTCTGAAAGAATTTCTGTTGCTAATTAGACATTTCTTTTCTTTCCTTTTTTCCAGTGCTGGAAATTGAATCCAGGCCCTTTCAGATGCTATGCAGGCACTTTCCCCTTAGCCCATTAATTAGGCATTTTTTAAATCATATGCTACTTTTGTATAAAAAGGAAAATATAAGTGAAATAAATTGGTTAAGATATTTTAAAAAGTTCACGTGCAGACTGTGACCCTTCTATATAGTATCTTCCTCTGTGCCATCAGGAGTGTTGCTGCTCATGCAGCATTTCTTCAAAGACTTCTTGTGGGAACTAGAAGTCATTGATGTTGGGCTCTTCAGTTGATTGTGCAATTACGTAATGCCAACTTGCTGTTGCTCCTATGTCAGGAATTTTGAGATATGTATGTATGAGAGAGAGAAGTTGGGCAGGTGCTAAGTTTTATGTATATGTATTATGAATACAAAATTGTACATTTTTGGGATAGCTTGTGACGTTTTAATAAGTGTGCGTTGTGTAATCAGGGTAAACGTATATATATGTATATGATTTAGCACCTGCCTAGCCCCTCTCCACAGCCACTTGTTTCTGTGGGTTTTAAGTACCTTCTTGTTTATATACACCCATTCTCTACAGGTTCCTTTGATGTGTGCACATGCATAAGTAATGAAACTGCATTGCAGCTCTGCTTAGCTGACAGTTCTTAAAGGGGCTCTTATTTGATTATCACAATTTCAGAGATGTTAAAACTGTGGGAAAAGTGAACTGATGAAATACAGTAACAGTTGTAAGCATAAAGTTGTTTTAATGTTTGGCCTCTTTTTATAGGTAAATGTGTGTGTGAAATGACTTACTGCCTATTAAGCTGTTGCTGGTAGACTAGACTTTTCACTTTTGCAGTTGTGTTGAGTAAATGATTTTTCCTTATACTATCCAAAACTTTCTTGATGCTGCAAAATGTGTCAGGGATTTTGAAATTAGACTTATCTTACACATTTCAAAAGGAAGCGCAATGCTTCCAAGGTAGTAGACTGTCCTGCACTACCTTTTGCTGTGAGACAAGGGGCAATTCTGGGCCTCCTGTTTCTCCTCCATAAGCAGGAGGTAGTAATAACCCAACCATAAGAAGTATGAGTGCTGGCAGGCAGATCATAAGCGGTCAGTAAATTTCAGTCAATATTATTTCAGAATTTAAATCAGATATATAAAAAAAAAGTATACATATTGATGTGGTAGCTTGTGACGTTTTGATACGTGTGTGTTGTGTAATCAGGACCACCACACCTACCCTCCGAAACATTTTTCACTTCTTTATGGAAAAGTATTCAGAACCTTTTCTTCTAGCTTCTCAAGAAGTACAGCACACAGCCACTATCTGTAGTCTTCCTACTGTGCGTGCATATTAGAACTTCTTACTCTAACTTCCAACTTCCAACTTCTAACTTCTAACTGCAATTTAGTGCCCTCTGATCAACTTTTCTCCATCCTTCCCTCTCCCTACTCTCGCCGTTCTACTCTATTCCTATGAGATGAACTTTTTTATATTCCATATGAATGAGATGTGGTATTTGTCCTTGATGCCTGGCTTATTTACTTAACATGATGGATAGAATAGCAGTTCTATCCATTTTGCAAATGACAAGATTTCATTCCTTTTTATATGCATGACATTTTCTTTTTCCATTCATCTATTGATAGATATTTTGGCTGTTTCCATTTCTTGGCTATTGTGAATGTGTACATTTCTTTGGTTAGTCTGGATGTTTTACTGATATTGATTCTCACAGGCCATAAAAATAGATGTCTTTTCTTTGGTGTGTGTGTGTGTCCTCTTCAGTTTCTTTCATCGGTGTTTCATGATCTTCATTGTAGTGGTCTTGTCTTTACTTAGCATTTATTTATCTTGTAGCTATTGTAAAGGAGTCGCATTCTTGATTTCTATTTCAGATTGTTCACTATTGGCTTCTAACACTGCCACTGAGTTTTTATATTAGTTTTGTATCCTGCAACTTTGCTAAATCCTTAATTAGTTCTAATAACTCTTTAGAGCTTTGGGGTTTTTGTTTGTTTGTTTTGCAGTACTGAGGTTTGAACTCAGGGCCTACACCTTGAGCTGTGAAGGGTTTTTCGAGATAGGGTCTCACAAACTGTTGGCTTTGAACCGAGATCCTCCTGATCTCTGCCTCCTGAGTAGCTAGGATTACAGGCATGAACCACCGGTGCCTGGCTTGGGTTTTCTGTATATAAGATTCCTATCACTGGGTGCTGGTGGCTCATACCTGCCTGCTATCCTAGCTACTTGGGAGGCTGAGATCAGGAGGTCTAGTTTGAGGCCAGTCTGAGCAAATAGTTTGCAAGACCCCATCACCAAAATAACCAGTGCGAGATGGATGGGAAGAGTGGCTCAAGTGATAGAGCTCCTTTGCAAGTGTGAAGTCCAGAGTTCAAACCCCACCCCAGTTACACACACACAAAAGATACCATCTGCCAACATTGGCGCTTGACTTCTTCTTTTCCAATTTGAATGCCTTTTCTTTCTTTCTCTTGCCCGACTTCTCTGGCTAGGATTTCAGTTACCATGTTGAATAAAAGTGGTGAAAGAAGATGTCCTTTTCTTGGTCTAAATCATGAAGAGAAACCTTTCAGCTTTTCCTCCTTCAGTGTAATGTTACTGCTGATCATATAGTTCTGTCCTTCATTCTCTTGATGTGTGTGTCACAGTTATTTATTTGTATATGTTGAGCCATCCTGGAATCCCTGGGATGAATTAATTCTTCTTGATTATGGGCATAATTGCTTCAGTGTATTTTGTTGAGGATTTTTGCATCTCCAGGATATTGGTCTGTAGTTTTCCTTTTTTGTGTTGTGTCCTTTGCTGGTAAGCTTCAAAAACATTTTAAAGTGAGAGTATCTAAATACAAATGGTCGCAATTTTGTTTTATTTTATTTTTGTTGTTTTCTTTACAGGCAGTTAAAAGAAGAAAATAACAGTGGGAAAGAGAAATTAAGAGTTATGGCAGTGAAAAATTCAGAAGTCATGGCACAGTTAACTGAATCTAGACAGAGTATTCTGAATCTAGAGAGTGAGTTAGAGGACAAGGATGAAATACTGAGAGAAAAGTTTTCTCTAATGAATGAAAACCGAGAATTGAAGGTCCGGGTTGCAATGCAGAATGAACGACTGGATTTGTGCCAACAAGAAATTGAAAGTTCAAGGGCAGAACTGAGAAGTTTAGAAAAAACGATATCCCAGTTGCCAGTGAGTATTATGAAAAGAAATGTACTGGACTGGACTGCACAACAGGAAAGAAAATGGTACCAACATGTCTTGTGAGAGAGCGTGTTTCATAATGCCTTAGTAGCTTCTGCTGTTCCCCAGTGTCGGTGCCCTCAGCCCCCATCTTTCTAGTGTAATCCCTCCTTTCCCCACACTTGCCTATACTCTTCCACCCTTTCTAAGGCTCTCAGACATCATATAGAAGAACAGCACAAAGTATCATTGTATCCTGTACGCTCATCCCTTTAAAGTGTACTACTCAGTGATTTTTTTAGTAAAGTTACACGTTTTGAAACAGTCACCACAGTTCAGTTTGAAATGTTTCTTTCATCCCCGAAAGGTCCCTGTACCAGGGAGGGGAAACCACTAATTGGTTCTGCTTCTGCACATTTCTCTTTTTTGAACATTTCATATGAATATAATCATAATGATGTCTTTTTTTTTTTAACATTTGTGTGGATTTATCAAGAAAGACTTTTTGGTGGTACTGGGGTTTGAACTCAGGGCCTCACACTTTCTAGGCATGCGCTCTACCACTTGAGCCACTCTACCAGCAACATGTGGTCTTTTACATCTGTTATTTGGACTTTTAATATTTCAAGGGTCATTCATGTTGAGACGTGTCAGTATCTAATTTCTTTTCATTGTTGAATAGTATTACTTTAAGGGAACATACTGCATTTTATTTATTCACCAGTGAATGGACATTAGCGTTATCTCTGCTTCTAGACTATTATGAATAATGCTTCTGTGCATATTTCCAGAGAAATCTGTGTGGACATGTTTTCATTTCTCTTGGGGAGATCCTAGGAATAGAATTGCTGAGTCATAAGGTAAATTCGTGCCCTGATTTATGTTCTTACAGCAATGTGTCAGGTTCCTGTTTCTCCACATCCTTGTCAACATTTGTTACTGTCTTTTTGCTTATGAAGTGTGAAGTGGTGTCACACTGTGGTTTTAATTTGTGTTTCCCTGATGCTAACTTAGCATGTATCAGTGAAATTAGGAACAGGGTGAGTCTATCTGTGTCAAGAATTTGTCACTGATAGGTGTGAAGTAAAGGAAAGATCAGGGGAATCAGAGGTAAGTACAGATTGGTCTCACTTATGAATGCAGGGTAGACTGGGTGGTGGATTCCTACCGATTTTAACTGTTACAAACCATGGAATTGTGAAGCTGGAAAGGATCTCAGAAAGCATCTGAAATGTAGATGCAAGGAAGTAAATAACTCGCCTCACTCAAAGAAGAATTTAAACTAGAACACAGGATTCTTAGCTCCCAGCCCTTTGTTGTGTCTTCTTTCCTAGAGCACTTATTATTTGGTAAGACCTTAAAGTGTTTGAAGTTGGAAAGTAATCCTATGCAGATATGTTCATTTTTAAATTGAAACTCTCATTTGTGCTCAGGGTCAAGAATTATGTGGCACATGATTCTGAAGGTGGCATAATGATACTTACTTGATCTTGTGTTTCATGAAGTGCTAAGAATGGTTTGCAAGTGGGAAATTTTTTCATTTCTGGAAAGTGTGATTTGGTTATAGTTTGAAGCTGGCAGTCATTAAGTGCTTCCTTTGCTCCTTTTCATTAGTATTTTTAAAAATTATGTATTATTCAATCATGCAATAAAGTACAAAGACCAATGTAGCTTGTCATTTGCAAATTATGAGACACATTGCCATACCAACTTCAGAAGTTTTAAGTTTTATAAGTAAACCCTTCTTGTGCACTTTGTCAGATCCATTCTCTCTCTCTCTCCTCTAAAGTAACAACTGTTCTGAATTTGTGTGTTAATGCATCTCGAAATATTACTTAGTACATTTTTGGGGGGAGGGATAGGATTGGTATATGAACTCAGGGCTTCTTCACACTTGTAAAGCAGGCACTCTACTGCTTGAGCCACATCTTCAGTCCATTTTGCTCTGGTTAATTTGGAGATGGGGTCTTGTGAACTATTTGCCCAGACTGGACTCCAGTGGCAATCTTCCTAATCTCAGCCTCCCAAATAACTAAGATGACAAGCGTGGGCTGCCGACATCTGGCCCTTAGTACTTTTAAAAAAATATGTGTGTAGCACTGTAATTTGTTTTCACTCAATCTTATGAAGTATATCCATGTTGTTTATTTAACTCAAGTCTAACTTATTACACTTTGCCATTTTCTCAATATTTCATAATGCAGTTATTCACCCTGCTTATTGATAGACGTTAGATTGTTTTCATTAAATTCAAACAAAATTTCAAACTCCAGAATTCTAAATAAGAAAACAATTGCCTCCCACATGCATATAAGTTTTTAAATGTTTGCTTTTGAACTTGCAGTTAAAAAGAGAAATACTGAGTTTTAAGTCATGTCTTTCTAAGCACCAGATCAGCAGTCTGGCAAACAAGGAAGATAATTGCATTGGCTGCTGTGAAGCAAATAAATTGATGATTTCGGAACTGAGGTAAGCTTTCCGGTGTGAAGTTAAAACAATTAAGACATTGCTGTGTGTGGTACTGTAATCCCTGAAGTAGGGAGGCTGAGGCAGGAGGATCCCCAGTTTGAGGCCAGCCTGGGCTTCCTAGCTAGAGCCTGTCAGAAATACATGTACATATGTACACACATACATACATGCAATGTTTAGTTGAGAAATTTTTAAAAATACAGAGAAGTCCAGAGAGTGTCATAGCAAATATCGATTCTTTTTAACGTTTTGGATACTCGTTTCAAATCTGTTCTCTAATAAAAATAAAGCATGACAGGATAGATATTACCTATGACCCTTATGCCTAGTCACATTCTCCCCCTAAATACCCTCCATTACCATCTAGATGTAGATTTTTATGACCATAATGCAAATTTGATATTGTTTGCACCATTCTAAAACCCATCTATGTTGATTGAGCTTGGAAGAATGATCAGTGGATTGATCTGTGTGGTTACTTTAGTGACAACAGCTGTGTAGGATTCTTTCCTAGAAGTCTGTTATAATTCATTCATTCCTAAATTGGTAGTCACTTCTATGTTTTTTGTTTTGTTTTGTTTTCTATTACAAACAGAGCTACAAAGAGCATACTTTTTTGGAGGGAGTACTGGGTTTGAATTTAGGGCCTCACTTACGAGCGCCTGCTCTATCATTTGAGCCACACCTCCAGGCCTTTTTTGCTTTATATTTTGGATAGTGTCTCATATTTTTGTGCAGGACTGATCTCAGATCGTGATCCTCCTACCTTTGCCTCCCAGCATCTGGGATTTGTAGGCATGTGCTACCACATTCAGCTTGTTGGTTAAGATGGGGTCCCACTATCTTTTTGTCTGGGCCAGGGGCTGATCTCAAACCATGATGCTATGAACTCCATCCCCCACATAGCTGGGATTATGAGCATGAACCACCATGTCTGGCCAAGAACATCTTTATACATGGTTCCTTATACATAATATGTGTTTCTAGTATGCATTCCTGAAACTGAAATTGCTAGGCTATCGGGTGTCTACATTTTCAATTTTACTAGTTTCTATCAGGTTTATAAAGTGAGTAAACCAATTTGCAATCCTGTTGGTGGTTTATAAGAGTTTCCGTGGGTATCCTGCATAAGAGTTGACCAATATCAAATTTTGAAGTTTCTATCAACTTTAAAGGTGAAAAAATAGTACAAGATATTTTTATAGACTTTTCCTAATACTTTTGGCTTCTTTTGTGCCAGGATTAAGCTTGCAATCAAAGAGGCAGAAATTCAAAAGCTTCATGCAAATCTGACTGTGAGCCAGTTGTCTCAGGCTCTTCCTGCTTATCATGATGGCCAGGACAGTGGCAAGTTGCATGCTTTAGAAACAGAACCTGTAAAACTAGGTGGTCCTCAAGGAGGTAAGCAAGTAAGACTGAATTATTTTAATAATGATGATCAACTGGTTTCTGTTACCAAACACACTGACGGGTTCTTAGTACTAGTTATGTATAATAAGACAGCAAAGATTATTGCAGAATTCTTGGACTTTGCATTATTTAAAAAAAAAAAAAATACCCATTGCTGAAATAAAATTTCCCCCAATAAAGATACACTCATTTCAAATACATATTTGGTAAGTTTTGTCACATTTGTGGATTGGGTTTTGTTTTGTTTTATTTGCAACACTAGGGTTTGAATTTAGGGCCTCATGCTTGCTAGGCAGCTGCTTCAGCACTTGAGCCACTATGCCAGCCCTTTTATGTTGGTTATGTTTAAGATAGGGTCTTACTTTATGCCTTGGCTGGCCTGGACCTCAGTCCTCCTATTTGTGTTTCCTTGCATGGCTGGGATGACAGGTATGAGCCACTGCACCCAGCTATTGGTTGAGATGGGTCTCGTGAACCCATCTCAACCAGGCTGGCCTTGAACCATGATTGTCCTATCTCTACCTCCCAAGAAGCCAGGATTACATACAGACTTGAGCCACTGTGCTCAGCCCCATTTATTTTAATTTAATTTATTTAATGTGTTTGTACCCTTGTTACCTTCACCACAGTTAAGACATACAACATTTTCATCAGTTTACTTTTGGTTTAATTTTCTCTTTTTTCCCCCTCTAGTATCGGTCATAAACCTAGGGCCTGAACTACATCCCCAGTCCTTTAGTAACTTTTTTTTTTTTGCAGTACTGGGATTTGAACTCCAGGCCTTCACCTTGAGCCACTCCACCAGCCCTTTTTTGTGATGGTTTTTTTTTTGAGATAGGGTCTCACAAACTGTTTGCCCCAGCTGGCTTCAAACTGCGATCCTCCTGATCTCTGCCTCCCGAGTAGCTAAGATACAGGCGTGAGCCCTGGTGCCCAACATTTATTAACTTAATGTGCACGTTCTTTTCTAATGTAAATATTAAGGGATAAACTTCCCTTTAAGCAATGCTTTGGCTGCATCACACTGTCTTGTACTGTGTTTTCATTTTCATTAAGTTCAGAATATGTTATAATGTCTCTTGGGATTTCTTCCTTGATTCTTAGGCTGTGTGCATTTTATTCCCAAATATTAGGAGAACTTTGAGATCTTTGAGTCAGTCGTGTTCAGAGAACACACTCTACATATTTTTGGTCTGGGTAGTATGGTTGAACCGAGTGCTTCATATGTGCTCAGTGTGCTCTGTCACTAAGCTGCACCCCCAACCCTGATTTTTGTTTTTTAGTATGAGATATGCATGTACAAAAATGTCATGAGGAAACCATTATTTTGTATAATTAATGTACGCTAATTTTTTAAAAAGTATTTTGAGACTGGTTTGTTGGCCAGCGCATGCTCTATTAGTGAATGTTCTAAGTGTATTTGAAAAAAATACGCTGCAATTGTTGGATGGAGTATTTTAATGTCAGTTACGTTAGGTTGGTAGTGCTGGTTAAGTCTTCTTTATATCTTAATGATTTTCTATGTATTTGTCTTATTCATTACTAATATAGTATTAAAATCTTCAAATATGTCTATTTTTAAATTTAGTGGGGGGCGTACTGGGATTCGAACTCAGGGCATATTGCTTGCTAAGCAAGGGCTCTGCCACTTGAGCCACTCCTCCAGCCCTTTTCACTTTAATTTGTTTTTTTAGATAAGGTCTTGAGATTTTCTCTGAGCTGGCCTTCAATTATGATCTTACTATCTCTGCTTCCTAAGTAGCTGGGATTGTGGGTGTGAGCCCCCACACAGGGACCTTGTTGGTTTGTTTATCCTTTTACTTCTGTCAATCTTTGCTTCTTGTATAGTGAAGAAATTTGAAAACATTGCATATTTCTGTTGAATAGCAACCCTTTTATTGTATTAAACATCTATTTTAGTCCTTGGTTTCAAATATTCCTTATTAGAAAGCTACTTTGTTTGAAGATAATATAGCTCCTCTATGTTTTTTTAATTAGCTTTTTCATGCTGATTTTTTTTTCCATTTAGTAAACTTGTGTCTTTTTAAATAAAGTGAGTTTCTTACAGAAAACATGAAGTTGAATCCTGCTTTTATATCTAATTAGACAGTTTTTGGTTTTTAATTAGAATTTTATTGGACTGTTTAAATCACATTTAATGTAACTATTGATTGTTTTACATTTAATCTACCATTTTGGCTTTTTTTGTCCCTACTCATTTGTTCATCTTTTCTGCCTTCTTTTGGATCAAGGATATTTTTTTCATTCATTGATTTACTTATTTTGCAGTGCTTCGGATCAAACCTAGGGTCTTGCTCATGCTAGGCAGGCACTTTTCCCCTGAGCTCTCCAGCCCCAGCATTTTGTTTTTTTATCTCTACTATTGATTCACTAACCTATACCTCCTTATTTTACTTTTTTAGTGGTTGTCCTTGGAGTTAATACATGTGTCTTTAGCTATCACAAACTGTCTTTACATCCAGTGGGCTATTAGAAGCAAAACTGACAAAATCAGCTAAGTGATGAGAGAGAATAGGGACGAAGAGTGATGAGATGCACATAGGGAGGGAGTGCTGGTTATTAGAGGTAGTGATGAAGATGTCATCAATTCTGTGACATCAGTGTAGAATAGAACCAATGGTGGATAGACAACCTAGAAAGTGAAATATTATGGCCATGGGGAATTGATGGGAAAAGGTACTTACCTAACCCTTGAAGCCAAAGTACATCTCTCCTGGTTTCCATGTGTGTTCATGCAGTTGCCTACTGTATGTCTCTGTAAAGCCCTCCTGAAGCTCAGTTGCCTTGGGTGGGAGTAATGCCTATGTGCACAGTGTAAAAAGGACCTAGGCAAACAGCTGCTCTGATAATCTGCAGCCGTTTTTTTTTCTTTGTTTGTTTCTGTTTTTCTTGTTTTTTGTGGTACTGGGGTTTGAACTCAAGGCCTTCACCTTGAACCATTCCACCAGCCCTTTTTTATGATGGGTTTTCTCGAGATAGGGTCTCTCAAACTATTTGCTGGGGCTGACTTTGAACCGTGATCCTCCTGATTTCTGCCTCCTGAGCTAGGATTACAGGCGTGAGCCACCAGGGCCCAGCACCCACAGCAGTTTTTAAGATTGTCACTATTTTCACCTGCTAGTTTGCAGGGGAGGAAGATAGGACTGGTAAGGGTACACTCTTCACAGCCTTTGAGCCCACATCTAGATAAAATACATAAAAATATTCTCTTTTATTGAACACTACTGGGGTTTGAACTCAGAGCCTCATACTTGCTAAAAAATATTCTTAGTGAGCTCAAATTATCCAAATAAATTTTATGATTAGTTAAAGTTTAAGGAAATGGGACAACTTAAAAAAATTTTTTTTGGTGGGACTGTTTTGAACTCAGTCTTCATGCTTGCAAAGCATTCTGTCCCTTTAGCCACAGCTCCAGTCCATTTTACTCTGGTTATTTTGGAAATGGGGGTCTTGTGAACTATTTTCATTCCTCATGATCTCAGCCTCCCAAGTAGCTAGGATTACAGGTGTGATCCCACTAGTGCTGGCCTGGACTTAAAAGTTTTTTACAATGATTTCTGTTAAAAAAGAAATTGGATTTCAGAAATGGGTGTACATTTAAATTTCTGGTACAAGGGATAATCTTTAGCTATCTGGAAAAGTGAATGATTCAGAACTAGGTATTTAACTTCTAAAGTACCTCTCTTACCATACTTTCCTTACCTGTGTTTTCCTTATTGTCCTTCTCTGTCACTTCTGTACTTTAAATCAGAAACTAATCTTTTTATGATTAAAGCTATCCATTATTCAAATGTATTTTTAATTTTTGAGGTTTTGTTTAGAACAACTTTCCTTTTGTGTTTGTTAGCAGAAAGTATAAAAGATCACAATCAGCACACTGTGAACAAGCAATATGAACGAGAAAGGCAAAGGCTTGCCACAGGAATAGAAGAGCTGCGTTCTAAGCTGATGCAAATAGAAGCTGAGAATTCTGACTTGAAGGTCAACATGGCACACAGAACTAGTCAGTTTCAGCTGATTCAAGAGGAGCTGCTAGAAAAAGCTTCCAACTCTAGCAAACTAGAAAGCGAAGTAAGCTTGGAATTAGCTGGGTCTGTGTACTAAATTTTGAGGTAGGAAGAAAGGTATTGCCACTGGGGTTTATAACAGTTTAAGTCCAGATTTATAAGGTTTTTGGGAAATGGTACCACATAAGCTATAAATTCTTTTAAAATCATATTTGGAAACTTACATTAAAAAGTAGGAAAAAACCCTAGTGGCAAAAAGGTCTCAAATTTGATGGAACTAATACAGTGTTGCACTCTCTTCTTTCTTCTACAATGTAAATTAGCATAGTAATGCACATTTACAAGAAAATAATTGAATTTTGTTGTTGAAAGAAAAGGACTGGTATTAAGAGGATTTGAAGTTTAACAAACATCAGAGCCATCTAGGAAGCCTGTCAAATATGAAGGTTTCTGTGTCTCTCGCAGTTCTGAGTCAGTAGGTCTGGAGTTTGGCCTGCGGATCTGCGTTTTTAAATAGCTGCATGTGAATCTGATAGACTGTGGATTCCATTATGAAAGGGGGATGCTGCATGCTTTATGGATATCCAATTTTCATTTTCACTGAGGACAGGACAAGGACACCTCAGTAGTTATTATGGATCAGGACCATGTGGGAATGTGTTATACTCAACCTTCAAACCAGAGGCCGCAGTCATCACATGGAGCACTTTTCCAATGTCTGCTTTCGCATCTTAAAGTCTAACCAAGAATAAGGATAGTCTTATGGGATAGGAACTTCCATCAGTATGCTAAAGGAGGTTGAGTTAGTCTATAATCCAGCTGCTAGCTCACTTAGAAAATCACAAAAATAACACATTCTTGTTGAACATACAAAAATACAGAAAGGGAAAAAGAGGGACATAAACAATTGATAATTCTATCACCAGAAATAATACTGTTAACATTTTATCTTACTAATTTCAGTCTGAAACAACTACTTTTGAAAAATGGGTTAGGGTGCAATCCTACTTGGATATAGCATCTGACTTAAATTAGGTGTTACATAATGAAAGAACAGTGATGTAACATGCTAGGCCTTCCTTTCATTGTTTTTCTTCTAAATCATCTCTTTATTTTTCAAGTATTTACAAGTATGTGGATTAAAAGGTTATTAACTTTGCACTTTAAATGTTTATTCTTATAAATTTGCCCAGTTTATCTATATACAGTGTAATTAAGCTTTGTAAAGTCATTACCTTTAAAAAACTAATTTTATTTTTATTTCAATGTATTTTCAGATGACAAAGAAATGTTCACAACTTTTAACTCTAGAGAAACAGTTGGAAGAAAAAATAGTTGCATATTCATCTATTGCTGCAAAAAATGCAGAACTTGAACAGGAGCTTATGGTAAAATTCACCCTTTTTGTTTTGTTTTTTTCTGAGATAGGATCTTGTTGTGTCACCCAGGCTATCCTGTAATGCAGAGCCCCCAGCATCTGCTTCCTGCACAGATACCCTTTTTGTTATAAAGTGTACTGTAAACTTGTGATAGTATGTTCGTCTGCATATTCTTCTTGTAAAGTGTTTTAAGTAGGAAAGCATAGACTCTACTTGTCTCTATTCTTAAGTTAATACAGTAGTATGGGAATTTGTTACCCACATTTCATTATCTTTGTACTAATAGAGTAGAAGGAAATGGTAGTTCTTAGATATGATTCTCGATATTTTAAAATGTTTTAATGGTAGGTTTAATGTTTGATAAATGTGTTTTTATGTAAAACTGGCTTTCAGTTATATTCTTTTAACGTGCTTGTATTTTTAGGAAAAGAATGAAAAGATAAGAAGTCTAGAAACCAATATCAATACAGAGCATGAGAAAATTTGTTTAGCCTTTGAAAAAGCAAAGAAAATTCATCTTGAACAGCATAAAGAAATGGAAAAGCAGATTGAAAGAGTAAGTAGTATGTACTTAGTGCTAAAAAGAGCCTAACACATTACTAGCCCAGTGTTTTTTATTTTGTAGATGAGGAAACAAAGACAAAGAAAAGTTGATTGCTAGAGCCATATTCAAAATTGCATTCATTCTGAATCATTTCGCAATGTTTTTTGTTTTTTTGTGGTGCTGGAGATGAAACATAGGGCCTCACGCATGCTAGCTAGGTAGCTACCAGTGAACTACACCTCCAGCTTCCCAATGCTTTTTAATATAGTATGCCTTTCATTTCAGCTTTAATTGCTGTTTTCGACATTAGCAAAGTAAGAGTGATTCTGTAAGTGCTGTTTCCCTAGATATCCTTTGAAGATCAGTTGAGAGGAAACAAGAGTGGAAGCACACTTACTTAACATTTGGTTAAAAGTAAAACAAAAGTAAAAAGAAGAGGTGAGACTAAAAACATAAGATGAAATACAAAATAGGTGATTTGGCTGGGCCTCGTAACAGGTGAAAAAGAGTCTATGAACTTGAGCATAGAACAATGGACATCATTCAGTCTGAGCAACAGAGAAAAATAAAAGATGTGGAAGAAAACTGAGCAGAGCCTGAAGGACTTGTGGCCCATCACTCATGTCACTAGAAGGGCATGAGAATGAGATTTCTGCAGAAGAAGCTTTGAAGAAATAGTGATTGAAAACTGCAGATTTTCTGAAGGAAATAAATTAACAAATTTACTAAGATCCAAGGAGGCGAAGTCAAAGAAAACAGTTTAAACACATCAAAATCCTTGCTGAAAACCAAACCAAAACAGAATCCTTAGAGCACCTGCCTAGCAAACACGAAGACCTAAGTTCAAATCCCAGTACTAAAAAAAAAAAAACACTTTTAAAATTGATTCTGTTAGTATTTAGTAGTTGTAGAATGGGGTTTCATTGTGATATTTCCACACATGCATAAAATGTACTCTGATCAGATTTACCCCTGTTACTCTTCCCCATCATCCCTCCCACGCTTTTTAAAAACAATTTTAACAGGTCTCATTCTGTTTTCATACATGTGTATAAAGCACTTGGATCATATTCTCCTCCCTTCCTTCACCCTCTCATTTCACTCTTATCCTTCCCACCTGTTCTAACCCCCAAACAGTCCCCATTTTACACTTCTGTCATTTATTTATTAAGTTCTAGATTCAGCATGTAAAAGAAAACATATGAGCCGGGTGCTGGTGGCTCACGTCTGTCTGTAATCCTAGCTACGCAGGAGGCAGAGATCAGGAGGATCACAGTTTGAAGCCAGGCTGGGCAAATAATTCACGAGACCCTATCTCAAAAAACCCTTAATAAAAAAGAGCTAGTGGAGTGGCTCAAGGTGGAGGCCCTGAGTTCAAACCCCAGTACTGCCAAAAAAAAAAAAAAAAGAAAAGAAAACATGATCATTACCTTTCTCAGTCAGGGTTACTTCACTTAACATGTAAATCTCACTGGCAGAGCGGCTCAAATGGTAGAGCATCTGCCTAGCAAGTGTAAGGTCCTGGGTTCAAACCCCAGTGCCTCAGGAGAAAAAAAAAAAGTTATCATTAAAAATGAAAAATAAACATGTAAATCTCTAGTTCCACCCATTTTCCTGAAAATGACAGAATCCGTTCTTCTTTATGGCCCAGTAATACTCTGTTGTGTACAAATACCACATTTTCTTCATTCATCAAATTGAAGGGCACCTAGGCTGATTCCATAGTTTGGCTGTTGTGAATAGTGCTGCTGTAAACATGGGTATGCAGGTGTCTGGGTTGTATGCTGACTTACATTCCATTATCTATATGCCTAGCAGTGGTATAGCACTTTCTTGAGGAACCTCCATGCTGATTTCCTTAGTAGCTGGACTAATTTACAATCCTGGTAACAGTACATAGAGGTTCCTTCCCCCTACCCCACATCCTTGTCAGTACTTGTTGGCTTTTTTCTTCATGATTAGCATTCTTAGTGAGGTGAGATAGAACCTCGATGACATTTTGATGTGCATTTTCTTTATGGCTAAGGATGTTGAAATTTCTGCTTGTACTTTTTAGCTGTTTGCACTTTTAAGAACTGTCTAATTCATTTAATTGGGTTATTTATTCTGTTGGTGTTTAGTTTTTTGAATTCTTTGTACATTCAAGATATTAATCTTTTATCTAATGAACAGTTGGCAAAGATTTTATTCCATTCCATAGGCTGATTCTGGTAATTGTTTCCTTTGCAGTGGCAAACTTTTTAATTTGATGCAATCAAATTAAATTGATGCAATCAAATTGATGCCAGTTGGTGATTTTATTTTTTGAGCCTTTGGAACCCTATTGAGAAAAGCATTACCTATGACCATAAACAAAAATATCTTGAATATAGATAGGAATAAAGATTAAAATTACTACAGATTTCTTAAAAAAAAAGAAAGAAAGAAAGGGCTGGAGACGTGGTGGCTCAGTCAGTGGAGTACCTGTCTAGCAAGTCTAAAACCCTGAGTTCAAACCTCAGTACCACATAAAAAAAAAAAAAATTGCAAAAAACTCTGTGTGTGTGTGTGTGTGTGTACTAAAAGAGAAGATTTTTTAGCTGGGTGAGGTGGTTCAAACCTGTAATTCTAGCTACTCAGGAAGCATAGATCAGGAGGATTGTAGTTTGAGGCCATCTAAAGCAAAAAGTCCATAAGACCTCAATCTCTACCGATGGCTAGATGTGAGATATATGCCTGTCATCATACCAGCTGCACAGAAAAGCACAAATAGGAAGATCATGGTCCAGGCTGACCTGGGAATAAGGCAAGAACTATCTCAAAAATAATGAAAAGCTAAAAGGAATGGAGGCATGGCTCAAGTGGTAGAGTGCCAGAAGCAAGAGGCCCTCAGTTCAACCTCCAGCACCACCAGAAGAGGAGAGAAAGAGAGAAGAGAGAAAATATTTGTCAACATAGAATTTTATATTTAAGAAAAATATTCTGTAGGAATGAAGATAAAATAAAGGCATTCTTAAATACAGAACAATTTATAGAATTTGTCACAAGTAGAATTATTCAAAAAGAAATACTAAAGAATGTTCTGAAGGCAAAAGAAAAATAATATCAGAGGGAAACTTGGAACTTCAAAAAAGAAGGAAGAACCACAAAAATAGTAAATATTTGGGTAAATATAATGGATTATTTTTCTCCTCTTAAGAAAAAGGAAGGGAAGGGAAGGGAGCTAGAGTGGTTACATAAATATCAGACAAAGTAGACTTCAGATTAAAGGAAATTACCAGGGATTTAGAGGGGTTTTACATAACAATAAAAGGCTCAATTCACCAAGACCACTTAACCCTAAAAGTATATATATGTAACAACAGAATTTCAGAATATATGAAAAAATGAAGAGGCTTGAAAGGAGAAAGAAATTAACCCAAAATTATAGTTGAAGATGTCAATATTAATTTTTTCTGTAGTGGATAGAATAAGTAGACAAAACATCAACAAAGATCTAAAACACACCTGTATCAACTTGATCTATTGATGGTTATAGCATACTCTACCTACAATAAAAGAATACACATTTTAATTCCACTTAAACTATTCACCAAGGTATATCCTATGGTACTTCATAAAATAAACCATCAAATTTGAAAGAACTGAAAGTGTACATAGTATGCGCTCTGTCCATAATAGAATTAAACTAGAAACCATCAATGGAAAGCTATCTGGGAAACAACACACCTCTAAATAATCCATGGGCCAGAGACTTGGTCTCAAGGGAAATTGAAAATATTTTTAATTAAAGGAAAATGAAAATACATCAAAATTTGTGGGATGCCCCTAAAGCAATTCTTAGAGGGATGTGTATAGCATTAAGTGCATATATTAGAAAAAAAGAAAAATCTGTCATCTAAACTTCCAATTAATGAAACTAGGAAGAGAAGAGCAAAATCAACCCAAAAGAAGGAGAAAGGTGACATAACAAGAAACATAATTGAAAAGAAGACATCACTAAAGAAAAATCGTTGAGACCACAGTGTGGTTCTTCAAAGAAATCAGTGAAACGTATAAAACCACAGCCAGTCTGATGAGGGGGAAAAAGAAAACAAATTACCTATGTTAGGAGTAGAGAAGTCTATCACTGCAGACCCCTAAAACCCAAGACACAAACTGGGGCTGGGGATATGGCTCAGTGGTTAAGTGTTTGCCTGGCATGCATGAGGCCCTGGGTTCGATTCCCAGTACTGGAAAAAAAAAAAACTAATAAAACTTAAGGAGGAATGTAGAACCTGAATACTTTTACATAGATAAAAGAAATTTGATTCACGTTTTAAAATTTTTGCAGAAGAAATTTCCAGATGGTTTAATCAGTGAATTCCTCTCCAAACACTTGAGGAAGAAATAACACCAGTGTTGTATAGTCTGTACCAGAATACAGAAGAGGAAAGACCACTTCCAAACTAATTTGATAAGGAAGGCTAATATTCTCTGATACCAAAATGACACAATGACAGTACCAGAAAAGAAATATAGGCTAATGTGCCCCATGAACATGGAAGCAAACACACTCAACAAAGGTTATCAAATTGAATTCAGCAACAAATGCTTTACTCTCTGTCTCTGACTCACACACACACGTACACACAAAAAACATTACGGCCAAGGGGAATTTATTCGGAGAACAGAAGTCTGGCTCAACATTCAGAAATGAATCAGTGTTATCTGCCCTATTAACAGACTAAAAACAAAAATCTACATGATCATATCAATAGAACACCTGATACTATTACAGTTTAGCATGATACCTCAGCCATCTAGAAGTGGAAGGGAGCTTTCTTAATCTGATACAGGGCATCTACAAAAATACTTAGAGATGACATCATACTTGATGGTAATGGAAATCTTCACTCTTAAGGTTGGTAACAAGGCAAAAATTTCTATTCATCACTCCTTTCCAATGCAATGAGCAAGAACAATGAAGTAAAAGAGATTAGCATAAAAGAAAGAAAGCTTTCCCTGTTCAGGACCTGTGCATACTAGGCAAGTACTTCACCTCTCAAGCCATGCTCCTCAGTTATAATAGGTTCTTAGAAGTAGATTGCTCATTTAGAAGGTAAAAGATATTTTTCAAATGAGTTGATCCCTGATAAGTTCTTCAAGGATTAATCTGACAGTGGTTGCTTTTTTAGGAAGGTGCTATATTTGAAAACTCCACCTCCTTTTTTAAAAACTTTTCCTTGTTTAAAAAGACTCAGTATTTGCTTTTTTTCTCTTACGCTTACTAGAAAGTTTACCTTGTAGATTTTTTTTTCTGGAATTTTTTTTTTTTTTGGTGGCACTAAGGTTTGAACTCAGGGCCTCATGCTTGCTAGGCAGGTATATTACTCCACCGTCTGCAATACCTTAAATTGCTAAAAAGCTTGTGATTTCTAACATGTTCTTTTTTTTTTTTCAGAATTGGATTTGAACTCAGGGCCTACACCTTGAGCCACTCTACCAGACTATTTTTGTGAAGAGTTTTTTCAAGATACGGTCTCACGAACTATTTTCCTGGGCAGGCTTTGAACCACCATCCTCCTGATCTCTCCCTCCTGAGTAGCTATAGGCATGAGTCACCCACACCCGGCTCTAATTTGTTATTTCATTGTTTTCATTTCAGAGTTCCTTTGTTTTACATTTTCTAGTTAATCCAGTTGCTGCTATATTCTTATTGTATGGATGTGTGTGGTGATGTAGATACGTAGCTCACTAGTTATAAAACATTACTATTGTACTTGTATGTATCCATATGATATATGTGCACACATAGAGTAATTTCATATTTTGTCTTCAAAGGGTTTTGGAAGTTTGAAATTATAAGAAGTGCAAATTCTGTATACTCGTAATAAAAGTGAAAATTTAGATGCACTTCGAAGGGCAGTACCTACTGAAGTTGAAAATGTACATATCTCACAACCATGAAGTCCTGTTCTGGGTGGTCTATTCTAGAGAAACTGACGCATGTACAGAGAGACAGGAGCAAAGGATGTTACTACAACATTGTTATGAGAGTAAAGAAACCATAGTTCACACTTACTGTAGAAGAGTGTACTTCCATAAAGTAAATGAACTGCCCTGCACATATAATAGACATGGGTAAATCTAAAACAACATTGAGTGAAAAAAGAAAGTTGCCAAAACTTAGAGGTATTAATACCATCTATGTAAATTTTCAAGACAGAAAACTACAGCCAGGCACCAGTGAGTGGCTCTTGCCTATAATCTCAGCTACTCAGGAGGCAAAGATCAAGAGCATCAAGGTTTGAAGCCAACCCAGGCAAATAGTTCTGGAGACCCTATCCCAGCAAGTATCCAACACTAAAAAGGGCTGGTGGAGTGGCTCAAATGTTAGAGCACCTTCTAGCAAGCATGAGGCCCTGAGTTCAAACCCCAGTACCACCAATAAAAAAAACTACATTCTTCATCTTGAATGTACATGTTTAATGAAAGCACAAAAATGTGAGAATGAAACATACCAGACAATGATGCAGACCAGTTTCAGCATAGTAGAGATAAAGGAGAAAATTTGTAAAATGTAAAAATCTGTAGTTTCACAAGAGTTTTATCTTCTTTTATGTATATTTAAAATGTTTCCAAAAATTTAATATAAAAATTAATTCTGTTTTTATGTTTAGCTTGAAGCGCAACTGGAGAAAAAAGACCAACAATTTAAGGAACAAGAAAAGACTATGTCCCTGTTGCAACAAGATATAATATGTAAACAGCATCATCTTGAGTCACTAGATAGACTATTGACTGAAAGTAAAGCGGTAAAGTATCTCCATAAAAGTACTATAGCAAAGCTGACCTTTTAAGTTTATGTTTCTGTAACATAGCTTAAATCTAATCTAATGAGTCATTAAATAGCCTCTTACTAATGCAAAAATGTTTATTCATGTTTTTTTCTTCCTGTACATACGCTTTCAGGAAATGGAAAAGGAAAATATGAAGAAAGATGAAGCTTTGAAAGCTTTACAGAACCAAGTATCTGAAGAAACAATCAAGGCTAGTATGCTGATACTTTTTGTTTTTCTTACTGGAGAAATTCTTGTGACTTTTCCCCCCAGATTATATACATAAAAATCAATTAATAGCTAAAAGTTTAACTTAACTGTACATTTTGTTTCTGTCAGCACATCGTCAATGTGAATTTTAATCTTAATATCATTTGTAGATTGTCTAGCCTCTCTTTTGTCTTAAAAAAAAATAAAAGGATTTCTTAACCTTAAAGATGTTTTTTAAATTTTGGCTATAGTTGCAACTTATTAGCAATACCATTAAAGAATTAACAGAGGAAGGAAACTGAGATGAAGCCAAAGTGATCCAGTTTTGTTTCCTTTTACCAGTTCTTCTGTTAGATTAATTAGGCAATAAGTCTAAGTCTGTAATTTGCAGCTATATGTTTTTGTGGCCATTATATCTTCATGGCTACTGAGGAGGCACAGAGATCAGGAGGATCGCCATTCAGAGCCAGCCCAGGCAAATAAGTTTGAGAGACCTTATCTTGAAAACAACTGACACAAAAAGGGCTGGTGGAGTGGCTCAAGGTATAGGTCCTGAGTTCAAGCCCCAGTACCACCAAAAAAAAAAAAACCTTATGTATCTTTAGTTAATAAATCTTGATATGCTGCTACCTCATTCTACCATCGGGAGCTTGAATATAAAAGATACTTTTAAATGTTATTTTCTTTTTGCCTAGCTCTCTGTTTTTAATCTGCCTAGTATTCTGTTTTGTGACTGCCCATGTAAACACAATTGTATTTTTATCTTTAGCTATTTGCCAACTCTAACATTTAATGCCATGTCAATTCAGTTTCTCAAAGAAACAGAACCTCAAAGTTCATCAACATTAAAACCTGTTTTAGGCATAAAATAATTTCATTAACTAATACCCAAGTAGGCAGTAAGCTCCTGGCTTTTACTAAAGCAACTCAAACACCCAGGCAGTGGTCTAGTAAGGATAACCATATGCCATAGCCAGATAGGGGACAGAAAGGAATAAACAAGAGGATGAGTTATAATGTTGGATTTATTCCCTTGGCACCTTGCTGTTTGAAGAAAAAAATCACAATCAGAAAGACAGAAGCAAAATTCCTATAATCAAGTTATACTAAATGATTGGTATATATAGAATATCTGTAGCAGCAAATAGAAATCTCAGGTTCTTTTCCCTGAGACTTGAACTCAGGGCCTATACCTTAAGCACTCCACCAGCCCTTTTTTTGGGATTTTTTTTTTTTTTTTTTTTTTTGAGATAGGGTCTCGTTTAACTATATGCCTGGGCTGGCTTCGAACCATGATCCTCCTGATCTCTGCCTCCTGAGTAGCTAGGATTACAGGTGTGAGCCACCAGCGCCTGGCTACTTCTCTGTTTCTGATTATATCACTACCACCTGCCTTCCACAACTTGTCCATATCCCTTCATTTGCCTCCATTCATCCTTTGCAAAAGAAATACAAATTTCCTATCTATGGAAGAGCTAAAAATATGATGAATGAGAGTAGAAAGGTTGATGAGGCTGGTGATGTGGCTCAGTGGTACAGCATTTGCCTGGCATGCACAAGCCCCTGAGTTTGATCCTGATGTCTGCAAAAATAGATATTTTTTTCCTTGATTGTTAGTGAACAACCTATGGAGTAATTCTTTGGTACCATGTGAATATCCTATTCCTCAGTAATCTAATAACTAATGTTTTTTAACAGATAGTAATGTACCTTGTCTAAGTAAATTATTAATTACACTGTTAAAGATCAACTAGTGAAATACACGTACCAATGTCCAGTCTCTTGCTTAAGAAAACTTGCAAGTATTTGTATCTTTCATAAAACATATGTTAATTTAAGAATTACTGGACTGGAGGTGTGGCTCAGGTGGTAAGATGCTTGCCTAGTAAGCATGAGGCCCTGGGTTCAATACCCAATATTGCCAAAAAACAATTATTACTGAGCAAGAGTTCTGAACAAAGACAGTCATTCAGAATTACAAACATTTTAGCTGTCAGTGGTTATATATACAGACTGAGACAGTCTTCAGGAACTGTGGCTTCAAGATTACCTTTTGGAAGCCTGGTGCTGGTAACACACATCTGTAACCCTGGCTACTTGGGAGGCTGACATTGGGAGGAACACTGTCCGAGACAAATCGTTCTTGAGACCCCCTCTCTAAAAGAACCAGAGCAAAAGGATGAGTTCAGACCCCAGTCCCACCAAAAAAATTTTTTTAAAGTTCCTTTTTAGAAATGAAAGTTGCAAGAATAATTCATGATGTAGAATAGTATCTGCAAGGGGAACATTTCTTTAACATTCTCCAGACTGCCCACTCACATGCTCTTAGCATTAAGGGGAAAAAATACCCCAAAAGCTCAAAATCAGTAAGGGTAAGAAGCAAGACAGGAATCTTATTAATAGAGTATGGAGCATGTGTGCAAATTGAGGACCTTGAACTAATTTTTAAGTTATTAAATTTGAGTTACTCTTTAATATTAAGGCAGTATGAAGCATTTTGCAGCTATGTAAACACTTGAACCAAGTTACCTTGGTGCCTTTTAAGAAATGTCCTCACTTTTTTTGTTTTTTTTTCTGGTGTTACAACGTTTGAACTCAGGGCTTCACTCTTGCTAAACAGGTACTTGAGCCACATTTAGCCCTATTTGCTTTTAGTTACTTTCCAGATACAGTGTTGCATTTTTGCCTGGGCAGGTCTGAACAGTGATCCTTCTATTTATCCACCACACCCAGTTTATTATTTGATATGGGGTCTTGGTAACCCTTTAATTTTTTTCCTGCACTGGCCTTGAGCTGTAGTCCTCCTGGATACCTGGGATTACAGATGTAAGCTACAGTGCCTGGCCTGTAAAAGTTCTTACTATTCTAAGCAAGAAATTCTTCTGTTTTTGATTTTTTTTTTTTTTGCTAGTGGACAAAAATTTTTCTGGGCACAGTGGCTCATGCCTATCAGCCCAGCTACTTGGAAAGTGTAAGCAGGGGGATCACAGTCACAGTTTGCCCAGGCAAAGAGCGAGACCAGATTCAAAAAATAACTAAAGCAGAAAGGGACAAGAGCAGTGCTTAAGTAGTAGAGGACCTGAGTATAAGCCCCAGTGCCGACAGGCACACACGCACAAACACACAAATCATTTTCTCACTACACATTTCAAAATGCTCTTGTCTTAATAACATTCCCAGGTTACTAGTTTGTACTCACTTTGCTATTTTTTTCTTGTTCAAGAAGGCTTAAGAAATGGACTTAACTGCTGCTTGTCTTTTTGAGAAAGTGTTTTCAGGTATCCAACTTAGAAGTTCTTAACAATGCATTGCTCCAGTCTATCCTGTCACTTTTGTCTCCCAAGTAACCTATAAAGTAGTTCTTGGTACCCTAAGCTTCTGCCAACCTTACACCATTCCCTCCTGCGGTGCCTTGCTCTGAATGTGTTTCCACTTCCTACAGTGTCTTCTCCACTTGCTCAACTCCTGCTCTCTTCAGGTTCCTCTGTGGTTTTCTCTTTGGTTCCCTGGTATGCAATGGAGAACTAGTTTTCCCCATAAGTCTCTTCTGTAATAGCATTTCATATCCTAAGTAGGACTGTATATTATTGTTTAAAGCAGTGAGGTAACATGGGAGATAAATCTGTAAAACATTGAGCATATGTAAGCATTCATTAATAATAGTTGATTTTCCTGTTTTTATTGTACTTTGCGTTGTCTTTTTTTTTGCTTAGGTCAGACAACTAGATTCAGCATTAGAAATCTGTAAGGAAGAGCTTGCTTTGCATTTGAATCAATTGGAAGGAAATAAGGAAAAGTTTGAAAAACAGCTGAAGAAGAAATCTGAAGAGGTAAAATTAACATTTCCCTAATATGTAGCAAATTTTCAGGTGATTTCTTTTTGAATGATATTTTAATAATTAGTTACCTGTCACGTGTTTGTGATTATTAAAAAGAAGCCTGGAACTGGGATGGTGGTGTGCGCCTGTAATTCCAGCACTCCGGAGGCTGAGGCAAGAGTATCAGGAGTTCAAGGCTATACTACATAATAACAGCCTGTCTCAAAATAAATAAAAAGAAACAGGAAGAAGAGTCCAAGTTACTTACTTTCAATTTATTTGTCCTTAGAGCAAATGTAATGTGTCACAGAGAAAGCTCTAATGCTGCTACTATAATTAATACCTTGTAGCATCAGAGTCTGAGGTTTCCACCATAGATAACTAGGTTTTAGAAATTCTCGTTTGATCATAAAAGATGACGTTAGAAAATAGGAGATGTTACAAAGATGGTTTAATCTTTAAAATCAGTAAGTGTGCCCAAACCACATAACTAGCTGAATAAGTAGCCATTGTAAAAGCTACATATTGATGATCCATCACAAATAGCTAATACCATATCGCTCTGAGCTTTTGCCTCAAGTTTTTTTGAGACAGGGTTTTGCTATATAGCCCTTGATACTCAAGATCTTCCTGTATCAGCCTCCTGCTAAAACTTTTCTTTTCCAGTTAGTGAAATAATACATTTATGATTAAAGTAATACCAGCTTTGAGAGTCTACACTAATTTAATTCCGTATTAATTTTTAAATACTCTTAAAAGTTATAAAATTATGTGTTCATGCAAAAGTAAGTGTAATAAAAGAAAACATAAGATAGATGTAAATAAGTCTAAGTGTTTTTGTATAAAGAATTTATTCAATAAAATCAGTCATTTCACGGATAAATACCTTCATTTAAATTGATTGACTTAAATTTTGAGAAGCTGACATGTATTTCTGTGCATATTTTATTTTTTAAGTTTTTTTGAGGTGGACTGGGATTTGAACTTAGGGCTTCATGTTTGCAAAGCAAGTGCTCTACCACTTGAGCCACACCTCCAGTCCATTTTGGTCTGATTATTTTGGAGATGGGAATCTCTCAAACTATTTGCCTAGGCTAGCTTCCCACTGTGATCCAAACTTGGGAGACTTTTTTTTTTTTTTTTTTTTTTTGTGGTACTGGGGGTTGAACTCAGGGCCTCACACTTGCCAGGCAGGCACTCTACCACTTGAGGCACTCCTCCAGCCAGTTGTTGAGATGAGATCTTACTAACTTTTTGCCTTGGATAGCCTGGGCTGACCTGGAACCACGATCCCGCTGTTCTCTGCCTAGCCTATATTTAAAGCCAACTAGAAGTTAAAGGACAATGTAATGAAATGCCAGCATAAATTTGATAAATAAAAAAATAAATCTGATACGAATTTTGTGAGTTAATATTTGTGGTACAAACAACATTAGATACTTCAGTACAGGACTGGAGTTGTGGATCCAGTGATAGAGTGCCTACCTCGCAAGTGTGAAGCCCTGAGTTCAAACCCCAGTACTGCCTAAAAAAACTTCAATATATGTAATTGATACGTAAATTGATAGTAGCTAGATTACTGAATAAAATTAAATTTTGTTATTATGTGGTGGGAATTTCTTGGTTTGGGTTAGGTCTTTTTTTCTTCTGTTTTGTTGTATCTGAGTATTTTGCCCATTTTCTCTCTGAATAGGAAAGTAAATGTTTCAGCACCCTAGCCACCCATCACGTAGGGCATTTCAGAAGCTCCATCCCTAGACACCAACCTAGAGCCTGTCCTGTGAGCAGGCCTCTGTAATGCCTCTCCCCATCAAAAATGAGCCCTGCCCTTCCAGGCGTAATGAAGGAGGACAACTTTTACATTTATTGCTTTTTATTGGCAACATTTCATTGTAATGAAAAATATGTATGTTTGTTAGGTGTATTGTTTGCAGAAAGAGCTAAAGATAAAGAATCACAGTCTTGAAGAGACTACTGAGCAGAACGTCATTCTACAACATACTCTGCAGCAGCAGCAGCAAATGTTACAGCAAGAGACCATGAGAAACGGAGAGCTGGAGGACATTCAGATGAAGCTTGAAAAGCAGGTACATGCATGGTCTCGATTGTATGAAGAAGTTTGCAAATCATTGACAGATTTCTGGTTACTTGTATAAATTACTACTTAACCTCAAAGATTTCACATTATAAGAAGTGTTCTAAGTCTGGCACTGGTGGCTCACACCTGTAATCCTAGCTAGTCAGGAGGCAGAGATCAGAAAGATCATGGTTCCAAGCCAGCGTCAGGCAAATAGTTCATGAGACCCTGTCTTAAAACAATCCATCACAAAAAAGGGCTGGTGGAATGGCTCAAGATGAAGACCCTGAATTCAAATAGAAAATGAAAAATAAATAAATAAATAAAACATTGTATCCTAATTTTCCTATGTAATCTGACCTGAATTTCTATTACTGTGGCCACATGTTTATCATTCCACACAATTTAGTTAGAACAATGTAAACTTCTTTACTCAATCACTCTTTTTCTTCTTGAACCCAAATATAATACTTACCTGATTATTACCTCTTTTATTATCTCTAGTTTGGATAAGCACACTGTCTGATATTCCCTAAAGAAATGGTAAAGCAGTGTGCTTTAAGAAAAATCCCAGGGCTGGTAGAGTAACTCAGATGGTATAGCGCCTGCCTAGCAAGCATGAAGCCGTAAGTTCAAACCCCAATACCACCAAGAAATTAATTAATTAGTTAATAGTGCTGTATTCTAAAAATAAGTTATGTTCCTGGGGATGTTGCTTGGTGGTAGAGCACTTTCCTAACATTCAGGAGACCTTGGGTTTAATCTCTAGCACGTTAAAAAAAGAAGAAGAAAGAAAAGAAAAATAAGTTATTACTTCAATGAAAGAGTCCTACAGAATTTGATACTAGAATCTAATCTCTTTTCTTTCATTTGTTATCAAATTAGTATCAATTCTTTACATAGATATTTCTCACTTTTGTTTTTTCTTTTTTAAAAATTTCCCAATTTTATCTTATTATGCCCATAATCTTAGTACACCTTACCTTTTTGTCATAGGGTTTGTCTTTCATTATTTTGAATTCATCCTCAGTTTCTGCTGTGCTTCAATTGTCCCTACCAAAACTCATGATGAAATATCATCCCTCTGGTATTAATGGTGGAACCTAGAGGAGGTAGCGTTGAGAGCCCTCCTCTCATGAGTGGAGAATCCACTCATGGATTGATGGGTTGGTGATTTATCTGTTACAGAAGCCCATCTGGCTGTCCTTGCTATGAGCTCCTCTTGCCCTGTGACACTCCATTTTACCTCAAGATTCTGCAGAGTTCCCACTAGCAAGAAAACCTTACCACATGCATCCTGCTGGACTTCCCAGCCTCCAGAATCATGATCTGAATAAAACTTTTTCTTTTAAATCAAACAATCTGTGGTATTTAGCCTCTCCAATGGAACCACAGACTCTCGTCTCAATACAGTCGAACACACCAGGCAGGCAGGCACTCTGTTTTCTTTTTTAGAGACACCTTCCTATGGCCTTCCATTCCTTTTGTCTATACCTTTAGCTTGCCATGCCTTCTGTACTATCTTACCCTGAAGTATTTCTTCTTTTCAGTGGTCTTTGGCCTCCACTACCCAAATTCTTCATCACTGATTCTTGTTTTTTCAGGATCAAGTATAATTCTTGTTCCTTTTAAGTGATTTTCATTTCTGTAAAGATTTTATAATTTTCTTCTGGTTTTGTTTTTCCCCCCTTTACCAGTTCATTTGAATTTTTTATTTGGTTGTTTTATTTCTTTGTAATCTTTATTTTAAATGATTTTTTGTTCTCCTTAATGTCTTTGAGGATCTTCAGTAGTTTATACCTAGAAGTTTCTTTAGCATATATTCTCTTGCTGCTTTTCATTTCATTCTTCTATGCATGCATTCCATGTTGGATCCTTTAAGATTACTGTTTATCGTTAGATTTCTGCTATTTCATCAAGAATATAGGAGATAGATTTTCCTTGGTTCCCTTCTCTTTTTACATGAGAACTAATTTTGTTTCATTTTGTTTGTGGTGCTGTGGTGTGAACCCAGGGCCTCAGGTGTACTATTAAGTGCTCTACTACTGAGCTGCATCCTTTAGTCACTGTGTACTGTTATACTTTTATTCTTAGAACTTGAGTTGGAGGGTGGATAGTAACAGTTTATAATCTGCATTTAGTTCTTCAGTGAGGGGTTTTAGAAGGACAGAGAGGACATTAAGATCAAAAGCAGAGCCAAGTGCTGTGGCTCACCCATGTAATCCCAGCTACTCAGGAGGCAGAAATCAGGAGGATCAAGGTTCTAAGCCAGCCCGTGCAAATAGTTTGTGAGACCCTATCTTGAAAAACCCTTCATAAAAATAGGGCTGGTGGAGTGGTTCAAGGTGGAGTGGTTCAAGGTGAAGGCCCTGAGTTCAAATCCCAGTACCACAAAAAAGAAAAAAAAGATCAAAAGCAGAGGTTAATTTTGAGAGCACAGCCATGCAAATGTTCATTAAAAACATGAAGTGACTGAGATGACCTAGAGAGAGAACATAGAACGAGAAGTGAGAAGATTAATGTGGATAGATACCTGAGAGATGTGATACATGGAAGTCAAGTATGTCATGAAAGAAGAAATGACAGTTGGTGACACAAGCTCTTGGGATCAATGTCAAATAAATTTGGGACCAAGAAAAATCCATTGGTGAATTTGCAACTTGAAAGTCATTGGTGACTTGATCACAGTTTATACGGAATGGCCAGCTTGCTGTGGTCGAGGAATAAATGAGACAGTGGGATAGCAAGCAAAGAAAATTATGAGAAGCTTAATTATGAAAGGATTGAGAGAAAGGGTAGAAGGTGGAAGGAGGTGGAGGCATGAAGGAAAGGTTTTTTACAGTGGGAAGTTCTTGAACATAATCAAATGCTATTAAAACAAACAGTATAAAGAGAGACTCAAGATACAGGAGAGAGAAAAATAGTCAATAGTATGGAGTTTCTGGGAAAGTGGATAGGAACCAAATCCAGAACACCTTTTAAGCAATTTCACTTACAAAGGAGGAAGAATGTCTCTTTATTATAGGAGAACAGAAGGATGGATGGATAGGAACAAATCCCAACTTGTAAGGTTGAAGGTCAAATGGGATTCTAGGAATTCATTAACTTAATGAGCCAGTTTGTGAAGAAAGGAACACAGTTTGACAGGAGAAGAAAGCTCCTTCTAAATGAGGTCTGTGGAGGGGAACATTTACCATTTGCTATTCTTTTGTTCAATTCTTTGCCCTAATTGTTTGGTTTTTTTTTTTTTTTTTTGCAGTGCTGAGGAATGAACTCAGAGCATTGCGTATGCCAGTGCCTTACATACAACCAAGCTCTACCCCAGCCTCTTCCAATTTTTATACCTCTTTCAATTTTTTTGGTGGGACTGAGATTTGAACTCAGGACTTCACTATTGCAAAGCAAGCACTCTACTACCTAAGCCACTCGTAGTCCAATTCTTATAACTTTTTCTTTAGTGTTATGATATGGTCAACTCTCTAAAGATATATATGAATGAACTGGTTTTATTATTTTTCTTAAAAGTAAGTTTCGCTCTCATCTTTTCAAAGCATTGCTTCCTGGTGTGTGCTTGGATGGTGATGGTGTTTTTAATTCATGTTTTGAGACAAGGTCTCTCTGTGTTGCCCAGACTAGTCGTGAACTTCTGGGCTCAAGCGATCTTCCTGCCTCAGCCTCCCGAGTAGCTTTGATTTTTATAATACATCTGGAAGTGAAATGATAGACTAGGCTACATATTTATAAAAGTTTTTTTCTTCTGAATAATGTTAAGCTGTGATTGAATTTAAAATAGTTACTGAAAACTGCTTTACAAGGTATCGAAGCTGGAACAAGAGCTTCAAAAACAACGGGAAAGTTCAGCTGAAAAGTTGAGAAAAATGGAAGAGAAGTATGAAGCAGCTGCACATGACGCCGATCTGAAAAGACAAAAAGTTATCGAGCTTACTGCTGCTGCCAGGTAAAATGTGAATGCTAGTTTTTATTTGCCTTCCCATTTTCATGTCATGGTATCTGAGCTTCAAAATTAGATAATGACCAGTGAAGCCTTGCCTGAGGAACTAATTTCTTCATGGTCTAAGTACCTACAGCATTTTACTTGCATCTCCTTAGCATTCTTCGTTATGCCTTTTTAATATTAAGTTAAGACCTTACCTTCCATTCCTTAAGGTAAGGATCTTATCTAGCCTGTGTTAGGGTTCTCCATGACAGTGAGAACTAACTAGCACAATCCTTACACCTGTAGGCAGTCAGCAACTGTTGTGTTACACTGTGAATAACATTCAAAGTAGTAGGCAAAGATCCTCACACAGTAAGCTTTTAGGAAATCAAATTGTAGATGTGAGAGAGTAACTTGAAACAGTGGTTCTCACCCTTGACTGAACATTAAAGTCACTGGAGTAGCTTTCAAGAAACACTGATGCCTGGGTCCCACCTTTATTTTATTTTTTTTTCATTTTTCTTTTATTATTCATATGTGCATACAAGGCTTGGGTCACACCTTATTTTATTTTTTTTTTCATTTTTCTTTTATTATTCATATGTGCATACAAGGCTTGTTCATTTCTCCCCCTGCCCCCACCCCCTCCCTTACCACCCACTCTGCCCCCCCCTCTCTCCCCCCCCCCAATACCCAGCAGAAACTATTTTGCCCTTATTTCTAATTTTGTTGTAGAGAGAGTATAAGCAATAATAGGAAGGAACAAGGGTTTTTGCTGGTTGAGATAAGGATAGCTAACAGAGTGGACTCACATTGATTTCCTGTGCGTGGGTGTTACCTTCTAGGTTAATTCTTTTTGATCTAACCTTTTCTCTAGTACCTGTCCCCTTTCCTATTGGCCTCAGTTGCTTTAAGGTATCTGCTTTAGTTCTCTGTGTTAAGGGCAACAAATGCTAGCTAGTTTTTTAGGTGTCTTACCTATCCTCACCCCTCCTTGTGTTGCTCTCGCTTTTATTCATGTGCTCATAGTCCAATCCCCTTGTTTGTTTGCCCTTGATCTAATGTCCACATATGAGGGAGAACATACGATTTTTTGTCTTTTGGGCCAGGCTAACCTCACTCAGAATGATGTTCTCCAATTCCATCCATTTACCAGCGAATGATAACATTTCATTCTTCTTCATGCTGCATAAGAATTCCATTGTGCATAGATACCACATTTTCTTAATCCATTCGTCAGTGGTGGGCATCTTGGCTGTTTCCATAACTGGCTATTGTGAATAGTGCCGCAATAAACATGGGTGTTGCAGTCTGGGGTTCACAGTCCACCTTGAGACACAGTCTTTGTATTCTCTACCTTTTCTTTTCTCCTCCTGATACCCCCCTGAGGACACTGCTTCTTAAAGTCAGAACTTTTCCCCACAGCTCTCACAGGGTCAAGGTGTAGACCAGAGTACCACACTCTATAAACTTAGTATTATCAGGCATATCATCCCTTTCTGTTGCTAACACTTACGGACCGCATGACTCCCTCTTACTCCCCCCAAGTACCACTCCTGATTTTCCTAGCTGCTCATTCTGAGTTGGTTTTTCATTTTTAAAGAAAAATTTCTCCCTAATAATCCTGATTTCTATCACACCTCAGACACACTAGATTTTAGCATTTACAAACATCTATGGTTTCTCCAAATTCTGAGTTTTATGCATCATTCCCTCTAATACCCCAAATCCCACAATTATTTGACCCAAACAGGACCTCTAATCCACCAGTTCCCCCACTGTCCATGCCCTGGTGCCCTCTCACCTTCCCCTCCCCTATTCTCCCTTTCCCTCCTCTCTCCTTCCCTCCCCTCCCTCTCGCCCTCCTTTTCTTCCTTCTTTTCTATTCTTTTGTTTCCTTTTTTTTTTTTTTAGTCATGGTCCAGCCCAGGATGATCCCAAACTTGTGGTCCTTATTCCTCAGCTTCCTCAGTGCTGGGATTACAGGCATGAACCACCACACCCTGCTATTCTCCGCATTTTTTTTTTTTTTAACTAAGCTTAAAGTCAAATTAGTTGTTAAACTCCCTGACCCTTCTCTTTGCATTATGCAGCCTGGAGTTAAAATCCAACTCCAGCTTCTCCATGCCAGCATCTTTGCAGAGACCCAGCGGAAATGTAACCATGTTGACTAGTCTCACTTAAAATTTAAACCTTAAGAGTTTCCTTAGTGCTACCTGGAAATCCTAATATTTTTTATACATGATTGCTTTTATAAGTTTTCCTCTTCTTTCAAAACTCCAGCAACTCTTTCCCGATCCTGGCTCTAACTGAAGACCTTGCTTTCTCCTCCCCTGGAAAAAAATGAAGCAATTACTTCTTCCCTTTTTTTAACCCCTATTTCTTGAGCTCTGGACAAAAACACTCTTCTTGATTATAACTAGTAGACATATTCAGTAGGAAAACTAAGCGCTCCATTCTGTCAGGAAGCTTGTAAACTACATGCTTCAGCTTCACAGGAAAGCTTTCTCCTGCTTTCAAAAATGCTCTTCTTTATGAAGGGTTTTTCTCTTCACTGTTACTTTTTTACTTCTGGAACTACAATTTGTAAAACCTTTTTACTTCCAAAGTATTGAAGTTAAAATATAGCTGTCTATGTCTCCTTGGACTTGTTTTTGAGTTAAAATATCTTCAAATAGAAAGGAAGCTTGTTTTTGAGCACTTTGTTCCAGGAAATATGCAAGTGGGCATATTAACTCATTTAACCTCAAAACAACACTGAGATAGATTTGTTAGACATTATTAAAGTAAGGAAGCCAAAACTCAGATGAGTTAGATTATGAGTCAAAAACTGGAGTTGTGGGGGTTTATTTGTATTTTTATTTTTGTTGCACAATTACTGAAAGGTAGCACTTAACTAGATTGCTCTGCTGCTCTGATACCCATTTCTAAATCTTCTTCTTGAGAAGCAGGGGAGTCTCAGCTATCCCTTTCTAAAGATTTAGTTTACTTTGCCCTGTTTCTGACTTCAGAAATGGAAGACTGGACGGACACCCTTGTCTCATTTCTGCTTTTTAAATGTTTATTACATTGTAGCAATGCTCCATTTACCCAACTTCAGCAAGGAAATAAGAAATAATGGTGAATTTTATCTCTGTCAAAGACTAAAACTTTAAAACCAAACTAAACTAAAAACATTTTTTGGAAGAAATTTTCTAAAATACACATTTTTGTGGAATTTCTGCCTTTGTTGGATTATCATTATGTGTGAGTTATTCTAACATGCTGATAGGCTGTTGGCTCTTTTCATTATTCATCAACCTCTTTTGATTATTCTTTTATAATTAACTATTTTAGATTTATTCTAACATTAGAAACCAACTGACCAGGTAAAAGTTGTTATGTGGGAGTTTAGAAATGTAAAAGGGTTACTGGGCTGGGGATGTAGCTTAGTAGCAGAATGCTTGCCTAGCATGCACAAGGCCCTGTGTGTGCTCCTGAGTACCACAAAAAGGGGATGGGGTCATTAGCATCTAGTAGCTCTCTTGTGGGGGGAGTACATTTTTAATGGTTTTCATTATGACATTTCATACTTGTGCATATTGTTTTTTGACCATATTCACCCCTCCCCATTATCCTTTCTCCTTCCCCTTCCCCCTCCTGCTGCTCCCCCTCCTCTTCCTAAATGTCCCCTTTTACATCCTTGGTGTTTGTTTGTTTGTCTTGTTTTGTTTTGGAATGGTACTAGAGTTTGAACTTGCTAGTTTTACCCAAGTTCACTCACTGACTTCAGATTAAAAATCTCTTGAACAAATCCAAATTTGTTGACACTGAATTTATCTATTCATTTATTTGCTTTTGGTGCAAGGGATTGAACCCAGGGCTTTGCGTATGCTAAGTACATGCCATACCACTGAGCTACACCCCACCCCTGCATTTAGGAGAGAAATAGTCTTACTTGAAAACTCACTTTAGGTTCTTTTGAAGACCAAATATGTTGGCACAAAGAAGCATAAACTTCCCACCATTGAGGGTAGCAGTAGTTTAATAGTAAACATCACTTTGGAATTTAAGTTACTAACGAAGGAACTGCCTCTCGGTAAGTTGATTTCTCTGTAGATACAGGAGTTCCAGTATTTGAATAAGCAGAGGGTGACTGAAGGTGAGAAGACCTGGCTCCTTCACTTTCACTGTTAACATCTAGTTCTATTAGCCGTCCAGTTTCCTCATCCACAGACAAGGGAGAGCTGGACAATCCAGGCAGCATTAGTCCTTTTTGTTTTCTCAGGGTGCTAGGGATCGAATGCAGGGGCTTGCACATGCTAGGCAAGTGTTCTACCACTGAACTAAATCTTTTCAAACTACAAGAGGGCAGGCAGAGAGCCTGCCTCGCAAGCCCAAGGTACTAAAAAAAAAGAAAAGAAAGCTAAAAAAGATATTTGTTGTAAAGCTTTGAGTAAAAAAGCTTTTGACTGCCTTGGCTCCTATGTGAGTAGTATGGTCTTTATGATGAATAATGTGATTGTTTGGCTTCTTTATTTCAAATAATAGAAATTCCAGATAAATGAGCTTCCTTCCTTAATGTTTTCAATATATGTGAGGCTTTATAAAGTTATATGTAGCAGGAATGAAAAGAATGTTAGCCTTGTTAAGTATTATCAGGTAGCACATTTGTACTGAGTGCTGTGTGACATGGAAACAATAATAATATTTTTGTTGGAGAATTTTAAAAACACAACCGGTGATTTAAGATTCCCCTAGACATTTTACTGATACTTCTTGTCATATAACCTGCAGATAAGTCTGTTGGTTTTTAAGCTTCCAAATTACCTGTTCTATTGTTTGTTTTTGATTAGACAAGTAAAACTAGAGGTGGATCAGTACAAAGAAGAGGTGTCTAAGATGGAAAAAGAAATAGCACATCTAAAACGAGATGGAGAAAGTAAAGCAATGCATCTCTCACAATTAGATATGGTCCTCGATCAAACAAAGACAGAGCTGGAAAAGAAAACGGCTGCTGGTAAGCATCCTGTTAGCTGAGTTTGCGCTTAAGAAATGCAATAGGCGGAGTGGGTGGTAAGGGAGGGGGTGGGGGCAGGGGGGAGAAATGAACCAAGCCTTGTACGCACATATGAATAATAAAAGAAAAAGAAAAAAAAAAAAAGAAAAGCAATAGAATAAGAATTGAGGTGAGGACGGAAGGGACAAAGAGTGTTCGATATTTCACCTGTTAATAGGTGAATGAAATTGGATAACTTTAATTATAATTATTTATAATTATAAGTTCTATAAAATTGGATATTATTAACTGCAATTATTTGCAAAGTTCTTAATAACAAATAGTTTATATATAGTTCTAAAATTATTCTGTCCTAATAGTGAAGGAGTTAGAAAAGTTACAGCACCACACTGAAACTGAACTAACAGAAACCCTGCAGAAACGTGAGGCCCTGGAGACCGAGCTGCAGAATGCTCATGGAGAATTGAAGAGCACTTTAAGACAGCTGCAGGAGTTGAGAGATGTGCTCCAGAAGGCTCAGCTGTCCTTAGAGGAAAAGTACAGCACCATTAAGGATCTCACAGCTGAGCTCAGGTGAGCTGAACAGTACAACAGGGTCTTTTATTACTCAGAGTTATCGGGTCGTACAGCGAGAGGTGTTGTTGACTCCATATGTCCACACTTGTCAGCTGCCATGGGGTCCCTGAGGCTCGTTCTGGTCCGCCATGCCACGTTCCATCTAAGTCAGCTTGGCACTGTTGCTAGTACTTACACCCTCAGTCTCTGGACCATTTTACACTAGTGGTTTGAAAAAAAAGATTGGGCAATCATATAGTAGTTGCTAATAGCAACATAATAATACTATTGCCCTTTGTAGTGAGCAGTTATTGTACTGAGTATTATTTTTTTCCTCCCTCCCTTTTTTTTGGTGTTGGTTTTCTTTTTTTGATGGCACTAGGGTTTAAAATCAGGCTCTTGTACTTGCTAATCAGGCACTGTACTACTTGAACCACATCCAAAAAAAAGGAAAACAGGGTTGCAAACGAGGTATGAAATGTGGAATAAAGACCATGATAGCTGAACACACTGACTCATGCCTATAATCCCAGCTACTTGGGAGGTGGAATTTGAAAGGATCCCAGTTTGAGGCCAGTGGGGGCAAAAAGTGAGCAAGACCCAATCTCAATAAATAAGTTGGACTGGTGGTATGCATCTGTTATCCTGGCTATGCAGGCCATAGTTAAGAGGATCACAGTCTGAGGCTGGTCCTGTACAAACTGGAGACCCTATATGAAGAAAGGGCTAGAGATATGGCTCAAGTGGTAGATACCTGCCAATCAGGTGAAAGGCCCTGAGTTCAAACCCCATTGCTACCCAAAAAAAAAAAAAAATCCAGGATGAATTGCAGCAAAATGACCCAGATGGTGGGATGTTTTATCCCAGGGTTCACTGTAACCTTCCCTTTCCTATCCATGAGCTCATCCTCGTTAAATCCCATGTGCCTTTAAAAATGATGTGTCAGATGTTTCCAAACCATTTCTCCAGGATTGAATCCAGGTTCTGGATACAGCCCTTCCCATCTCCTTTGTCATCCAGCTCAAAAGCCTATTCTAAGCCCATTGCTCTCCTGACCTCTTCTCTATTACCCTTTAACACAGCCATTTTCATCTCTCCATGGTCTGTTGCTGTGGCTTCCTAACTGTGCTCCTTGCTGATATCCCCCAAATCCATTTTCCACAGAATACGTACAAATTTATGATTTAAAACATGAATCAGATCATATTGTTTTCCTACTTAAACTTTCTATGGCTTCCCAAAACATTCATAAAATATTAACTCCTTTGATTATGAAGATCAGAGCCACAATGAGATACCACTTCACACACATTAAAACAGCTATTTTTTTAAAAAGCAGAAAATGACAAGTGCTGGCTAGGGAAGAGAAGTTGGAATCCCCATACATTGCTGGTGGGAAGCTAACATGGCAGCGTCCACTGTAGGAAATAGTGTGGGGTTCCCCAGTAGGTTAAACACAGGCTTACCATAAGACCTAATAATTCTCCTCCTAGGCATGTATCCAAAAGAATTAAAAGCAGGCATTCCAACAAAAAAACGTGCACAAATGTTGTAGGATCTCTATTTCACAGTAACCCAAGAGTGGAAATGATCCAAATGCCCATCAGCTCAGCATGAGTGTGTGAAGAAAACACGGTATAGCCATATAAGGAGTATGGTTAGTAGTAAAAAAGAGCAAAATACTAATAAATACTGCAAAGTGAGGGACCTTATGAATGTTAGACCAAGAGAAAAAAAATGGGTGGGAAAGGGACAATAAAAATAACTGCTAACGGGTATAGGGTTTCCTTTTGATGTGATGAGAAAGTACTGCAAAGAGATCATGGTGAATGTACTTAATGCTACTGAGTGTATACTTTTAAGTTGCTGTGTATTTTACCACAGTTATGCTGCAAAACAAAGCCCCACATGGTCAGGTTCCTGCTTCCCTGACCTCATTCCATGCTACTCTCATTGCTCCTGGCCTTCTGACTGTCCTTAAACTCACCAGTGTATTCTTACCCTGGACGTGTGCCATAGCTGCTGCTTTTGTCTGGAGTTATGGTTTGTGGCTCAGCTTCTTCTTGCCCTTCACATTCCCTTGGATGACTCTTCCCAGACCACTCACTCTTTGTTTGTTTGTTTGTTTGTTTATTCATGTGTGCATACAGTATTTGGGTCATTTCTCCCCTACCCCCACCCTCCTTCTGCCTCCCCCGCCCCCTCCCTCTCCCCCTACCCCCTTGCTTCCAGGCAGAATCTGTTCTGCCCTTATCTAATTTTGTTGAAGAGAGAGTATAAATAATTAATAAGGACAAAGCATTTTTGCTAGTTGAGATAAGGATAGCTATATAGAGAGATTCCTAGCATTGCTTCCATGCACAAATGTGTTACCTTCTAAGTGGATTCTTCTTGAACTGCCCTTTTCTCTAGTTCCTAATCCCCTTCTCCTATTGGCCTCTGTCACTTTAAAGTTTCTGCCTCAGACTACTCGCTCTAAAGAAGCTACCTCATCTCTTTCTCATCAGCCTATCCCATGCTCTGACATAGGACTTAGCATTCTTCTTTCATTGTTTATCATTTATAGTCAATCTTTTCTCCCAGACCTGTTCAAATGTAGACTCCCTGAGGCAGGGACATTTATCTTAATACTAAGTCCTTAGTACTTAGAACCTTAGAGTATGGGAAGAATCCAGTAAATATTTGGTAAGTCAGTGTTAGTGATTGAATGCATGAAAGAAGTAAACAGTGAAATCTTAAGTTCAGTTTTGGAAGCTCAGCTATTTGTATAGACAGGTGCTAGAGTTTTCTCTACTGTCAATTTCATTATAGTTTTTAGGAGGTGGTATGTAGCTTGGTGGTAGAGCACCTGCCTAGCATACATGAAGCCCTGCATTCTATCCCTAGAACCACAAAAAAACCTAGAGTATTAGTAATTGGGCATGGTGGCTGAGGTAGGAGGATCCTGAGTTTGATTCCAGCCTGGGCCACATAGCAAGACCCAGAACAAACAAAACATATGTGTACCAGTTTTAGCCTTATATTATAACTCTTGATACTTTTAGAAGAATATGAACAAGTACTACTTAAAGAAATATTAATAGCCATTGACTGAACAATGATATCAGGGATACCAAGGAAGAAATAAGTACCTCATTCTAGTGTAATAAAATCACAACTGGGGGTGGTAGAATGGCTCAAGCAATAAGAACGCCTGCTTAGCAAGCAAAGATTTTTCAAACATTCCCTTGAACTGTCTGAAAACACATGGAACTCTTAAAAAAATTATATTGAGCTAGTCTTAGATCCATGCCAGTGATTTAACAATCAGCTTAGTTGATAACTTTAACTTTTTGTTGTCAGTCATTTTCTTTGTATGTTATTCCTTCAAGTTCTTTTAATCTGAAATAACTGAATGTGTTTTATCCTCTTAATTTATAGGAAAAGTAACCTGGCTGACCTAACTTTTTAAAACTATAGTATTCCCTCTATCTGCTTTAATCTTTTCCTTTGATGAATTGCAGAGAGTGCAAGATGGAGATTGAAGACAAAAAGCAAGAACTCCTTGAGATGGACCAGGCGCTGAAGGAGAGGAACTGGGAGTTGAAGCAGAGAGCAGCTCAGGTCAATTTTCTTACTTACATTTAATGAAATTTTCTCTTCGGGCACAATCATACAGGGATTCAGAAGTCACCAGTTTTTGATAAAATGGGCCTTTTACAGTAGTCTTATTTTTTCTCTACACATAAATATTTTTTAAATTAGATATATACATCTGTTTTGATAATTTCATAGCAAGTGGTTTTTTGGGGTTGGTTTTGGTTTGTTTTGTTTTTCCTGCATTGGGTTTTTTTGGTTTTGTTTTTTTCCCCTGTACTGGGTTTTGATTCAGGGGCTCAGGCTTTGCTAGACAAGCACTCTACCACTTGAGCTATAACCCAGCCCTTTATGCTTCAGTTATTTTTCAAATATGTTCTTAAGCTTTTTGCCCGGATCGGCCTCTGCCTGAGCCTGAAAAACAGCTGGGGTTAGAATCAGCACCACTACACCCAGTTCGTTTGTTGAAATAGGGTCTCGTTAACTTTCTTTTATCTGGGCTGCCCTGACCTGTGATCCTCCTATCTTTCCCTCCCAAGTAGCTAGAATGGCAGGTGTGAGCCACCATGCACAGCTTAACTTTTTTGCTTTTTGTTTTTGTTTTTTGAGATGGTCTGGCCTCACACTCAAGATTCTCTTGCCTCAGCCCTTCAAGTGCTGGGATTGTAGGTGTGTATCACAGTGTCCAGCTGAAAAACTTTTTTTTTACTTTTTTGTGGTCCTGGGGATGGAACCCAAGGTCTCAGGCATGCCAGGCAAGGTCTATACTACTGAGCTACACCCAGCTCAGCTGCTGGAGTTTGAGAGTGAGGGTTAGTTTAGTAGCTAAGCCTCTTATCTTACTCTATATCGGGGGAAAATAGAATTGAAAAACTTACTTAGCGGTGCAAGCCTATAATCCCACCTGTGCTGGAAGGGGAAATGAGAGGGTCGTGGTCTAAAGCCCCAGACCCTATCTGGAAAACATGGTTCCAATGGTAACGAGTGAGTACAAACCCTGGTACTGCCAATAAAACCAGCCCCGGCAAATAGTTCTCGAGACCCCAGCTCCAAAATAACCAGAGCAAAATGGACTGGAGGTGTGACTCAAGTGATAAAGCACCTGCTTTGCAAGTGGGAAGTCCTCAGTTCAAACCCCAGTTTAACCAAAAAAAAAAAACAAAACTCACATCCAGAAGACATTATTTAGCAGTTTTATCCACCATAAAATAGAGTCTGAAACATTTATCATTCATGAATTAATCATAACTTATCCTATAAAGATACATGAGCCTCAGGTCCCAGTATTAGTAAATAGTGATTATTTTTTCCTGTTTAAAAAATTAACTATTTGAGATCAGTTTATCTTTCAATTATACCCCAGTATAAAAAACTTCCAGGACTGGGGAACAGTACAAGGCCTAGGAAGCGTAAGCCCTGAGTTCAAACCCTAGTCATACACACACATACAAAATCCAAAGCACATCCCAACCAAGCAAATTTTTGATCAGAATAAAATTGAACAAGACTAATGTTACTTCTGCATTTAGGTCACACATTTGGATATGACTATTCGTGAGCACAGAGGAGAAATGGAGCAAAAAATCATTAAATTGGAGGGTGCCCTGGAGAAGTCAGAATTGGAGCTTAAAGAGTGCAACAAACAGGTCATTGTTTTTAAATTTTGTATTTTAAATTGTTTAAAAATAAGTCCATAACTGTATGCATTCTCCCCATAATATGTTTTTTGTTTTTGAGGATGTCACTGTGTTGCTCAGGCTGGTCTCAAACTCCTGTGCTCAAGCAATACTTCTGCCTCAGCCTCCCAATAGCCAGGACTGCAGGTGTGCACCACTGTGACTAGCTATGTTTTTTTTTTTTTTTATAGAATACATATTATTAAAATTTACATAATTTTAATCATGCTACTTAATATTCATTTTTTTTCTCCTCTTAATGTTATTGATTATAATTTTTCATGTACCATTGTGTCCATATACTTATAATATGTACATATCTGGATTTCTATAAAATGTTTCTAGAAGGATTTACAAGTAAATTTGCTAAAGTAGTTGTCTCCAGGGTAAGAACAAAGTGGGAACAGACAGTTTTCTCTAAGTACAATTTTTAGCTCATGCATATATTACCTGTACAATTATTCATAGGGTAATGTAACATTTAATATACCTAACTTTCTAGTCTTATACAAATCATGATCGAGACTTTCATCTTTTTAGTATATTTTAAATAAGCATCTAAATAAGCAGAGGACTTCTCATGCTTATTTCCAAATTATGGCTGTCTTAAGAAAAATGCATTTTCTACTTTGTTTTTAGGAATGTATCTTATTTTATCTTATTTTGAGACTTGCTGAATAGCCCAGGCTGGCCTCAAACTCAAGATCCTTATGCCTCTGCCTCCCAAGGGCTAAGATCACACATGTGTCACTGCTCTTGGCCTGCTGTTAGATATTTTACACCTGAGTGTTTAAATTTTGACTTACTTAGAACACAGCTATGATTAAATTATATTCTTTTATGTTAATAATGCCCATTGTTTAAAATTTAGACAGACAGTTTAAATGAAAAATTGCAAAATACCAAAGAACAGCTTCGAGAAAAAGAGTTTGTGACACTACAAAATGAACAGGAGATAAGTCAACTGAAAAAGGAAACTGAAAGGACACAACAAAGGATGAAAGAAATGGAAAGTGTAAGCAAATGATTTCCCACCTTAGGAAAAAGCAGTATTTTCCCAAGAGTGAAATGTTTCTTTGTCTTAAAACTATCTGGCTTTAATGTGCAGAAACCATGCTGTAGGTGCTGTAGTGCCTGTTTGTTTCCAGATGCAATTAGTTTCTTCTACCTTTAAAAGTATTTCATTGTGCTGGTTCAGGTATGGGATAGGACAATGCCTTATCTGTCTCTGTATTCCCTGCCTTTGGTACCATGAACTTACATCATAATTTACGGTGCATGCTTACCTGGTCAGTATGTAGTCACTGATAGAGTTAAGATACAGATGTTCATAAGGAGTCTTCCGCCCTTGAGGAACTCCATGCAGAGAAAGAGAGAATAGACTGGCAATGGTAGTGTCCACTCTTGATCCAGGTGCATTGTGTTTCCAGAGGAAGTTGGACTGGTGAGCCCATTCAACCCACCTGCCTTTTTAAAAGGTTAACTTGTTTCTATGAGCTTTAAAGGATATAACTTTCCTTCTTTTCTTTTCTTTTTTTTTTTTTTTTTGGGGGGGGGGGTGGGTTTGAACTCAGGGCCTTGTGCTTTCTAGGCAGGCACTCTACCACTTGAGCCACAACTCCAGCCCTCATAATGAGATGCTTTGGTGATGGGACCCAAATCTAAGCACAGAATTCATTTATTTTATATATACCTGAATTACAAAGCCTGAAGGTAATTTTATACAATATCTTTAATAATTTTGTGTATGAAACAGTTTCATGGTGTGGAATTCTCCACTTGTGGCTTGTTGGTACTCAAAATATTAGTTTTTGGAATATTTTGGATTTGGGGTTTGCAAACTAAGGTTGATCAATCTATACTTCCCTAGGGATTTAACTAAGTAATGTAAAAACATCTCAGATGGATTAGTAGGCCCGGTGACAAGTTTTACCTTTACAAAGAACAAGGTCAGGACCATAACCCAGCTAGGTAGTTAATGGTGGTTTTAATTATCTAAGCAAGTAGAATCCCCATGCTGACACAAATAATCAAATGAATTATTTTTTCTCTTATTCTGTTACATAGTCTTTCATAAATGTTACATTCATAGTGATAAAGGATTATACAGCTTGATATATGAAAGTCATGCAAAACATATGAATAGGCATCCCAGGGGCTAAAAGCATGGCTCAGGCAGTAGAGCACTTGCCTAACAAGCTCAAAGCCCTGAGTTTAAACTCTGGTAACACCAAAAACAAAAAAAGAGTGTTCCAGGCAAGCATGGTGGTGATGCCTGTAATCATCCCAGCTCCTTGGGAGGCAGAGGCAGGAGGATCTCAAGTTCGAGGCCAGCCTGGGCAACTTAGTAAGACCCTGTCTCAAAAAGGGCTGGATGGGCATATTGCTCAGTGGTAGAGCAATAACCTAGTGTGTGTGCAAGCCTGGGTTCAAACTGCAGTACCAAAAAAAAAAAAAAAAAATTCCTGGATTCATCATAGTTCTTTTTTCTGTGGTTCTTTGTTAGGACGCATTCATCATGTGGGCATTCACAGTGACAACTCCGATTAGTCTCACACATTATCTACTTCGCCCAGTTGTCTTCCCCAGCCCTCTCCCCACCCTCTTTTTCATTTTTTATTACAAAGAAAGGTTTTTTCCTCAATACCAGTTTCACAGTGGGTGATACTCATCATAAGTTAAATTTTATAGGGATTTAGTTGGGAGGCAGAAATCTACTTACTGAAAAATAAATCAGAATAAGAAATAGGTTATAACTACATATTTCATTTTGAAACCTACAAATACCTTGTGCTTTCCAGGTTATAAAGGAGCAAGAACAGTACATTGCCACTCAGTACAAGGAGGCTTTAGATTTGGGGCAAGAATTGAGACTAACCCAGGAGCAGGTGCAGAACTCTCACACTGAGCTGGTGGAGGCCCGTCGTCAACAAGTGCAAGCTCAGAGAGAAGTGGAAAGGCTTTCTACTGAGCTGGAGGAGATAAAGCAGCTCTCTAAGGAAAAAGTAATTTCTTTCCCAAATAGCTGTGCATTTCTGAGAAACCTTACTGGTATTGTGTACATCTTGCAAAAATGAACTGTATTAATGTCAGAAAAGTGTACTTTAAAATGGGGGCTGGAGGCACTGAGTGTGGAGTGCTTGCCTAGCTAGTGCAAGGCCCTGAGTTCAAACCCCAGCACCACCACCCTCAAAAAAGGCTAAAATGGTAGAGCTGGGTGTCATGGTTCATACCTGTAATCGCAGCACACGGGAAGATAAGGCAAGAGAATCATATGCTGAAGCTAGCCTAGGCCTTCAGCAAGAGACCCTGTCTCAAAAATACAAAACAAAACCAAAAAAGTAAATTTTATGTTATGCACATGTTAGCACAATTTTTAAAAGAAAAAGGTTAACTTCATTATATTTAGATTTTAAAAACTTTGTGATATAACCAGACAGTCCTCCAGAACTGAATTTCAGCCGCACTAATTGGCTCTCAATAAATTGAGTTATAAAGCACTTTTAGCTGGGAGTGGTGCACACACCTGTAATTCCAGCACTCTGGAGGTGGAGGGAGGATCTTGAGTATAAGATCTGGACCATGGAGTGAGTCTGAGGCCAGCCTTTTTTGAGACTGTCTCAAAAAATTAAATAAATAAGGCACTTTTAGACTTTGAAGTGAGTCTTGGAAAAAAAAAAAAAGCTAATCTTTTCTGAGTAGTTTTTACATTTGTAGCCACTCTTATGAAAAGTTTTAAAAGTTGTAACTGTTGGGAAATCTACAGTTAGAACCCTTGGGAACATGCTTTTAAAAAGCAAGAGTGCTGATGTGAATTTTATTTCCCCAGAGCCTAGTGAGTCTTAAAAGTATTTAGCTTGATAAACTTAGGCTAATTTCTTAGCCCTGTAGAAAAATGTGTTTATCGATATTCCAGAAAAGTTCTTGTGGTTTTTCTCCTTTCTGTTATGGTTACTAATCAGCATAGGAATCAAGTTAAAATATTTTTACCTTAAGTTTGGATAAACCTAACCATTTATTCACATTTCTGGGTGATTAGACTAATAAAGGATATATAAGAACTTTTTCTTAAAGATATATTGGATATTTGGCTGTCTGTACAGAAAATGGAAGCTATCTACTTTTATCTAAGTATGGTACATCTGATTTTACCTGATAAACTGAGCTCACTTAATCCAAAAGTGAGTTAAAATATCCAGAATGTGAATATCAGGGGGTTTCCTGCTCCTCTTGATTTGGTGCATTTAGTCCTGTGGAAGCCTTGCCTTTCCTCACAAGGCAGGCAGGGGGCAATGGAGCCCCAAACATGGACCCATCGCACACGTGACTACTGGCCATGGGCTTCACGGCATCGTCAGCATGTCACATGTGTGAACTAGAAGTGGGCTTTGAGCCAGGTGCAGAGTTCTTGCAGGAGGTTGTCACCGCTAGAAAGGGACAGGTTTTTAATATATTTTAGTCTCAAACTAAGTATAGATTCATGTTTATCTTTTGATTGGGCCAAACCTTGATTCTTTTTATATGAGTCATTTCATTAAAATTCTTAGTCTTTCTTAGTCTTTCATACTCATGGTACACTGTCTATTGCTTATATTACTTTCTCTAATGAAAAGGAAGAATTAAAACATTTGTAAATCAGTATAACATGTTATATTTTTATGGCACTTCTCACAGTATTTTACTACTGTTCTGTCTACTTCCAATTGGTGGCAAATGTTTGTGACCCACTCATTGAGTTGTTTCAAAACCCACAACTTAGTTTTCACATAACAACTTTGCATTTGCTTGTGTTTCTCGCCAGCATTTGTAATACAGTAGTCCCTGTTATCCACGGTGGATACATTCCAAAGACCCCCAGTGAACACCTGAAACCACAGGTGTTATTGAGCCTGTGCACATAGTACTTTACAGCTTCTTTTTGCATAGATGAGGTGTCCAAGTGCTACAGCATCATGATGACCAAGATGACTGCTGGCTAAATAGGCAGGTAGCAAACTGAGTGTGGATGTCATCAAAGGGATGATTCCTGACTGGACTGGATGAAGCAGGACAGCATGAGACTTCACGCTACTCAGAAAAGTGTGCAATGTAAAGTTTATATAAATTGTCTATTTCTATGATTTTCCATTTACTACTTTTGACTGTGACTGACTTCAGGTTCCTGAAAATGCAGAAAGCAAAACCTCTTTCACTTAAGGGGGGATTACCATATATGACAGAAATACATAATTAGAATCACAAGTGCACCTTGCATTAACTAGCATGAATAGGTTTGGATAAAACCACGCCAAATTTATTCTTGACAGGCAAACAATGTATCTGGTGGGGAAAAATGCACAGCAAAATTGAGATGATTACCTAGCAGAGTTGAGCACCATGGGGCTCTGGTTAGTGAAGCTTTGGTGGCCAGCAGTAACTTATATTTCCCTGTTGGTTGTCTCTGAAATGTCTAGATTTTAAAGTGTACCATTTAGTACGTTAACTTGGGATATGTGTTTACATAAAAGATTAGCTAACTTCCATTAACACACTGCATAAGTTTACTGTAGTAGCAAGCTGTAGCTACAGTAAACAGTCCACATAGCATTATGCAATGTGTCATTGTTAGGAAGCTCGTGGCAATCATTTAGCTGAAGAACTGGGGGCATCTCAAGTGCGTGAGGCTCACTTGGAAGCAAGAATGCAAGCAGAAATCAAGAAATTGTCCTCAGAAGTACATTCTCTCAAAGAAGCCTACCACATGGAGGTAAGGAAAATTTTAATTTCTCACAGTAGAGTTGGCGGAGTGGCTCAAGTGGTAGAGTGCCTGCCTAGCAAGTGTGAGGTCCTGAGTTCAAACCCAGTGCCACCAAAAAAGATCATTTGTCACAGTAGCCCCACTGAAGTCTGACCTTGGACAAGTTACTTAACCTCTCTGTCTAAGATGGATTTAGAATTGTGGTAAGATTGAGTGAATTAATGTATATAAAGTTCTTAACCAGAGTCTGGCTCATCTTTATCAATTATAAAGTAGCACTTGTAAAAAGTGAACTGGAGGCCTAGTGTGGTTGTGCATGCTTGAAATCCCAGCTACTCAGGAAGTGGAGATAAGAGGATCACTGTTTGAGGCCAGTCTGGGCCAAAACATTCGTGAGACTGTGTCTCAAAAAACCTCCAAAAACAAGTCAGCAGTGGCATACACCTGTAATCCCAGCTGCTTGGAGGCAGAGGTCCCAGAAAAGAGCCTAAGACTCTGTCTGAAAACTGAGGCATCAAGTGGCAGAGCAGCAAAGAGCTGAGCTCAGACCCCAAGACCTTAAGATATTTGGTGACCCATGCAAACAGTTTCACGTGACGTGGCTTTACAATGCTCTGTGAATTCCAGCATTTGTTTTGATAGTAAGCTAGATAACAGGTAGCTCTAGAACCCTCTTATCATCCATCCTGAGCCTTTATAACAAATAAGCAGTATTATCAATTAGAATAGTATATTGTTTATCTTTTTAAAAACTACATTTGAAGCTATTACCCCAGTCTTTTGTATGATCTCAGTAAACTACTTATTAAGCTTGATGCTAATGAAGCATCTTTCACTATGACAAGATTGCAAATCCATTTGAATTAAGGTCCTTTTGAGGGAGTTTGGTAGCAAGGCTTGTAACCATTTCTTGCTTAAATGCACTTACATTCAGATCTCTTGAAAACACTGCGCCTGCCAAACAAAACACACTTGTGACCTGAATCTAGTTCTCAGGCCAAGAGACACATGTGGATGCTTTTGGGCTCTTTGGAGATTTACTGGTGTTAGCTGTTGGGCATCGGTGACAATTACTCCATCTCAAATGTTACACCTTAGTATTATATGGACTCTATTCTGTTTTTATATATATATTTTTTTCCTTTTTCTTTTATTATTCATATGTGCATACAAGGCTTGGTTCATTTCTCCCCGCTGCCCCCACCCCCTCCCTTACCACCCACTCCGCCCCCTCCCTCTCCCCCCCCCATACCCAGCAGAAACTATTTTGCCCTTATCTCTAATTTTGTTGTAGAGAGAGTATAAGCAATAATAGGAAGGAACAAGGGTTTTTGCTGGTTGAGATAAGGATAGCTATACGGGGCATTGACTCACATTGATTTCCTGTGCGTGGGTGTTACCTTCTAGGTTAATTCTTTTTGATCTAACCTTTTCTCTAGTACCTGTTCCCCTTTTCCTATTGGCCTCAGTTGCTTTAAGGTATCTGCTTTAGTTTCTCTGTGTTAAGGGCAACAAATGCTAGGTAGTTTTTTAGGTGTCTTACCTATCCTCACCCCTTCCTTGTGTGCTCTCGCTTTTATCATGTGCTCATAGTCCAATCCACTTGTTGTGTTTGCCGTTGAGCTAATGTCCACATATGAGGGAGAACATATCTGTTTTTATATATAATTGTCCGGTTTTTTACTTTTACTTTCATAAACTACCTGAAATCATTTATAAGCAGATAGTACATCACGTAAACTGTGACAGTTGGTTCTAGTGTGGCTATTTAGTGTTTGGTACTAATATTTTTATATATGACATAAAAATAAATTTTCTTCCGTGTGATTGTTGACAGAGACTTATTTTTTAAAGTATATATGTTGTTTCCAAATAAAATAAGAGGAAGAATGATGAAGGGGGTAAATTTAACTAGGATATTTTGTAAGTGTCACAATGTTCTCCCAGTACAATAATATGAAAATAAAAATAAACAGAAAAAAAAAATAAATAAAATAATAGGATATGGTATTACAGCAAAAGAGTTGAAAAGGGGTTCAGTAATTTTATTTATTTACTTACTTACTGGGCAGTGCTGGGGGTTCAGCTCATAGCCCTGAGCTTGCTAGGCCATGCCCCAGTCCTTCTACTTCCTCAGTTTGTTTTTCAGACAGGGTCTTGCAAACTTCTGCCCAACGGGTCTCCAGCAGCAATTCTTCATCTCTGGCTCCTCAGCACACCTGACTAGGAATCAATAATTCCTAACAATAGTTTTTTAAATGCAGTTTTCAGAATTAACAGAAAAATCTCTTAATAATTGCAGAACTCTTGGTTTTTAAATGTAAATGAGATTGTTAGATTGGTTTAACCTCTTATTTGGGAAAATTTTTAAATATACTCAGAAATAGAAAAATATAAATAATTTAAATCCCCATTTATATATTCATATATACATATTATATATAACTCGACAGATTTTATCTAATCCGTAAGTGTGTTGACAGTTTAAAGGGAACACTTTGGGGAATGAAAAGGAAGGCTGTTAATAATGACACCAGGACACATGCATGAAGCAGACACTCTAGGCATATTGGACCCTGTGACCAGCACATCCCTACCTGCCCTCACTTCCCTTCCTACCATTGCCCCAGTAACTGTATATTGTTATTTTCATGCAAATTCCAGGCATCATTTTGCTAAAAGAAAGGCTATGTTTAAAAAAAAAACTGACCACAATAGTATTATCATGCCTAAAAACAAAGTAATTTCTTAATATCAAGTATCAGTCATCGTTCAGATTTCTCTACGTGTCTCAAAAATGTGTATATAATTCATTTGTTCAAATGAGGACCCAAATAGAGACCATTGCATATGGTTAACTGTTAAGTAAATGCATGCTTCTTTGTTCTTCTGTCCACTTTTTCCTCCACTATTTTATTTGTTATAAAATCAGATGTTTGTAGCTATAAACAGAATTTACTGTCTTTGAAGAAAAAGTGGTAGTAGCACTTAGTGGAAAATGTTGTTGCGGGCTGGAGATGTGGCTCACGTGGTGCGGCACCAGCCTAGAATCTAAACTGAAACCAGTTCCACCTGTTTTCTCTTTACAACTCTGCGATTATAGATGATTTCACACCAAGAGAGCCATGCAAAGTGGAAGATGTCTGCCGACTCTCAAAAGACTTCTGTCCAGCAGCTAAATGAACAATTAGAGAAGGCAAAGCTGGAGTTAGAAGAGGCTCAGGACACTGTCAGCAGTTTACATCAGCAGGTTCGAGACAGGAATGAAGTCATTGAAGCTGCGAATGAGGCATTGCTCATTAAGGTAAGTAAACACAAAAATGAAACCATTAAATTATCACTGAGGTTTTCCTGCTCTTAGAGTTTATAGGGGACTGTAGGACCAGTTATTGATTTGTTTGATAGAAGCCATTATGAAATTGAGAAATAATGTGTACATCACATTATCACAAAAGAAATAATGTGTAAATATTGATATACAAACTCAGCTAACCATAACATTTACTTTAGAGTATTTTATACTTGATGTACCTAAAACAGTAGGAGCATTTTTCAAAATCACTACAGTTCCTTTAATTGAAAATCATAAAGTAAAAATATAACATGACAATCAGAATTTTTACTGGGTATAAATATAGATACCATTTTTATAGCCTGGGCTACTTATTCACCTCTGTTGGTCATAACAGTTTGTCTGGAATTTGAAATTAATTTCAGCATAGATGCATAGGGACTAAAAAGTTAAGACGGTTCAAAACGTAATGTTTAAAATAATCAGTGAAGCTTTTAAAAAAGAGTAAACTGATGGTGAAGCATTAAGTGGTTTTTTTTAATAGCAAAAATGGAAGTTATTGAAAAAGGAAATAAACTCAACCGAAAAATTTTGGCGGGGGGGTGGGGAAGGGGGGCAGTACTGTTTGTTGAACTCAGGTCCTTGTACTTGCTAGGCAAATTTTTTCCTACTTGAGCCATGCCTCCAGCCTTTTTTGCTTTGCTATTTTTTTGAGATGGCGTCTCGCTTTATGCCTGGGCAGGCCTGGACTGTGATCCTCCTGTTTATGCTTCTCACGTAGCTGGGATGTTACCCTACATAGCCAATTAGTTGAGATGGGATCTCGTGGACTTTTTGCCTGGGCTGGCTTTGACCTGTGATCCTCCCAGTCTCTGCCTCCTGAGTAACTAAGATTATAATTTAAAATATTTTTATAATAGAAGTGATACTTAACTAGATAACATCTGAGTAAACATGTGTAGGGGCTGACAGTATAACTCAGTGGCAGAGTGTGTGCTTAGCTGGGTCAGTCCCCAGCACCAAGGAAAAAATTGTGTTTAGGCTGAACACTCTTAATGTGCTCATTAAAACATTAATATTCCTAGTGTTCTGGAGAGCTATAACATTTATAGAAAATAGCTTCATTGTGAATAATTAGTCTTCAAAAATGAAACCGTTTTGCATCTTATCCCTTGTTATTGTCATTATCTCTGCTCACTCACTAGGTATTACCAGTGAGATCAGTGTAATTAGACTGCATGTATCAGTCATGCAGGTTTGAAGACCAGCTACTTAGGAAACTGCCAAAATACTAGCTAAGCAGTAGTAATTTGTAAATGAGCCATAGAGGCAGAGAGCACAGTGCCAGTCAGAAAATAGAGTGGCTAACACAACTCAAGGTCAACCTTACCTGGCTGTCAAGTGCACTGAGAGGAGCTAAGGGAATGGGAATGGGAGAGGGAGGTGAGAGAGAGAAGTAAGAGAGGTTAAAAATCTGAAGCAGGTATTGACTGTAACAGAAGTAACCGTGAGTAATAAAAAGCAATACTACTATGTGCTTATTTCCTATTAGAAATTCTGAAGGAGTCTTTTCTGTGTATTAACACAAGATGGCATACCTCTATATTTTTGCAGAGAGATTTGTAGGTATGAGATGTTACTCTTAAATAGAAATTGATATTGTCGTTAACATTAAAAAATTCTAGCCAGTTGTGATGGCTCAATTGTATAATCCTAGCTACTTAGGAGGCAGAGATGGGGAGGATCATGGTTCAAGGCCAACCCAGGCAAAAAGTCCTCAAGACCCCATCTAAACCAGTAAAAGCTGGGTGTGATGGTGGCACCTGTCATCCCAGCTATGTGGTAAGCATAAATAGGAGAATTGCAATCTTGTCTAGCCCAGGCATAAAGCAAGACTCTTCCTCAAAAATATTCCAAGTAAAAAGGGTTGGAGGTTAACTCAAGTGGTAGAGCACCTGCCTGGCAAGAGCAAGGCCCTGAGTTCAAACCCAAATATTGCCAAAAAAGATATGTGTGTGTGTGTGTGTGTGTGTGTGTGTGTGTGTGTGTGTGTGTATGAAAAATCTAGTGTTCATGGAATTCCTTAGATTACTTGAAACAAATTTCAAATAACGTGTAATTATCTCAAAGTGAAGCTCTCTTAAATAATAGAGGGTTTAAGTAGCACTTGGAAAACTCTCAAGAGTTAATAAAAAACAATTTCCATACTGACACAAAGACTGACTTAGGTGATTGTCACAGTCTGATTTTATAAGTAATTTGTTTAACAAAATATATTGAGTACCTACTATGTATTATGTGCCAATTTTTCTACAGGAATCAGAATTAACCAGATTACAAGCCAAAATTTCTGGACATGAAAAGACAGAAGACATCAAGTTTCCATCAGCTCTGTTTATACCTCCAATAAATATTCAAGATCCAGAGCTTAGCAAACATTCTCAGACATCTTTTGTCAAGTACAGAAAACTCCGTCGCTGTATTAGTGCCAGTGACCTTAGTTTCCAAAGTCACGGTAATGAAGACCTTTCTGAAGAATTACTACAGGACTTAAAGAAAATGCAATTAAAACACCCTTCCTCATTAGAAGAAAGTCATAAAGATTCAAAGTCAGACTCATTTAAACCTCTCACATATAACCTGGCAGATGATAGTTGTGAGAGTAATGATTTTAGTACCCTTAGTGGAATGCTGAGGTATATAAACAAAGAAGTGAGACTACTGAAAAAGTCTTCTGTACAAGCAGGTGTTGGATTAGCTCAGGTATGTATTTCATACATTACAAAATGTGCTCGTTTGTCTGCAGTGAATATCATTTATTACATGGGAAAACTCAAACATAGGGTGAGTATTCCTTATCCAGAATGCTTTGAGTTTCTTCAGATTTGGAATATTTACATAATTGCTATCTTTGGGATAGGACCCAAGTCTAAATGAGAAATTTATTTATGTTTCATATATACCTCATGCACAAAACCTAAAGGTAATTTCATACAGCATTTTTAATGTACATAAAACAGAGTTCATGGTATGGAATTTTCTACTTGTGAAGTTTGGAGCAATTCAGTTTAGAAATACTGAACCTATACTTTTAGCTGTCATTGCTTTCTTTCCCCAGCCCCGGGTCCTGGGGCTTGAATTCAGGGCCTTGTGCTTGCTAGACAGGTGCATGCCTGTCATGGAAATTGTTTGTATTTGTGTGTCTTAGGCCAATAATGGACATACAATAGAAGTATTGGGAAGGAATAGAGAAAAGATACTTTTCAATAGCCATAGACAGGGGAAACTAAAATACTTAAAAAGCCTAAAATTCTCAGAAAAGTGAGGAGTATAGAAAACTAAAGATGTAAAAAACTTGCCAGGTGATAGTGGCTCATGCCTGTAATCCCAACTACTCAGGAGGATCGAGGTTCAAAGCCAGCCCCCGCAAATAGTTCATGAGATCCTATCTTGAAAAACCCTTCACAAAAAAGGGCTGGTGAAGTGGCTCAAGTTGTAGGTCCTTGTACTGAAAGCCCCAGTACTGAAAAAAAAAAATTTTACATCTTTTTTTTTCAAAAAAATTTGAAAAAATTTAAAATTTCATATATCAAATATAATTAATACTAAAAGTATATATACTTCTCTAGGTGGCAATATGAGATAATAGAGGGAAAGAGGCAGAGGGAGATAGAGCAGGAAGTAGAAAATTATAAGAAAGAGGAATAATTGAGAGGAATCAAATAAAGTAGGTTCTGAGATGAACATTTCCATAACATTGTCATAATTTACCAATGCCTTATCCACAAGGAGCTTAGATTTTAGTGGAAAGATAATTAACAAACAAATAAGTCTGTGCTGTAGTGCCAGGTAGAAGTAAGTGTTATGAGAAAAACTAGTAGACAAGGAATGTGCCAGGGGCACTGTTTTAGGTAGGGTAATCTGGGAAGGCCTCTTAAGAGTGACATTTGATGACAATCTAGTAGGAAGTGAGAAAGTATACTGTCCCATTAAGTAGAAGAAGGCATAGGGAAAGGGAGCAGCAGGTACTAGTCCTAAGGCATGTCTGGTCTGTTTGGAAACAACTTGGATGCCAGAGTGGTTGGTTTGGTGTAAGTAAGAGAAATTACCAAACGTAAAAGTGGAACTGGGGGCATGGCTCAAGTGGCTTGCCCAACAAGCAAGAAGTCCCTGAGTTCAAGCCCCCGTACCACACACACACAAAATATCAAAGAAGAGATTAGAGATAATGGTGAGGCGGGGGCACAGAATCCCAGAACAGTCTTGTAGCTCCTGTAGATTTTATTTGAAGTGTGACAGGAAGCCATTCAAGGGTTCTGAATAGGGAAGTGACATGATCACTCTCTGGCATCTTTATTATAAAGGGACAAGAAAGAAGCCTTTGAGGAAATAAGAGTTGATTTTAGACAGATAAGAGAATATATATGGAAGTTGAGAATAGATCACCTTGGATATATATTTTGAAGGTGGAGCCAACAGGAGTTGATGTGGTTTGAGTGGAGTAGAAGTCAAAGGAGATGACAAAGATTTTGGCCAGATTAAGGTCAAAGTAGGAGCTGAGCAGATGTGTAGGTATGGAAGGACTCAAGAGTTTGATTTTAGATATCTTAAGTTCAAGATTTCTATTAGATATTAAGTGGACAATTGGTTTATGAGACTGAAGTTAAAATGTTCAGTGTTATCAGTGTGTAGATGGTAAAGTCATAATATTAGATTAAATCAAGGGAATAAGTGGAGGCAGGAAAAAATAATTCCTGGAGCATTTTACTTTTAGCATTCAAGAAGTTGAAGATCCAATAAAAGTAACTGAAAAGGAGATGAGGTGTGAGATAGAAGAAATATTAGGAGAGTGTAATATCTTACTATCCAATTAAATACCATGTTTCAGGAAGAAAATTGGTTGTGTCACATGTTGCTCAGTATAGTGAAGATTGATATCTGACTAGATAATGTGAGGCTGTTGATGACCTTTAGGAGGATGGCGTCAGAGAAGTAGTGGGTCTGAACCTCACTAGAGTAGGGTTTGTAGAGAACAGAAAGAGGAAATGGAAACCCCAAGAATAGACAACTCTTTTGGGAAAGAGTAAAGCAGAGAGCCGGGTACCGGTGGCTCATGCCTGTAATTCTAGCTACTTTAGAGGCTGAGATCAGGAGGGTCACTGTTCCAGCCAGCCTGGGGAAATAATTCATGGGACCCCATCTCCAAAATAAGCAGAGCAAAATGAACTGGGGGCGTGGCTCAAGTGAGAGAGCACCTGCTTGGCAAATGTGAAGCACTTGAGTTCAAACCCCAGTCCCATCAAAAATAAATAAATAAATCCAAGAAATAAGTAGGTTGTGATGTCAAGGGTGAGTTTATGTCTTGTGTTTTATGTTAAAAGATGAAACAGCATTTTGTGTGTTGGAAGAGATAATGTAGACAGGAAGTAGAAGGAATAAAATCCTTCAGGTTGGCATAAGATGAGCTCCCTAGAGAAGTAGGCTTTGGTCTACTTTAGGACTAGGGAAATGTGGTGATGTTGCCAGCCAGAGAGACTGTGTATGGAACTGACCTGTAAGATTTGGGACATTCGGCACTGTTTGTCCCTGCCCACTATGTGCCAGAAGCAGGATATCCTTTTCTCTCCAGTATAGTAACAACCAAAATGCACCCTCATACATTTCTACTATGTTCTCTCTCTCTGGGGACAGTACTCCTCCCTTCAAGAACCTCTGTTCTAAGGGCTGGGGGTACCACTTTGCAAAGTTTGGCATAACAGATGTTTTATTTCCCATGTTGAGCTTTAAAATCAGTTTAGTTGAACCTTGTGCTCCCACCCTCCCTCCCACCCATAACTACTTGTTATTTATATCCATGTTGTCTATTACTGACTTTTTCTAATTCATATTTTTCAGTTAACTAAATATTTCCCACTCTTGCTTTATATTATATTCCTGATGATTATAGTGGACTTTGATGCTAAATCAGTATAGAACTATTTCAGATATTAACCTATGCTTTTACATTATTCTAGGGAGAAAACCTGTAATGAAAAGAAGACGCCAGTGTGATGGGAGTGGAGTTGTTGGTTCTGTGCTTATTGTATGCAGCACATACTTCACAGAAACTGTTACTTTATTGCTTCTGAATAAATTTTGTATTTTAATATTTTTAAAGAAAGCGCTTCTAAAGTGTAATTATGTTTTAGTGAAAATTACTTCATTTTGTTCATTATTTTTGGTTTAAAATTGCTGGTTTCTTTGTCTTTGCTTTTTTTTTTTTTCTTTTTTTTGCAGTACTGGGGCTTGAACTTGGGGTCTACAACCTTGAGCCACTCCATCATCCTTTTTTTGTGATGGGTGTTTTCCAGATAGGGGCTCTCAAACTATTTGCCCAGGCTAGCTTCGAACCATGATCCTCCTGATCTCTGCCTCCTGAGTCGCTAGGATTACAGGCGTGAACCACCAGTGCCTGACTATCCTTGTTTTTTTATGTAAAGGCTGCTTAAAATGCATAATAAGTACACTGAGTAATTTACATTTTTAGTCATGCTACCATGTTATTTGCTATTTTTCTAATGATAATTTTAAAAATTAGTAATATGAATTTACAAGTTGTTTTGTGACAGGTTCATAATTATATTAGTAATGGTTGACTTGAGTGTTTAGTATTTATCAAGAACTATTTTAGGCACTTTTTATTTAGTAACTCATTTAATCCTAATAACAGCCCTATGAAGTAGATATATTATTTTTTGTGTTTTATAGGTAGAATTTTTAACACAATGATAGAAGTTATATATTCTAAAGAAAGTGATTTGTTGTAAGTATCAAGAGATGGTTTTTGGGCTAGTGATGCCATCAAATTTTAAAACCATTAATATAGCCATTGATGGAACCATTTCAACAACACTAATTCATAAATTCTAGTACATCTAAAACTTTAAAATTGCCAGTATAGGCTTAACAGAAGATTAGTTATGACAGAAAAGTCAGTTGACTCAAAGATAGATTAATAGCAAATATCCAAACTGAACAACAGAGGAGGAAATAATTGAGTAAATATGAAGTAAGCATCCAAGACTGTGGGACAGTATTATAATGAGAAGAAAGAGAAATGGGGCAGGAAAAAAAGTGTTTATAGAGTTGTGATTGAAAATATCCCAAATGGTGAAAAATTTACAACCTTAGGTTATCTAAGTTCAATAAACCCTAAGTAGGATAATGACAAAGAAAATCCTACTTAATCATATATTAGTAAAAATGTTGAAAAATGAAAGTAGAATGAATATCTTAAAAAGAGATAGAAAGGCACTAGGCGCTCATACCTGTAATCCTGCTTGGATTACTAGCCACTTGGGAGGCTGAGATCCAGACAAATAGTTCGCAAGACCCCATCTCCAAAAATTAACCAGAGCAAAATGGAGTAGACATGTAGCTCAAGTGATAGGGTGCCCACTTTTTAAGTGTGAAGTCCTTAGTTCAAATCCTAGAGTCACAAAAGAAAAAAACATTGTAAGGGTAAATCGAGGAAAAAATCTGAGCAATCTTTGCAGAAGGGTTAGGGCAATTGACAGGTTTGATTGACAAGGTCTTGTTACATAACATGGGGCGTTCTGCACATGTGCAGATTCTCAGGTCTTTAACTGTATGTATGAGATGCAACCCACATTCATAAGGTCTTAAGTAGAGGACTTCACCTGAGAGGTCAGAATGAGAACAGATTCCCCTTTACCAGGTATGTGTCATTTTCTAGTCTGAACCAGTCAAGAGACTCTCCTGACTTTTGGGGGGAATTTACAACTGCAATAAAACAACCATTAGAGACAATGTCTGAGGATGGTACTGGATGGAGGGCAAGGATTAATTCATCATGGAGAGACCTTTTGTGAGGAGGGTTGAATCCTATGGTGGGGTGGGAGGGTGTTGTTTTGTTGTTTAGCTCCTGCCGTTTCTCTCCTTAGGGGCAGTTTTCTCCATCCTTCCTTGTAAACACATCCTGTCCTTCCTTGATTCCAAGGTGGCTGCAAGACAAGTGGCTTAGAATTAAGAAACAGAGACACAAAAATGGAGGCAGGGATGCCAAGCTTTTCTCCTGCTTCTAGCTAATTCCCAGGCCCAAGTGAGGAGTCAGTGCTTCTTAGCAAAAGCATTGCAGTACTTGTGACAAGAACCAGCTCTGTGTTTGACACTGCTGTTCTTCAATAGCTCCTGACTGGGTTTGTTATTTTCATATGTATCTAACCACCTGCATGACTCTCCTGCGTCTTTCCTCTCTGCTCTTGCCTTCAGAAAGGCCCCTGTGAACCTACAACGGCTTTAACCCTTTCATAACCAATCAGTGACCTATATATTATTGTGAAATGTAACGGGTGATCTGAGAGTAATTGTATTAATTAAGATTGGACTAAAAGAACCTGTTTGCAGTGATTAACGACTATCAAGTGAAATCAGTAGTATTTAGCAAATTAACAGAAACTAAATTGATGTAGCTTGTGAATTTTATTATTTAATAAATTCTAGCATTGTGGAAAGACAAGCAGGTTTGTGTATATTTCTGATATAACTTGCTCTTAATGTCTACCTATATACACAAAACACCAGAATACCTGGGCCTCTTCCTGTATTCCTGCTCTGAGGTAATGGTGTCAGTTCACCCCTCTTCCTGAGTGGGAAGTAGCAGTTATTCCCAGTTCCTCTCTCACTCCTGTCATCCCGGTCAGTGCTACTGAATAGTGTATTTCCTCTGTGCTGGTGCTCCAGCTTAGGTTTGTGTCCTCTGGCACCTGCTGACTAGTTTCCTGTCTTACCCCTCTGCTCTGGTCCATCTTGTGCAGTGACACAATGCGGTCTGCTGTGAATGGGTCTTGGCAGTGTCACCTCTTGCCTCTGCTCATTGGATAATGCCTTAGGCCAGCCAGCAACGAATGGCACTGTTAACTCATGATCACTTTGGACTGTTGGAGTGGCATCAAGCCTCTCTCACTCTCTACTAACACTAAAAACAGTAAAGAGTAAAAGGGAAGCTTTTCCTGTCATATTTAAACACCGGAGTAAGCAACAAATTCTAAAAAATACATCAAGCTCCTCAAACATCTATCTTAGCATAGACAAAGGGATAGTTTTGATATGGAAGCAAACAATGAGGGAAAGATTTTTAGTTCAATAAATTTTCCAAGTATATTCGTTAATATATAGATATGATTAATACCATTGTATTGACCCATTTGCAGTTACTGAGTTCCCGTGTGTGAACTTAGACTTACGTGGATTCTATGGTCTTATCACCCTGAACACGCCCAGTCTCGGCTGATCTTGGAAGCTGAGCAGGGTTTGGCCTGGTTGGCACTTAGATGGGAGACTCTGAAGTTGGGTGGACATATTGGCAAATATGTAGAAGCATGTCCCTTTCGTGTAGAAGCTCTCCCTCATTCCATGTTACAATTGAATCATGTCACACACACAAATACTGTGTCTTCCCCAGGTGGTTTTTTCCTTTTTTTTTTTTTTTAGCAGTACTGGATTTTGAACTCAGGGCTTTGTGCTTGCTAGGTAAGTGCTGTATGGCCTGAGGTACACCTCCAGCTCTGTTTTCTCCAGTTTTTAAACTTAGCTTTGTGGCCAGAGCATGCGGAAAGTACTGCTCTATCAGGAGAGACATTACAACTCAAGTATTGGGATGTGTAAATCTTCTAACCCTTTCACAGAGTCATTTGATTACAGGATACTATCTGTATTTTTGTTATCATCATTAAGAACAACACATTAATTGTTCAAAATTAATGGGACTCACTGATGTTTCCACTCACACATATGTGGTGCATGGAGCATGTCCATCCACCCTCTTCTACCCTGTTCCCTTCAGTCTCCTCACACCCCATCTCCCCAGCACCTTCCTCATCCCTAGTAGTCTATCTTCTGCTTTCACCTGTTTTTCTTCTACTTTCAGGCGGTTTTTTGTTTTTGTTTTTCTCAAAATGCATTTTAGGACATACATGAAGGAAATATAAAATCACCAGAAGAGGGCAGCAGTCACTTAACCTAAGAACTGAGAAATGGGCGGTATCCCCTCTGAATTGGGTGAAATCAGAAAAGGCAAATGTTCTTGGTGACTGTCTTATTCTATATATTCATGATCTCTCGCTTGTGATGTGTAGTGCTGTACAAACATGAAGCCAGATACAGCGGTGGCCGTGCCTGTTTCTCCCAGTGTAAACAACTGTCTTAGGCAAAGGAGCCAGTTGATAGGATTTCCTTTTCAGCTCTTCTTTGCCTATCCTGCTATCCCTCAGCAGTGAAGTTTATCATACTATTTTATCACTCAACAGAATGACTAATTACAGCCACTGCTTTAAAGTGCTCAGGTTTCTTTTCCCTCCTTTTTCTGTTGCTGCTTTTCTACCTTCATACTCTCAAACATTTTCCGTCTTTATGTTCCTTTTTTCAAATAGTTTACTCCTTAAATCGAAGTCACAATAAATGAGAAGGCCATGCTATACAGAGCCCTAGGAGTAAGAAAAGCCTACCTTGGGCTTAGATGGAGACAGATCTGCCAGTTTGCTGTAATCCTGCTGCGGCACTGGCCTGGGTAAACGTGGTTCCGGCTGGGATCTGAAGCACCCCCAGGAGGCTGGCTTTCCAGGGAAGCGGTGTACAGAGCTGGGGCTTTGGAAGTGACTGACCTACCACCAGATGAACTGAGTAGATTGGTAATTGATAATGGTGGAGATGTCAGGAGGTGGGCACATGCCTTTGAAGGCTGTATCTTGTCCCCTGCCTTTTCCTCTTTCTCTGTTTCTGCTTCCTGTCTGCTGTGAGGTGAGCTGCTTTGCTCTCCCACATTCCTGCCACCACCTCAGAACCAAAGCTGACTGTGGACTGATACTGTAAGCCAAAATAGCTTTCCTAGTTTAAATTGTGTCTCAGGCACTTGTGGCACAGTGGTACTTGATCAGTAGAACAGAAAGAGCACTCAGAACTTTGCTCAAGGAAAGTGTGTATAAGATGGGTGGTTCTAAGGATCTAGGCATGCGCCTTACAATAATACACACAGGTAAACAAGGTAAAACCTATTACTTCTGCAGAGAAGGGTCAGAGTCTGTGAACTCGAGAAAACATAAGAATTGCCCTG